TCCCATTTAATTTTGGTGCTCTTCTTACCTCTAAAGGAATTTCTGCATTGTTTAGAGAAAAGTCAATTTTTGGCCAAATTTCATCAAAAATGTAAGGCTAACCTCTTGGTTTTTTTTCAATTTTGGCCAAAAAATGAAATTGCTTAAAACCTGCAGGAAAGATGCCTAAGGGACCCTAGAACACATTCCCATTTAATTCGGGTGCTTCTCTTACCTCTAAAGGAATTTCTGCATTGTTTAGAGAAAAGTCCATTTTTGGCCAAATTTCATCAAAAATGTAAGGCTAACCCCTTGTTTTTTTTTCAATTTTGGCCAAAAAATGAAATTGCTTTAAACTTGCAGGAAAGATGCCTAAGGGACCCTAGAACACATTCCCATTTAATTCGGGTGCTTCTCTTACCTCTAAAGGAATTTCTGCATTGTTAAGAGAAAAGTCAATTTTTGGCCAAATTTCATCAAAAATGTAAGGCTAACCCCTTGATTTTTTTTCAATTTTGGCCAAAAAATGAAATTGCTTTAAACTTGCAGGAAAGATGCCTAAGGGACCCTAGAACACATTCCCATTTAATTCGGGTGCTTCTCTTACCTCTAAAGGAATTTCTGCATTGTTTAGAGAAAATTCAATTTTTGGCCAAATTTCATAAAAAATGTAAGGCTAACCCCTTGGTTTTTTTTCAATTTTGACCAAAAAATGAAATTGCTTAAAACTTGCAGGAAAGGGACCCTAGAACACATTCCCATTTAATTCGGGTGCTTCTCTTACCTCTAAAGGAATTTCTGCATTGTGTAGAGAAAAGTCCATTTTTGGCCAAATTTCATCAAAAATGTAAGGCTAACCCCTTGTTTTTTTTTCAATTTTGGCCAAAAAATGAAATTGCTTTAAACTTGCATGAAAGATGCCTAAGGGACCCTAGAACACATTCCCATTTAATTCGGGTACTTCTCTTACCTCTAAAGGAATTTCTGCATTGTTTAGAGAAAAGTCCATTTTTGGCCAAATTTCATAAAAAATGTAAGGCTAACCCCTTGTTTTTTTTTCAATTTTGGCCAAAAAATGAAATTGCTTTAAACATGCAGGAAAGATGCCTAAGGGACTCTAGAACACATTCCCATTAAATTCGGGTGCTTCTCTTACCTCTAAAGGAATTTCTGCATTGTTTAGAGAAAAGTCAATTTTTTTGTCAAATTTCATCAAAAATGTAAGGCTAACCCCCTGTTTTTTTCCCAATTTTAGCCAAAAAATGAAATTGCTTCATACTAGCAGGAAAGATGCCTAAGGGACCCTAGAACACATTCCCATTGAATTTGGGAGCTCCTCTTACCTCTAAAAGAATTTCTGCATTGTTTAGAGAAAAGTCCATTTTTGACCAAATTTTATCAAAAATGTAAGGGGTTAGCCTTACATTTTTGATGAAATTTGGCCAAAAATTTACTTTTCTCTAAACAATGCAGAAATTCCATTAGAAGTAAGAGGAGCACCCGAATTAAATCGGAATGTGTTCTAGGGTCCCTTAGGTATTTTTCCTGCAAGTTTAAAGCAATTTCATTTTTTGGCCAAAATTGAAAAAAAAACAAGGGGTTAGCCTTACATTTTTGATGAAATTTGGCCAAAAATTGACTTTTCTCTAAACAATGCAGAAATTCCATTAGAGGTAAGAGGAGCACCCAAACTAAATGGGAATGTGTTCTGGTCCCTTAGGCATCTTTCCTGCAAGTATGGGTAAAATCAGTCAAATATGTTCATTTCTTTTTCTCAAAAAAAAAATTGATTTTTGCCCAAATCTTCGGCTTTTGAATGTTGATTGATGCTCCTCTTACCTCAAAGGGAAGTTCTGCATTGTTTGCAGAAAAGTCAAGTTTTGGCCAAATTTGATGAGAAATGTAAAGCTAAACCCTTGCATTTTTTTCAATTTTGGTCAAAAAATGAAATTGCACCAAAATTGCAGGAAAGATGCCCAAGGGACCCAGGAACACATTTCCATTCGAATTCTGGAAAAATATGCATTTTAAAACAAAATTTTGCAAAAAAATTGGCGAAAAATCAGTCACAAATGTGAACTGTTTCTCTTCTTGATTGCCTCCAAAGGGAAATCTGCATGCCTTTTCTCTAGACGCCTATTAATGTTGACCACACAGGTCAAAGATCAAAGGTCAAAAAGAACCTTTATGAGAAATTTGATGTCATGAGGAAGTACATTCATGTCAAAATGGTCCGAGTTCTGTTAATGGAACAAGAACTTTGCCTATAAAGCACTGCGCTGCTGGGAATCCTATATCAAATTAGTGTATACTCACCCTACTGGGAATTTGTAGGTGACAAGTGTATTTCAACATTCAGGCCCATTCAGATCAAACCAAAATTGACCATGAGATTTTTACCAGAGTGTTTTTGTCCGTCAAAATACTGCCTTTTTTTAATGGCTGAAGCCCTTATTGCTCTTGCCACATTTGACTAAAACATAATTGTGTTGCATAATCTAATCAGCGTTTTCGCTGCTCTTTACAAATCCTGCATGTATTTGAAAATTGTGCTGTCAGGTGAGAACGACATCTCACATCAGCGACCAAGGTTTCCCATTAGTAAGAGCCGTTGGTATCAAAGAAATTTGACAAATTTAAAAGAATAAGGACAACTTTTCAAGAGATTTCCAAGATGTCAGTGTATCATAACTGAAATATGAAATGGTGTTACATGTTGTCTCCTTCAATATGTTGGACTGAAACTTGTTAAATAAAAGTAACAGGGACATTTATAAATGTCTTAGTTTCAAACTATACAGTAAGAATGTCAGGGTTTTTTCCCAACTGCCCAAGAAAAAGCATGCTTTCATCCATTATTCAACACTCAAGTGAAATACAAAGTGCTATAAGACAAGTATTTTTTATCTATATTTGGCTGGGAAAAAAGACAAAGAAATATACGGCTGTTTAAAGCTGGCCATTAACAATTTTTAGATTCATTTCGGAATTACCTGACCATTTGACAATGTAGGTCGACATTGTGTAAACCATGAACAAATATATTTGAAAAATCCAGATTTTGTCATCATATTAATTTGGCCTTTTATCCTGAACAACACATTTTGAAACATTACATGTATATTTAACTCTTTCCTGCCTTAAAATTAAAAAAAAGTCACATTTTCTTTTAAAAGCATTTTCCTCACTCTAGTCAAAATAAAACAAAATAAAACAGTGAAAGCTATAAAATCATTGTCGCATGCATTCTGAACATGACTGAGTTCTAAAACGACCCTTTTCCTAATGGAAAACACTCGTTATTAATTATGACGGATACATAGTGCAACAGTGAGGCTCATGTGTGCAGCAACACGGAGACTGAACAGCAGGGAACCGCTGCACATGTTCACTGATTGCCTTAATGGGTCTAAATGACCCGTGATTAGGGTACTCTAGCACACCACTTCACCAAGCACAAAGGCCAGGGAAACAGTAGATGGCATGCTTTATTGGGGCGCTAAAATGGAGCTTCCGAATATATCAAAAACAGAAATGCAACAAATCTTGAACAAAATGAGGCCAGCCCGGTAAAGCTGGTTCCAGAGTGCACAAATTTGTATGCAATTGATTCAGAATGGTTATTCACTGGAAGTCTTTTCATTGGCATTATAGGGTAATCCTATACAATAGCACTGCCCCGGACCTCTTTGCCAGTCAGTCAGTCAGTCAGCCAGATAGGCACGAGAGCACTAGGCTGGCCCTCTGGGACCAGCAAATATAATATAAACAAAATTAATTTCCTAAAACAAAATTAATACACAATTTTGAAATAAAAAAACGGATCATGAATTGAACAGCAAGACTGCTCACTTTTTGTGTGTCAATATTTATTGTGTCTTATCAAGTTATCATTCACAATGATCTTAATAAAAAATATATCACTGGAAATGTTCTGAATATTCTATCAATCTTTTCCATGAAAAGATACAGGACTAACTACAAAAAGACGCTATTTACAAGAAAAAAAAATAATAGAAATGTCATCAAAGTGCAACAGCAGGTAAAACAAATCATTGGGTGAATCAAATGAGGCTTGCATTCTTTTTTTTGTTTCCTTCCATTTTTTTTTGTGAAGACAGAGTCGGCTAGAGTTGGTCATCGACCAGAGACAAAGTATTGCACAAACAGTAATTACCCTTACAGCAGGGCACTCAAAATAACGGCGGATCGGAACGACCAAACCAAATAAATGCGGCATATTTCTCGGCTGGAGCACGTTTGGCCAACTTGATTGCTTCTCGTTGCCCGGGCAACAGTAACTGACGGACTAATACAAAGTAAACAGAGGGGGAGTTGGGTGCATTAAAGGAATTCGTTCTCTAGATTGATACTTTTTTCAGATTACCCAAAAATTAAACAGGAAAATTTTCATTTTTTTTTCTAAACTCATGCACACCTTTAAAACAGAAAAAAAATAACAAGTGTCAAAAATAACTGTACTTTGATTACCACTTGGTAATAAAATATATTTGGTTTTTTTTTTATCCAGCCTTTTCTCTATAGAAGACTACAATTTTTGTAAAAAGGAGTCGAAATAAATCTGGCTATTACGTAAAATAACTGACAAAAATATAACTTAATTTACAGACGAATGCCAGAAAATGATTCCAAGAGTATTACAACATGAAGCTGTTTTTGTGCTCATTCTACCCTTTTTACGTTATTAAAGAGAAACGATTGTGGAGAGTGCCCCTTTAACACGCTGTCCCATCACCTTCACCCAACAATGCAATCTAGTTTCTTCTCAAGTCCTGCGAGCCTTTCATTCGTCCTGGACTGTTTTGATAATCTGCACTTGTCAAGCGTCAATGATTATTCCTTCCAGGACATGTGACTGGTTATGACTGCCTTCTGACTGGAATTGTCTCAAAGCTCTGGCTTCATCACTAGCTCCAGCATCATTTAAAATCTCCTGAGCCTGAAGCTAGGGACACAACCTTAATTTCAAAACCGCCTGATCTCAAAACTCAGAAGTGTGAATATTTCCATTTTGTGATCAGGTCTAAAAAGAGGGTCTAAAAAAAGATGTGTGTTGGGGGGGGGGGGGGGGATTAGTCGCCTTAACATTTAACATTTGGAGAAGGAAAGCTACAAACATGACCTACAAGAGGCATCATACTCTCAAATCTGAATACGTATATGTGAGGGAAAAATCAAATTTCACTTATTTCTGCTAGTTTTCTATCAATTATAATCCCTCCCACATTATGAAACACATAATGTAATAATCTCTTTTAAACCATTTATGATTAAAATATGACCAATATACCCAAGAAATGAAAAATGGCAATGCTTTTCTAATTAAAACTATTTAAAAAAACAACTTAATTCTCCAATGTTATTGCTCAGACTGTTTTCTTCAAACTTAAACCGCAAAACCTAAGGTCCAGACTCATGAAGGAAAAACATAAAGACATGATTCAGCTTCTCCCTCGATTCTAATAAATCAATCTGTCATATCATGTGACTGCAGAGCTAGCCACTGGGTCACTGTGACCTCTGACCCTAACTGAAGTGAGCTGTGATAAGCAGAAAATAGTAGACTTTCAGGCTAAGCAGAAATTGGCAGAGTACCAGTTAACAGCAATATAAATGACATGATACTTGGTTGGTAATCAGCTTTTGCTAATCCAATATTTTCCGCGCTTAGCAAATGCCTTTGTTGTGCTCAGCAACTTCATGAAATTGGTCCCTGGTAGTCATACAAACCGGTGTCCGTACTGCTCCGTGCAGTGTGTAATGCATTGTCCCAATCACAACAGTGGATTTATTATTTCAGTTTGCTGGATCACTTGGAGTGGGGAACTATGGGGCACCAACGAGGCAAAACTTTGAAGAGATGTTTTTTCGTTGACATATTTGCACAGAATGGAAGATGCATCAGGAAGAAGCGGAGAGTAGCAGATTCACCTGAAGAAATGGAGAAAAAAGAAAGAAAACAAAAACAGTTGTTTAAACAACTGATGTATTTGTCAGCATTGCGGTGCATTCCTTTTCCAAGTCTCTCAAATATCGCAAAAATTTACGAACCATTATCAGGAAACTGCAATGCAATAAAGAAAAATATATATGCCTGACAGTTTACACCATAAAAATAAATGATAAACAAAACAAGATATCAGAGAGTTCTTATCAAACCGAGACAATTACCCGAGACTGAATTGTAATATATGAAGAGCTTGGATGGGAATCTTAACTATAATCTTTTGAGCTAGAGGGCATTATGGAAGTGATATTACATGTGCCATCTGGGGACTGAAATGTACAAAAACATTTTAATAACTCATCAAAACTGACAAATATTCCAAGAATGCATGTAGATGTTCGTGATAAAATCAAGGATTAGATATAAATATTTGAAGTATGTATAAAAAAAAGCCACGGGCGAATTAAAATCTTCATTGCGATGAAAGTAATATAAACACAAAAATGCAGATACAAACGGCAGACCGGAGACTGAATAATTAGGCCATGAATATATCTCCATCAGATCAGCAAGCAGAGAGATTTCATAAAAATACAAGCCACGTGTACCGGTCTTCACGTGGATTTATGTTTCCTTATTAATTAACGTTTTGGAGGACAATCGTCGAAAAATATATGCAAAGGAAATTAAGGAAAAAAAAGGACACAGGAAAATGTATTAATATTATACAGGACAAGAGTTATTCAAATCACTTTTAAGCTTTACATTCTACAGGCATGCAACTGGGAATTTAAAAAAAGGGGAAATTCCAAACCACACAAGACTTTGTACAGTGTTTTTCAATTTGTAATGGCATTCATGAGAAGCTAAAAACGAGGAAATCAGCAGATCCAAGGAAAAGTTGCATGCCTTAATTCTAAAAACACACATGATGTGCATTAAAAGTATGACTTCACAGATAATGACTGCAAATTTATTCACAAAGTGGTTATTTGTATCTCAACTCCTAAGATGTTGCTTGCCACATTTTCCTAGGTGAACGACCAGGGACAACTTATCAAAGTCAATACATATGATCGGCGTGGGAAGTTCAATTAATCCTCACCTATAAATGGGGTGGTTACCGATTTTGCCAAAAGTTGTGAAATTGTGTTTTGTTTGTTTGTAAGTAGTGAAAACTAAGCCATGTTACCATTTTTTGCACGGACCTGGAGGGTCAGCGTCCTGGCCTCTGACTGACTGACTGACTGACTCCCCAAAAGTGGGACTTTTAGTCATGCTCAACTAGGCAAGTATATTTTTTTAAGGGCTAAACCATGTTATGGTTCAAAGAAAAACTTTATCGTGCCAAAGGATGATAGGTATCGTCTACGACTTATTTTAATGCATGACGCTTAACTTCAAAACCAATATATCCCAATTCAACATTTTAAGCTCAGCAATGGTTAAGTAAAAAAGAAATTCCAAAAATTCCCCCGTTTACTGAAAATTGCACACTGGAGAATGACAAACCAAATTTGTTTTCAGTAAGGCCTTTTACGAGTTAAACAAATATACATATGTGTGCTTTAGATAATGAAAAATTAAAATGGAAGAGTGGGTGCTGAATATATGAATATGTCGACGGGATCAGAGGAAGGAGTCTGAATCAAGCAAGCCACGTGCATTGCAGTCACGTTGACTTCACCCAGTTTCAGCACTCGGGGGTCAAAGATGCTACACGGTGCAAGCTGTATGAAATCATTGTATCAAAATCAAACAAGTACAAAGAAACATTGAGTAATAACATTTCAAAGCTCTGTTTCTTAACAGAATTTGTTTTTTTAATCTCACAATTTAACTTGACTTGTCAATCATATCAGTTTAATTATGGGGAGGGTGGGTTGGTTGGACGAACTTGCTTTTAAAGGGAAGGGAAAGGTACTTTCTGCAAATTTTCGCCCAAAAAAAATTACGACAAAAGTATCATGAGCTAAGGTGACAGGAGGGGAGTTTTCCTCAGCAACTGATTAAGCAGTATGCGATATTGTAAAATAACTTCTTTAATCTACTATCAAACATTCGCTTTCAATGGCAGCGTGTCTTTACAAATCACTCAAACTGAGGCCGCTTTTGTAGAACAAAGGCAGTGAAATCACCTTCAGTTGAGTGATAACTGGCGTAAAATCTAAGAAAATATGATTAAAAAAACACCACTAAACAGAAGACGTTTGCTCAGTGAGGGATGACGTAACAAGTAGGCCCAGACGGTTGTCATTTCGTAACAGACTGACAATATAAACCCTTCTGGACATCAAGCCTTGGAGTGTTTTGTGTTGCTTAAAAAAAGAAGAGAAAAAAACACAAAACACCTGACAACCACTTAGCCAAGTGGTAGCCACGAGGAAACGGCAGGTGGCAAGTTCCCACGGCAACAAAAGAGAATGAAGACCCTCTTGATTGGTCTATCTCGACAACAGGAAAAGTGGACGGTGTTGACACAGGATACGCTAATCTTACAATGCAAACCTGAGACAAAAATGTCACTGAAATTTTTTTTTTTTTTTTTAGATTTCGGGGGGGGGGGGAGGGGGGGGGGGGATAAGATTGAGGCTAGGGGGCTTGATTTGACATTGATATTCCTACAAACACACCTGGTCTGGCTGGGAGGCAGTGTCTATTGGTTTACGGACACCGTCTATTGATGGTGAACCGGTTAAACAGCTGGTAACATTGATGGATTTGGACTGTCATTGCATTGAGATTCTATTCTCGTTTTTTCAATCTGAGCAGATGCTTGGTGGGTTATTCTAAATGCCTGCAGGAAATTGCACTTTTATTTTTTCGACATTCAGATGACGTGACATGTTTTTAATTCATCAGTGCCATGACATTCGGGAAATGGAGTTGTTTAAAGAAACGTTGTCTGTGCTCTTCAACTGATTGGAACTCTTTTTTTTTTTAAAGGAAATCTCTGCAAGCATTATTTATTGTAAAATATGTTTTCCATTTCTCCTCCAAAAAAAGAAGAAGCTTTTATGCCATGCAATAGACCGGTTCCTGATCCCTACATTATCAGTCTAAATGGGAGGCAAGAACCGGTGATTGATGGGTCGTAATTAATTAGGATTTTTTTGTAATTATTCCATAAATCAACCTGAGCCAATTTATCTATTCCAGGTTTCATTCAAAAGTGAATAAACTTTGTATTGCTAGAAAAAAATAGCAATGTAAAACAAAACTTGACTTTTGGAGTGAAACACAAAAGTAGCGTGGAGAGTGGATCTCTGAAAGACGAATTTTGCACCTACATATTATTTCACAGTCACAGCTTCACTTGGATTATTAAATTTGTGGAACGATTTATATTTTACGGAAATGGGTCGCCCAAATCAATTATGGTAACCTACACACTGCAGCAAATCCCTAAACTGATTATGTGAATCTGTCAAGTAGGACAAAAGGGTAAATGGGGCAGAAGAAAAGCAGAGCACAATTAAGAAAGTGGAGCATATTTGTAAGAAATGAGGGGAAACTAGAAAATTCCCAGTCATTTAACCCTCCTGCTGTCTGAACAGTCACAGACAGTCAAAAACCCAACCCTCTTCCCCTGCCATGCCTTTTACACAGGATAGTCACCAACAGTCAGATCATATTTCAAGCAAGCACTGTGACTAGTCAAATTCAGTCAACAGACAAAAGCAGGCAAGTGGTAGGCACAGCTGGCTTATCAATCACCTACTGTCAAAGCATAGCTGTTTCAAGTTACATAAACAGTCGCAGCCAGTCATACCGTAGCCATAGGGGAAGTTTTGTGCAATTGTTTCATTTAAAAAAAAAAAAAAAAAGGAAAATTCTTTTCCTAACTTTTATAATTGGGATGAGCTAGTCACGATTTTGCATATTGGAAAAAATACTGGAAAATTCCCGTACTGAAAAAAAAAATACACTTGAAAAAGACAACAGCTTGTAATCTTGTAAACAACCTTTCTACATACAAAGTTATGACACCAGAAAAAAATTTAAAAATTATGCATTCTTTTGTGCTGTCCAGTTACTCACCTGACTAAATAACTAAAGAACTGAAATTATAATAAAATGGATTTTCATTGTTTGCCGTATCGTTTAGCAGGTGGTGACTGTTTACATGTAGATGGTCTATATTTCAACCAGACTCCGAGAGCTAGTTAGAGTAAATAAAACGCTCTACCAATGTGGCTTGTGGGATTGCAAGCTCCGTAATCGATAGACGACACGTGCTCTCGCATACCCATTTCATCATAGTTTTGTTCTTATCCAAGGCAACACAAAGTCAATAACTGAAAATTGTGAATGTGCAAAAAGCAAACGTTGGATTGTTTTCCTATTTTACGCAGTTAATACTTGAACCCCTATCTAGATACAAGTAGGATTTACAATTCTTTGATACTTTTAATAAAACGAAATATTTCAAATAGCATTTGAGAGGTTAGCGTTAAAAGAAATATGTGGAGACACGAATCGATACGAGGCACATGGATCTGAATACGCATCTGCCGTGTTTTGTGTGTGTAGCTGTTTTTGACGCAGCAATATGGTTAATAACTGAAGGAACAAAATGTGTCCGAGAATCCTGCACGCTCTATGCAAAATAACACAGTGCAGCTGAACTTTCTGGCGAAACGGACAGATTTAAAGAAGTTATAGGAAGGAAAATTAAGGGAAAGGCCTGACAAGTTACTCGACAGTAAGACAGCTGTCAGAAGTACAGGTGTTCATTAGGATTGAACCCCCCCCCCCCCGACCTCGTTGTTATAGTGGATATGATTCTATAACTTGATTCTATTTGGAAATATTGATTTTTTTTCACTGAATAAACAAACCCTTCATTTTCCGGTCTTTAATTATGAAAAAGGTTTCACAGCCCGTAAACTTGAGTCACTGAGAATATCAAGAGGCTGATTTTTTTATTAGCCATATTCTTCGTTTAAAAAAAATAGACTGACAGGCTGTGTACATAAGATGCGGTTGCCAACAGTGGATGTTGTGGCTCATTTGCTACAGGGAAAGGCAAAACTGGGTCCAGCACAAAGAGTTCAGTCCGAGGGATCCTTGTAAACACCATCGGAGGGTTTGTGTTTCTCTGTTTGATCAGGCCAGTGGAAACAGTTTGCCTGTGTCAATTTGTACAGTTGAGAGGCCGGGGAAGCACGTAAAGACGGTTGGCCGAAAAAATATAGATGTTGAGATGTGACCGACAGTGTTTGTCAATATTGATGGATGGTTTGAAACAAATTGGCTGGGAAAAGACGGATGGGGTAATACTGTTAGGCTGCTGGGTACGATACGCAGTAACAGGACCGTTAGCAATCCCAATATTCAGGCAATCGGATATTCTTATTTTGGCCACCAGATTTGCCTGACTTGGGGCCAGATTCTTTTCCACACTGGCTACCAGATTCCCAGACTGGTCACAAATTTCCAAGTTGGCCACAAATTTACCAAATTGGTAACTAAATTACCAAGACTGGTCACCAGTTTCCCCAGAGTGGCCACCAAATATCCTAAACTGGCTACTGGATTTCCAAGACTGGCCACCAGATTTCCCAGACTGGCTACCAAACTTCCAAGACTGGCCACCATTTTCTCCAGAGTGGCCACTAGATTTCAAAACTGGCCACCAGATTTCTCAGATTTCCAAGTCTGGCTACCAAAATATCCTATTTTTCCGCCAGATTTTCTAGACTGGCCACCCGATTTCAAAAACTTGCAACTTGATTTCCAAACTGGCATCCAGATCTCCAAATTGGCCACCAGATTTTCCAAGCATTTGTAAACTGATGTCTGTAACCAACAGCGTATCATGAAGTGCTCTCGATCCCTGGCCTGCCAAAGCAGCAAGACACGTCAGCCATTAATGTCTCAAGCAATTTGTCAAATCTCACCCATCGCTGATGGAGTTAATCACTTAAATTGAATACATCACAGGGCAAACACGCACTGCATCTGTAATTTGATTTTTTTTCAACCATTCAGATGTGTTTTTCAAGCAAACTACTCTACTGTCTGTGGGAAAATTCGATTCAGGGCAATTTCCAATTTAATTTGACGGCAGGCTGGGTGTTTACGAGCCTGTGTGTCTTTTTAAAAATTCATTAGCAGACCTGCCTGGTGATTTGAATTTAGACAAACTTGGCTTTTATACAAGGCGACATTTGGACTTTTTGTATGAATTGCATTCAAATTGAAATTCTTTCAACCGTGCATCAACAAGCAATATTATGGAAGCTTTTCTTGGTAGGAGCATGGGAGGGACATGGGAGGGACATAGGAGGGGCATTGGAGGGACATGGGCGGGGCATGGGAGGGGCATGGGCGGGGCATGGGAAAGATTTGGGCATGGGAAAGATTTGGGCATGGGAAAGATTTGGGCATGGGAAAGATTTGGGCATGTCATTGGACGTAGAAGAGGTGCTGGACGGGCGTGTCCTAAGGGCACTGAAATTGACTGGTTGGGTTAACCTAATATTTGGTGTTACTTATATGGGTGTGTGTGGTCTCCATTTGTTTTAACCAACTTGAAGACATCCCTCTGTTATTTGAATGGTATCCCTGCATTCCCTTGTGTCGATTACCAACAAACTAAATTTTCTTCATGTTTTATTTAGGAAAAATGTTTTTCTTGGAAAATGCTAAGGTAAACGAGTAGGCGATCTTGTCAATTAAAGCTAAACTTGGGAAGAATATTCGGCGAGAGGATCTATTTATCTTGGTATCAGATTCAGTAGATAAAAACATGAGGCTTTGGGTAAAAATAAGCATCTAAAAATAAATTACAGTTATTTCTAAAGACGGGTTCCAAATGTCACTTGTACAATATTCAGGCAGCAGTCTCGCGCTCCGGACGAGAAGATTAACAGGTCCAAAGAAGACAAGTTGTGGCATCATGCAGAAAGACAGTTGTGTTTCCTGTCAAATTACTGTACATCCTCTTCATTCATTTTAATGAGGTTAATTTAGGAGGTTCAGACCGAATTGTTATTTTCCTGAAAATGTAGACATGTCCAAGGTTTAAAAATAGTGAGAATAACTCTCATAACAGTGTGGCGAAAGTGTTTTTTCAAATGTGGTTGCATCATTTTCCAATTACAATTAAATTAAACTGATGAAAATACGCAACAAATCTGTTATTGTCATGAAAATGTAAATGAGTTGGTGCTTTTAGAAGAGCAAGAAAGACACACACACCATAAATTACAGATTTTCCTTCAACTGGACGGAAAAAAAGTGATTTTTTGTTTATTGTTGGATGCCAACACATACTTTTTAAAATATCTATCATTCTTGCACGTTTGTCCCCATACAACTGAAGTTGTTTTACAAGTACTCTCCTATACATTTAGTACTGAGAAACTGTGTATTTACAACACCTTAGGTTATTGTTTCAAAAGACACACAATTCTGTGAGTTTCTTCAAGTTTAACTTTAGAAGAATATCAACGCTTTACTACAGTTCATAGAAATTTTCTTTCAGAAGCATAAACACTGTACATCATTAGCTAGATTTAATTAATATCTGATATTTTGTTCATTAATAATCAATTGCATCTTGATCTATTTCATGAACTCAACTGCAAGTTGAAAAACATATTGAGAATACATTTCGCACTTTCCATTAATGTCTTTTTGTTTAAAAAAGTGTCAGTGAAAGTCAAGTAAATAATCATCCTCAATACAAAATGGCACTTTCAATTTTTTTCAGTTTCATTCATAATAAATGTTCTTAGGTTTGCAAATATTACAACAGCCCCCTTAAAAACAAATTTTAGTAGAGATTTCGATTGAAACAAGTTAACTGATTGGTCTTACAATGTACTTTCATCAACACTAGTAAAGGGGGCGAGAAATAAGGAAAGCATTACCGATGTATAAAATAACTTATAAATACTGTATGAATAATATATGCTTCATTATTAAAATTCTAATGTATTGTTTAGTGTTGGACGGGTGCACCAGAAATAGAAGTGGAAAAAGATTTTGAAAAAATAGTTTTTAAATCAAATTTTACCTTTTGGAACGGTACAAACAATATCTCTTGACCAAAATTAATCACACTTATTTTTGAAAAACCTAGGCACGACATAATTGCACCGAACAGAGAAAACCCATTTTTACAACAATACTCTCATTAACTTTGAATATTTTAACAGTTAACTCTCTAAATTCCACCACAAATCCAACACTTTTGTTTTTGCTTAATTCTTTAATTCTGAATGTCGGGCCTGGCACTGTTACTTAACATGGGACTCAATGTCCTTGTTGCGTTCAAGCACAAAGACCTTGCCATGTTGGCCATACTCACCACAGTGTTGGATTTTGGTGGATCCGGAAAGTTTGATGAGAAAATCCAGAGAGTTACAGGCTATTTAAAACTCTAATAAGTGTTTATAAGCTGTGTTAGTGAAGTGGCAAGTTCTATTGTCATTATGCAGGGTGAACAGATGAGAACTTTTTGATCACATGTACACAATGTGCCTGTTGGTGTTCATATCAGTATGACTGCTTACTTTCTGTGAGACAACTGTCACCCGAGTGGTTCGCCGGAGAGTCCAGACCCGGACTATTCGTTCTCGGTTCCTCTCTGTACAGCAGTTTATCGCCAGCATGCTCTCCCGAAAGTCCCGGCTCCAAAAGGCATAGACGAACGGGTTCAGGAAGGAGTTTGTGAAACCGAGTGGCACTAGGCAGTCTTGGACGATAGTTTTAAGATTGCAGGATTCTGCACAGATTGCGTGGACAGCAAGCACAACGAAAAAAGGAGTCCAGGTTATAACAAAACAGCCGATGACCACTGTAAGGGTCTTCAGGGCTTTGTTCGTCCGTGAGGAGCGCACGTTGCGCACTACGCACGTGTTGCGTTGGAGGTCCGCGATTCGCCGGGCCTGGTTGCGGGAGATCTGGAGGATGCAGGCGTAGAAGTAGAGCTGGACTAGTAGGGGTGGTAGGTAGCAAGCGAACGTCAGGAACAGCATGTAGCTACCGATGAGGGTACTCAGGACCTGGCAGCAGCCGACGTAGGCGGATACGTCACTCCAGCCCATCAGGGGGGCAAATCCAATTAGTACAGCCATGATCCAGATGATTGCGACAATGACACGGGATTGGAATTGTCCCACGCGCTGTGTGTAGACCATGGGGTTGGTGATGGCGATGTAGCGGTCGTAAGCAATGCCAAAGACACTCAAGATGCTGGCCATGGAGGCGAGGATCAGGAAGGCAATGCGCACCAAGCACCACCTGGGGTCCGGGACCACGACACGCATCATGACGGCTTCAATGACGCAGTTCATGCCAACTAACAAATCAGCGACAGTCAAGCTGATGATGTAGTAATACCCAGTCTGCAGGAGGACCTCGTTCTTGAGGATCACAGCGAGCACGATGACATTCCCGATGATGATTAGGACACCCAGGATTAGAAAGACGACGAAACTACCGATGTCCGAGCTGGGATTCTGCGTTGCACAAGGCATACCTGCCAAAAATTGGTCCATAGGCAGTGGCACTGTGACAGAGTTGTTGGGTGCCGCCATCTCATTGCCACAAATTTAAATCTCGGAAGATGAAAACTTTTTTGATCACAGTCAAAACAGCAATGACTGGCAGTTAAATGTTTTTGCGAAAACTCACCAACTACCGTACTTTCACTAATCTGTGAGAGCAAAGATCACCAGCAAAGTTAGAAAGAAAATCTTCCTGCAATCCTCTGTTTTCCTTGAATGGATACTTGTTCTCTGTTTTAGCAGATGTTCAGTAAGCAGTGCAGTAAGTAAAAGTATCTTCAAACCAGACTGGTCGGGTCTGGCCTTAATACTGTGCACTCTCTGGCATTGCAATGACTTTATATCCAAAAAACATACTGTTCAAGTTTTCAAGTCTTTTCAAGAGACAGAATCATTCCTTCACGTGACTTTCTAGGAGGCGGGCACTGAGAGACATAAACCTTAGCTTTTACTGAATCATAATGGCTTAATTCCAATTTATATTGATGAGATGAAGATCCTCCAAGGTGATCAGAAAATAGGTTAGAGTCTCCTGAGATGCTGTGACTACTTGTAAGTCACAGGACTTCAGTAAGCCAATATTTTTTTGTAACTCCCTCTCTTCTGGCACACGTTGATTTATGTAAATCAATTTTCGAGGGAGGAATGCATTAGGTAGAAAGGCAGCGACAACAAGAATTCAACATTTGAAGTTATCCAATGTTTGTGAAGTTCTTAAGTCACTCACAGAAATGGCAAAGTTTTGATGATGTCTATTTGTTTCCACGGTGTTAACTGAAAAAGTTGGCAAAATGTGGTCACGAGTTGAATGGTTGTCGAAATAGAACAAAAATGTTGCAGTCAAATCCTGATTATCTCCTAGTTGAGACTACAACTGTTTATCCAAGACACTCAGCAAAAACGTTTTCACGAGTAGTTGTCCTAACTCTAATCGAAATGATCTTAAATCATCTCCCAATCAACATTTGATGATGATGTCTGTGACGCTGAGTGTTGCAATTTAGTGCCTTGTGGAGATTTTGTAGATCATCTGTCCCGCTCCACTTCGGAGAGAGAGAGAGGAACAAAATTAAGCTGATCAAATGATGCAGGTGTCCGGGGAATATGTCCCAATAATTACCCGCGTAAGCGCTTCGTGTTCACCGCCACTATCAAGTCAGCCAGGCGTAATCTGTGCACTGGCTACAGTACCGGGGAGCTGTGTGCGAATCCACAGGGAATTGGAGCAGTTGTTGCCATAATCATCAGTCGAGACAAGTCTGGTTTTTCTTCTCCCCGCTGATTTACTATTGTAATTGTCCGCCTCCAGTGCCCATCAATTACAAGGGGTTCAATCCGGCAACGCAAATTCTTGTCATGCCTCGAAGTAAATCCTCAGTAACAATCCTCAGTAACCACTGATTCACTCCTTTTTTCGTTCTCTCTTTTTTTTTTTAGAACAGATAATTCACGGCTTCTAATCGCCCAGTGGCCCAGTGACATAGAAAAGTCACTGCTGCGTCATCAAATACATGTTCTAATTTGGAGGTTGCTGTATATCACAATGTAGATGAAACACATATCTCTACATGTACATGTAGTTCGGTTTTTTTAAACAAAAGCGTTCATTCCATAGAGTGCTCCTATCTAAACAAAAAAAGATGAAAATCGGCAGAGATAGCAAATGTTTGCTGGATGGTCTTGAGGCGTTACAGTCAAAACCTCCCGTAACCAAAGTTTCAATTCTCGAAAAAATGCTATCTAGATATCCTGTATAATCACTATGTGCTGATTTAAATGCTCTGCATAAAACCAAAACGTTGGAAATCTCTGTAGAATCCTCCCACTGATTTCTCCAATCTTATTGGCTGTAAACTGCGCTCAACTCTCTCCCCCAGTTAATATGCAACAGAATTTTTTTTTCTACAGTGAGCAGTTCAGCACTGTATGTGCGACTCTGCGATCTGATTGGATGCTGAATCACTGCTCATTTGAATATTCTGGTAATGGATAACAGCTTGGGTTTATCACACACGTCAGTGTCTGTGGACTATCAGCTGTATCCATCTCGGCTCTGAGTTGCGGCACAGACTACGCAATGAACAAAATGCAAATATTACTGTGATTGCTGTGATTGTAGTTACAATAAACTACCTCAGGGCAAAAAAGGGGGGGGGGAATCTTCTTCTGTTTAAATTATTTCAGAAACACGATTTCAATCTTGAAGATTTACTGCACATTTTGGATATTTTGGAATATTTGTAATGTCTTTCAGCTATACTTAAAACAGTGAGTTTACATTGCGACCTTACAAGATAATTAAACTCTGAAAAAAATAAAATATTAACAAAAAATTGAACAATTATTTTTATAACTGATACTGAGTTTAACCCTTTTGATATTAAACCCACGATTTTCAAACAAAATTGTTCTGTTCTGTTTTCCTAATACTATGACCACTAATCAGCCAATATTGTAAAGGTAAAATTATAATAATTCAAGAATCTGTCATCAAATTTGGTGTCCACATGTTTGTATCCTAAATATTTTGACAAGCATTTTAATAAAAGTCATTTTGAGGTTGAAATCAAAGGTTTTCTCAATTCTTTCAATAACAGCGTCGTCATTTTATTTTCCCTAAACAGACATCCAAACAAAGGCCTGCACGCAAAACCAAGTTAATAATTCACAGTCTCGACCACAGACAAATCCAATCGATTTGGTCGGCCCGACGGCCGTCCACCCACTGAAGCACCTATTTCCTGCCCGAAGTGACATCACGATGACATCGCCGTACACCATGTGTGAAGCTATTTCCTTTTGCAGACGACATGAAACAGCTGGCAAAATATAGACTGAGGAATTCTACCCAATCACACAACCTTTACGACTATCTACATGTATACATGTATTCATATACAATCTGTAACAAATATAAACTTGACATATACAGCATTTCTTTTTACTCTTTTTAAAATGTACCCAAACAGGTGCCTACAGTGTGTTTATTTTAAACAAATTTTTCCCTAGATTACTTTTCATCCCCCTCCCCCCCAAAAATAACAAGTACCAAGAGGTACAACCCACGGCGGCCGAGTAACGCGTAAAGACGGCTTACGACACCGTCCATGCACCCGGGCCGTACCGAAACTGTAGAGAGTACCGAAAACGAAAACGAATGGAGAGTGATCTAATATGCAAATTACACGCAATTATCAAAACCGATCTTCAAAAGCAAAGCTGTAATACTGAAGTTGCATGAAAACAATAGGTGGCGAGAAAAGGTGTTTCACACCGCCGTGGAAAAAAAAATAACCCAAAAGCAAAGGAAGAAACAGAAGAAATGAAAGAAATGCTTTAGAAATGCCTTAAAATATTCAGTGTCTGATTAACTGAATCCTCCATAGATTCTGTCACAAAATAACATCAATACTACATTTTTTTATTTATTTTTTCTGGTAGACAAAATTTGATTGAAGTAACAGACCAAATGAAGCAACCATATTCAGTTGTTCTTCGAGGTTCAATACCTTTGGATAGCAATGACCATGCACTCGATCAGTGTAGAACAAAACAAGAAGAAATGCTGCATGTCTACTAATGAACTGTCTGCCTAATTTGATTGTGTTTTTCCTAATTAAATCATGTTACAAAACAACCTCTAGACCCATCGTTATAAGCGCATAATCTGTCTCCGTTGCCTACGGTAACAAGACCTTCATCGTCAATGAACTTGTAAATTGTGGAATCTTAATCTGCTACGTAAGAAAGAAAAGATTCTTTAAATTGACAGATTTTTTGTTCTGTTCAATTTATGTTACTCCTTATTGATTCAATTTACGCAGGGAAATGCAGAAAAAGCTGCATATTGCACAAACAATCATGATACAATGCCTCGGCACTCTCATACATTTGAAAGCCAACTCTATGTTTTCAGAAGTCTCTTGTGCTCACACATAAAAAAAAATAATCAAATGAAAAATGTTGTCGGCAAAGCATTCTAAAGAAGCATTAACGACACTTTAGTCTTGGTATGGTGGATCCACAATGTCAGGATAACTTCAGTAAATTAATAGTCTTTTGGGGGCGGGAGGAGGATAAGGAAACATTAAAACAGGTTTTTATCTGTGAAAAACTGGAAAAGTATTCATTATAAAAAGCAAGATGTTGCCAAAGATTATAATTCAAAGACACTTTAATTAATCTGTGTCATTAAAATCTCATATAAATTGATAAGTATGTGATGGCTTTAAGTTTGTACTAGCCAGAACATTTTCACTGTATAAATTTAAAGACCAACTCTTGTTCAGGTGCCAGTGTAAGTGTGGACAGTACTGCTGCAATAATTGTTCTTGGAATCTGGTACGTAAGATTGTGTGTCTTTTAAACATCGTCCCCCTTTTTTTGAACCGTAAAGGTTCTGCCATGGCACCACGATTATGGCAGCATAAAATTGCCACTCCATCCAGCAAGGGAGCGTGGAGTACCAACTCATACAGTTGACAGCCTCGGAATGCAAGTGGCCATCGAACGTGAGTTCCCATCAAGCGAGGGCAAAAAAAAAAATGCCGAAAAATATGAGCATTGCGTATTTCGCTCTGGCTGAACAGGTGCTCTGAAGAGCTGATCAAACAGAGAGTGGCTACTAAATATGTCTGGAGAGGCTACCAGGCCTAAATCTAAAGAAACATTTAATTGAAATCTGATGGGCAGTGGGGGAACAAGTGTACACTGACCCGTACTTCCAATCTCAAAATTACACATTTTGAAACTCTTGAATCTCTGATTTCAAAGGAATAATTCAATAAAAGTGCAGGTGATAAGTAGAAATAACGTGTCACTCATTTAGGTGATTTTTGTGTGTGTCTAAATATATCTTGATGTGCACGGAAACACAAGAATGATAAATTATTTGCAATATTCCTACATGGCAGGAACAAAGCAAACAATAATGATAATTAACTTTTCAAACTGTGCTCCAAAAATAGCTTTTAATCAATAGCTAAAATAAACATGTCCCAGCCCAGTGATGACATTTTGAAGGTTTTCATATTAGCGGACAAATGCAATAGAAGAAAGCCGACAAAATTTATGATTTAAATCTTAAAGTTGGACGGCACGATGTTACAATGTCCACCATAATTTCAGCTCAGAATACTAAAAATATAGCCTCCAGTTCGTGTCTTTTATTATGGCTGTGAGCGGCTGTATCTTTGTGGCAACCATTCTCGCTGGTTGCCACCCGACAACACTTCGCATAATGATGAAGATGAATTGCGATAAGCACACACAGGTAAACGTGTCGGCAATAATACTGATCGGGCTACAGACGTTATGGATTTGCGGCATCCTTTTCCCAAACGTATCTACCTCTGCTTTTGTTTGGTTGTCGTGAAGACCAAATTACGTTCGCTTTTCTCGTTTGAGTCCATGTGACGGCAAGCATTGAACTTTGTCATGCAGAAAAGCCAGACAATCTAGGTACTAATTCTGATTTATATCAATACTTGGTTGTTTAGATTTTGTTATTGGTTTGAGACTTTATGTGATTTATTATTTGATTAATCTCCCACACAAAATACAAGCCGAGGTTCGTAATAGTATGGCAATGTTATCAGATACGACATCACGAATGTCTGTTCAACAACATAGTGTTTGTTGTAGCAACTAAGGACTATACAACATGGGGCTAAGTTAATAAACAGTGGATGTGCATTCGGTTACATGTGCGTGGAGATTTGTATTGTTACATTCACGATCATTACAAAATGTGTTTCCCATGCTATTTTCGAGTTTCACCTCGAAAAATAGATTTGTGTTTGAAATGCTATTTTCCTAGCAATATAATAGTTCATCACTTTTGAATGAGACACCGAACAAAACACTCCACCAACGTTTTAGTTATTGAACTATTTCTTCATAAATTTCGAAAAATTGGCTGTAGACAATAATTCAGCTCTCGCAGGGCGGGTGCACTTGTGCGCAAAATGAAAGTCCTTTTTCAGAGGGTTGCAGATGGCCGAAATCGGAATAAAGTAGTTTTTCATGTCAAAACAAAACAAACAAATTGAAATTCACCGATCATGCGCACGGCCAATAAGATATCAGACTGGTTCCTTACCTGTTCCATGGTCGGGCAGCCGATGATCTGCTGGTCCTCTTCTGGGTAGTTCTCCTTGACGAGTACTTCAAGTTGCTGATAGGCCTGCTGCACGTTACCCTAAAATTTGAAAAAAAATTATAACTTTAATAGGATTTTTGGTTTTTCCCTGATTAGAAATATATACACTTTATGTCCTTATTGGCTAGCCTTTGCAGAGTTTAACGCTTGCCTGAAAGCTCAGTTTTGATTAGCTACCTGGAATTTTTTAAACATGAGGAAGAATGGTATTTAAATTCCAACCAACCTTGACGGGACGGAAGAGTATATACTCCGTGTCCTTATTGGCTAGATACAGGGACATCTTCCTGAAGACGGCCGGCAGCCTGGACTTGACCTGCCTATAGGTGGCGCTCACCACTTCATGCACTTTCTCTGCAACAAAGAAAACACAGTTTAATGTTTTCTGCACAGCCACCACCTGCGCATAGTACTCTTTGAAACCACTGGGCCATGGGCTATGAACCCAACTGCAAATTAATATTTTTTTTTACAAAATTAAGGAACTCAATCATTCATCATTACCTGCTGTTGCAAACGGCTGTTTTCTCAGCGACACCTGCGCTGCTTCAGATTCCTTATGCATGTCCAGTATTACAGTTGCCTGAAAAAAAAAATTGTTAAATTTCATTTTTTTATTCAGTTGATGAGACAACATTTTCTATCCTTTTACTTTGGTTTAGTCAATTTTTCAAATTCTAGCTATATTCATTCCACTTTATAAAAAAAAAATGTTGTATAATTTATTTATTTATACAACAGGTCAATAAATTGGAAATAGCACGATGATCCTTTCCACATCGGCTGAACTTTACATTGGTTTACTAACATAAAACAAGTGATAATTTGTTTGTTAAAGAGTAAAACAAAAAGAAATGTAAGCACTGACCTTTGTCAAGAAGGAATTGAGTTCAGATATTAGCGTGTCTGTCACATGCTTGATGAATCTTTCACAAGTCTTCTTCAGATGTGTGTCCACGTCTTTCTTGGAGTCCAGGAAATGCTCCGTCACGTTTGGGGCACCCTGGCAGATGGATTTTGAATCAAAAAATTATTGTTAATAATACAGACAATCAAGTTTCAATTTGAAAGCACCTGCAACTCGGTAAAGAATACATAACGATGGGAAATTTTGCATATCCCATCAAACTAATGTAAAACTGCACTTGACTATTCTATGAAAATTTACACAAACATTGAAAAATAAAATAAATAATTTGTTTTTGAATGGAAAAAAAAGTTTTCAATAAGTTTTCAGCAGATGTTCTGATCTGTTCGTAATATAAACTGGATATATTCTATTACCCCTGATCAACATGCCAATATATCATAACTCACCTCAAAGAGGAATTCCAGGAAGGCGTTGTTGCTGCCGAGCGCAAATATCCGGGAACGCTTACTCAATAGACTGTAAGCAGCAACTAAAGAACGGAAGGGAAAGTAAGTAAGTAAGGTTAACAAAGTAAAACATTTCTTTGGGGGGGGGGGAGGGAGGGTGGAGAGGCATTACGTTTGTTCAATCTACCTACCTTTCATTGTGGAGAAATCCAGCGCTGTTTCCTTGATGGAGAATTCCACCTGGAACGGTGCAATCTGCTCCCTAAGGATCAGCAGGTGTTTGACTAGGAAAAGCATTCCGTCTAATTCCGTCTGCAGGAAAAAGCATATGGAAAAAGTAAAGGAAAAGACTCCCTATCTTGATGATATTTTGCAAGATTTAGAGGGATTGGGATTTTATTCTTAAGTTTACAGAGTGCTGGGTAATGGAGGTTTTATTGGTAAAAAAACCCTGTTTGTACTTCACCAAATTTTAGAGCTAGGTAATCACATTACAACTACGATTGTTGAGGTTGTAAAATTTGCTCCAACATTTTTGGGACTAACAATAAGATTGGAAGCAAAGCCAATACATAATAATGACTAATTGCAGTATCCCCTTCTATTATACATTCAGCTGTCTCCAATAGAAACCAGAATGAGCTCGCGAACTTTTTCCTTGCAAACCCTTGGACAGCTCCTTTGAATCAAGTTTGTGAAGGCAATACACAAAACTGACATTTAATTTAGTTTTTGGGGTTTTTTGGTTGTTGTTATTGGATTTGGTTTGTTGTATAGTTTTTTGGGTTTTTGTTGTTGTTGGTCTTACTTGACGCTTGACGATGCCCAGTTCAGCAACCACCAGACTCTGGATGCAAGACAATAAGGTTTCCTGGGACAGACCTTGGAAAATGGCTTTCTGGAGGAAACAAAAAGGAAGATTATTCTAAGAGTTATCTCAAATATTTTGTTCCTTCAAAAATGAGTAATTTGGCCACTGGTAATAAGCAACCGAAGACGGTATTAAATTTGATGTCCACGCAAGAATCTGGTCAAATTTCTAATGTCAAGATAATCAAACTCAAAAGAATTTCCTAACCGAAGTTGAATATATAATTCCAGAATCAAATGTTCAGTTCTCTTAAAATACGTACATACAACAAGGAATAATTGGGCGAAAAGTTAGCAGCAATACTTGCCATTTCAACATAAGAGAGTAACAATTATATATCAGGGAATTGTTTTTCACACGCTCTCAGACTAATTGATCATGGAGTGCTCGTAACATTATCTCCGAGGCTGGACAAAATCTACAAAAAAAAATCACATTTAAGCCCAGAAAGTTTAGAAGACTCACATCAATGCACCTGTAGAGTTTTGAGAGACAGACCAGGGTTCTTCTGACGGTAGGGTACCACATGCCATGGAGGTCAGCCGGGGATAGGTTGGTGGAAGGCTGGGCTAGCTGACTTATTGAACGACCTTTGCAAACAACAAATAAAAACAAATAAATCAGTTGGTGAATTGCATAATGACTCACAATAGACCCTTTGCAAGAAAGACGTTTTGGAGGTACAAAACTTGTATTCCCCAGGGATAGCCATGAGTATACATTGTGTGTGCTTACTGATTTCAAATAACCAAAGAAAATTCTGATGGTGCTGCTAAATACAAATGATCCCACCTCTGACACCGTAATTTTCATATTCACCTTCTACCATCGGACCGCCCTGAAATTACATCGAAAGACATTCATGGGCTGTCCTGGTTGAATGCCAGATGCTAACAAATAACACTAACCTATAGGTTTTGGGGGTAGTGTTCCATTCGCCCCCTCCCCTTGCGGTGTGCCACTCCTGTCTGGCTGGGCGTTCTCCGGCGTGACTCCACTGAGAGCAGCTACCTCCTGGCTGGTGGAGGAGGCCAGGGAATCACCAGAGCTTCTCCTAGACATGGCCTTCTCACGCTCCTTCTCTTTGAGGCTCTCAGAGATGCTCTGAACGGGAAAGGAAGGAGGACGGAATATCAGTGAGATGCAAGACCCTAACCCAGCCAGAAACAAAAACAGTAGAGAAGAAATGTAGTCTTGAAGTCCACTTGAGTTGAAAGCTACAGAGTCTGAATGTGCCAGGCATTGCAGAATGTGAATCTAAGATTATAAAATGGTCAAGTCAGGCTGAAGCCAGGGCTTGAGTCCAATTTTGGCCTAGAGCTCGTTCCTACAATAACAAAAAATTCAAAATATCTATAAAGATTTGTTTAAAACTAAATTTTCAGATTTTTTTTAATTCCCTGTTTTCTTAAAAGTGCAAGCTTGCAATAATTTCATGGGGCGGTCACCGTAGAGCATCTATTGCTCCAGGTATCATAAGCATCTTTACAACAGTGACTTTTCTTTACCCTTCACCTTGCCTGTCCCAAATATTTCAAAATCCATCTGCGGTTCTTGAAAGAGTTTACAGGACCAAGGAAGGTACAGCCTGGCCATGCTCCTTTAAAAATAAAAAGGATCATGTGGGTTCCTGCACAGAGGTAGATTTCGGAAAAGTCAGGAAGGTTCATAGCAAAGATGAAAAGAGTTATAAACTCAGTTCATTAGTGGATAAATGAATGATGGGCCTGTACTTACCTCCATCATTTCCAGCTTTTCGGGGTAGGCCAGATCTCCCGGTGCCGGCTTGTAGTTCAGTATGTCCGTCTGCACATAGATGCTGGCACGGTAGACCAGCCTCATCTGCACGTCTTCCAACATCTGTCGATTCACGATCTCAAAGGCTTTCAGCTCATCAGCTGTAAATAAATTCATCAGTCACTGCTTGAATTGAGTAGGACTGTTCACGCAACACAGTGCCCATTGATCGCTGCCTGAGAAGCAATCGGTCTATGGAGGAAAGTTCCCCACAACTTTTCTAGGATTATTGAGATACCTTTAAATGTTTTACTTACGATTGGTCAGAACGTGGTCTTGTAGCATCTCTATGTGGAGGATGCTGCAGAGCTCAGAGAGTGTCTCCAGATGGTTGATGTGAATGATCAACGGTCTCAAGACGTCGTACAGACTCATGCTCAGACCTTCTAACATGGTGCTACAATTGAGAACGCGGTACGAAAAATAGTCAATCATAGTTATATCCGACAAACAATCACATCAGGAGTATCATTCAGGATGGTGGTTTCATTCAGGATGGTGATTTTTTTTTAATGGCGGCCTTTTTAAAAATTATTAAGCGACTCTTTGAGGATATTTATTGTGTCATATTATTATTTATCAGGTACAACATATAAGCTGCACGCTATAAATGGGTAAGTAAGAAAAATACAATGGACTCACTCGAGTTTGTCAGTTTGCCTGGAGAAGAAATGAAAGAAAAGTTGGTATTCGTCTTCACAAACATGCACCATGAATGCACAGCCACTACGGACCTGAAAGAGGAGAGAATCAATTCATGAACCTTGAAAAATTGACCTCATGTATATGAGGAATCCTCAGTTTGTTACCAGCCATAACATAACAAAGGTATTGATAAATAATAACAAATCAGAGAAACTTACCAGGGCACAGTGGTCCCTGACGTGTTTCGTGGCTAACTCGTTGACGGCTGCCGTGATGCTGGGAGCTAGGAGTTGCTGACGCTGGTTGAGATAATATTGGTGGCAGTCGTCCAGCAGGGTCTGGTACCTGTAGGGATGGAGATTAAAATGACACTGAATCATGTGATACTCACAAATATGGGCTATTGACATGTTCGAATCAACTCGGCTCTGTTACTTACTCTGGACTTTTATCCAATCGTTGCTCTATCTGTTCCATCATTCCCTTCACCTTGGGCGCATGACTCCGGAATTTGCCGTAAAACAACGTGAAGGCATTCTCTGATGAGTCAGCAGTTACATCCTGGGAAGGTGAAGGAGAAGAAAAAAACACTTGATGATTCCAAAAAACACTCATACTACACAACTTATTATTTAAACTTCACAATTATTACCCCTTGTCACTAGGCCATGAGACCAATTATTTGCACGGATAATTTGGCTTGGTATGGTTCCCTACCTTCTTTGGTAGAACCTGCTGTGTGGCGTTCTGCAGGATGTTGAACACCGAGGACCTGACTACACTCAGGGCCTTGGTGAGGCAGTGCTTAAACTTGGCCTGGTACACGTCCGATTCCTTGTACTGGGGCTGTTCAAGGGGGAAAAATAGAAACCTTTGCATTAAAATTGGTTGTATATTTGTGAAACTCATCAGTCCTTCAACAACTTCAACAACTATGGGTGTTACTTCCTGTACCGCCTCAACCATCCATGGCTGTATAGTTTTGTGGATTAATCAGGACATATTAAATACAATGTTATACAATGTATTACAGGCGCTAATAAATATACCAATATTTAAATGAATATAAATAAATAATTTCTGACAGTTTTCTTCGGTATTGCAATATTTCCTTTAAGGGAAGAATTTCAAGAGAAAATTTAAAAAAAAGAAGAAAGTTTGTTTCAATAATACAATCATATTCACATTACAACTTAATTACTCGTTCCATACAAAGCAGGCCCATGCATGGTTTATTGGACACTGTTAGTAAGATTTACATGCAAAGTCTGAAAAGCTATTTTAACTGTTCCTGCTGTCGACATCTACTACCACTTGAGCTTTTTTTTTCTCTCAGCCAAAAAAAAAGCATCTCTGCGTTACTTTCCAGACGCCATGGAAATCAGCCGTGCCAAACATTTTATGAACATTTTAACCGCTCCACAAACAGATACACAAAACACATGCTCCAAACACAAAAAGATGGCATTTACAATTAACCCACAAAATGGAATATTGATGAGTGTGATTATTATGGGATATCGTTGAATGATGGAAGCATGCAGTGGGCAATCAGTCAGACAACTTGACTCTCACCTTATATTCTTCACTGTGCTCAGAATCTGTGTCTCCAGACTTCTGTGCATGTTTGAATGTGGTTATAATTTATTGCTAATATTTGACACTTAATGGTTGGAAATAAATACTAATTTCTACACGAATCGTTTGCTGATATTGCTAATTACGAAACTACTAAATTACAACTAGTTCCAAAATACTAAAACAAGAAAAAACAAAATGGCAACAGTCAATGTATTTCCACAGAACAAAACAAAAATAATTGAAATAATGCAAAAAGCATTCACATCTGCATAGTGTTGTCAATCATTCAAAAGATAATGTCAAACCCTATTCCAACATAAACATGAAGTCTTTTACTCACATTCACGGTGATGTGAGCAATGCACTCATCCAGCTTCGTCAGCATGGGAACAAACGACTCGCTCGTCACAGAGAACGTGGGAGAACTGAGTTTCTGTAAATGTGGCCAGGAAAAATGCAAAAATATCTGAGCTTAGAAAAAACAACTTCAATGGTGGTATTCAGTATTTTTTTCCAGCCTCTCTGTGATTTCTGTCCAATTTATAATCTTTACCTGATTGATTCTCTCCAGTTCGTTGAAATACGACAACCTGCTACTGATGGCTTCGGCTTTGTTCACAAGTGTTGTCTGGAAATAAGAAAGAAAAAAAAAAACTGTCCAACTTGTCATTCACATATTTTATCCAATATCAATTTTGCAGATGAATTTTAAGCTTAAAATTTGTAACTCAGTGAGAAATATACCAATCTTTGTTTTTACTTGCTCTTAGCTTCCAGAAAAATACAGCTTGTTTTCATGGCTACTATGAAATAGACATTTTTAAAGTATGAAAATGGTTCAACAAAATTTGAAAAAAGACACAACGAAATTTGGCCGAGGCGCTATAAAATTTGGCCCAGACCTTTAAATACAGTCAACACTGGGCCTGACCATTACCTGGTCCCGGAGTGACTCTTCACATGCCTCATGCAGCGCATTGGTCTTGGTAGACACGTGGACGTACTGCCTCTGAAGGTCTTCCAGGTTCGTCAGTGCATCCGACACTTCATCCAGGACCAAGTCACACTGGTCTCTGTACTCCTTCAGCTGGTCACAGTAACGTCTGGAAACAAATCAACAAATGTAAATACCAAGAACATGCCACTGGGTTCCTGCACAGTGGTGGATGCTGGAAAATTCAGTAAGTTCCTACTTAAAAAATGCCTCATGACATAAGGTTAAGCTCATTTATGAAACTACAAAAAAGCATATTTTTTTACTTACCGGTATGATATCTCCTCATCGTGATCCATCTGACTCTCAACATTGTTAAACCAGGCAAAAAACTATACAAAAGAAAACAGAACAGGAAACACAACCCTCAATAGATATGATCTCCACATAGCTGTGGTAAAATCCCTGTAACACAAAATTTATTTTAATTATCAGTCCTTGATAACTTCATTTAAAAAACCTCAAAATCCAATCCCACTTCTGACACCAAAACCTAACTGGGTTACAGTGACTAATCAATGTTACTCCATCTTACCTGCTGGGCATTCTCTATCTTTTCATCTTTCATCCCCAGTGTCTCAAAGCCTTTAGACAAGATGTCATCACCGGCCGCTGGGATGTGGGTTGTAGGCACTGATAACTGCTGGGTAAAACTTCCCGGCTCATCCAAGGGCAACTGCGCAGGTAAAACATTGTAATTGGGCAAATTTGGGTTATGGAAGTAATTGAACTTGTAAGTTGTCAGGCCCTAGGCTAGTATTTATTTGTTTGTAATTGAATAAAATCTTAAGTAGCCTAAATTATGGAGGGACTAGAATTAGATTCAAAGAGATGAATCGTCTGTTGGAATTTTTATTCAACATTTATCAGCCTAGTAGTAGGCCTATTAGACCTTTAAAACAAAGTTCAGCCTTCTTGTCATTTTGGAAAGAATGTTGCAACCTGACGCTGCTTTTTTTTCATATATCATCTAAATGAAGGTCATATTTCAATGCAAAAATGCTGATAAGACATGAATCTGGGACTGAGAAACATTTCCAATTTTGTTAGGAAAAAAATGTCTTGACTCTCTATTGACTTACTACACAACCGCTGAATTAGCGTCAGGTTGCAACATTCTTTGCGCTATTTTCATTTTTTTGGTACCGGTACTGCGGTAGCCTAGGCTATGTTTTATTGTCATCATTCCGGCAAAATAAAAAAAATCTGCCCTCTCTCTAGGCTCTATAAACAACATACTTTTCAACATCGCCAGCTATTAAGACAAGTCTTAAAATACACAGCGTGTCTACTTTCGATCAATTCAACTTCACTAATATTTGTAAACCCCCCCCCCCACCTTCCATAGTTTCTGCCCCGCCCACTACTTACTTCCACTGTACGATAACACAGCGTGAAATTACGTTAGCGAGGAAAGGTTTAATGTTTTACAATTTTAAAAACCTACCTCAATCGGCAACGGCCTGTTTGAAACATTGGTTGTGAGCTCCATGAAGCTGTCTTTTTGGACGTCACTTAAGGGAGCTTTAGGGTCATTCTTCTGCTCCCAAACACTTAGTTTTTCTCGCATTATTTTCGCACTAAACAGTCTCATCGTGTCAGCCATGTTGGCAAATGTCATCCTCGTTCCAAATCCTGCCAATTTGGTTAAAAATCACCCAACTGTAAAACGCTGAAAATCAGATTTTTTTTTGTATTAATTCCATTAAAAAAATAATATTATGTCAATATTTATAGTGAATATTTGAAAACTTAACAATAAAATAGTAAACGACATTTTATTTTTTTCAGTTTAGGAAAACTTATTCGCGACAAAGTTCGTTCACCCTTGAAAAACTGAAGCAGACGACACGAACTGTTGCTGATGAAATCCTATTCCTAATCCTAGCTTTTAAAGATTTTCTCTTTTATTAACGAACGTCATCCTTTTCCCTGATACATTCAATTTTCAGAGCATTCAGAAACACAAGTATGATGTCTACATCTTCTATGTTTAGGGTTTTACTGAGGAAAAGCTGTGGAAAATGCGGGTAAAATAAATATAGCATTGCCATTGATTGACCATGTTGACATTCATATTCATAAAATATTCGCATAGCCTAGGCTACAGACTTGTGTTGATTTCTGCGTGGAGCTAGTGAGTAGTGTCAGTGTTAACGTTTTAGTAGGGTCATATTTTAAATAAACAAATTTGTGTCAATTTTCAGATCTTTTCAAGTTCAGCCATGTCGATACTTCAAGAGGGATACAGGCGACGGGGCAAGAATGGTTAAAAACGTAAAACCAGCTAAAGCAAAGAAGATAGTCGATGCCAAATTTGAGAAGGGAAGCTTGGAGAAGTTTGAAGTTCGCTACGATTCCAACGATGTCAAAGTGCCATACAGGACACTCGTTAAGCCATTTGCCTTTGCTTGCATGGTAGGTGTTGTATGGTGACTTATTAATTTGATGTAAACCACAAATGATAATTTGTATCTTTTCTTTCAGCGACTGGGACCCTGTATTACTGTTTTCTTTTCAATTTTTCATGAATGTAGAACTGCAGTGTGCTTGAACAGTAATGTATGAATGAAATCATAAGCATACATTGTCAAGCAGTTAGAATATATAATTTTGACTTTAAATATGTACTATGTTTTATATAAATGTGACATTCTCTTGTCCAGTTCACAGGTTGTAGTTTTGCTGGGGCAGCCATCTGGCAGTATGAAGGCATGCGGGCTAAGGTCCTGGAGAAGTTCACCAGTCAGATAGGAAGGTATCAGAGGTACCCTGCTAAGGCTGGCGAATTCAGACAAAAGGTATTATCCGTGTTTTTCTGAAGTGTGTTTTGGTACATTTGTGGTTTGACAGCTTCCCCCTTCGTCATGCCTTTACTGAGATCTTTAGGAACGTCTTAAAATTGTGTAAAACTGCCTGTCCAGGTGAGAATGTTGCACAATTGATGCTTTCTGCCTGCCAATCAAACATGGCTCATTGACCAACCAGATTGTGACTTTTGGTAAGAAAGGTGGAGAAAGTTTCAAGACGTAAGGAAAATCCCTACGAGACATTTTGGAATGAGAAAGTTTAACAGTGAAGCCTTTCACTTTATTGCTTTATTTCTCTACAGATCAACCAGTGGTTCCAGAGCTTATCAGGCACAGAGAAGGTGACGCTAGGAATCATAGCCGCCAACATTGCCGTCTTTGCCTGCTGGAGGATACCCAGCATGCAGTTCTTCATGATCAAGTGGTTCAGCGCCAGCCCTGCCTCAAGTTTGTTCACAATCTTTTGCTTTTTTATAGCAAAGTTCAAGAGAAGTTATCATAAGTCAGTCTTTAAGTTCAGTCTCAGTCTTCAGTTAACCTGTTTGTCATGGTTTATCTCTTTTACTTTTGACCTGATGTGCTACTAATTTTTTGATTGACTTGTGATTGATTCGATTGAACGATTCCCATATTATTTTTTTGCCCACAGGTGCCTTATGTTTACCGATGGTACTGTCCACATTTAGTCAGTATTCCTTCTGGCATCTAGCTATCAACATGTACGTCCTGTGGAGCTTTGCACCAAGTATAGGCATCACACTCGGCAAGGAACAGTTCATAGCCATGTACCTCAGCTCAGGTAAGCGACCAATCAGAAACCAGGACATTGGACTCTGTGGATGAACAGTAGGTGGCGCTTCAAGGGTCCCTCCCAGTTCCCCTCCCCCCCCCCCCCTCAACATTGGCAATTTATTTTGTATAATTTTGTATTAAGTTGACTAAATTCAGGAATGATTTTTCAAAAATTCTTGTTAAATACATTTGCCAAACACCCTTTGTTATTATTATTGTTTTTATTTCTTAGGTGTATGGGCATCATTTGCCAGCTATGTGCTGAAAGTAGCAACCTGCAAATACCACCCGTCCTTGGGAGCAGTAAGTATTCAGATTTCATTTGGAGTGCTTCCTACACTTAAAGAGCCAGAATTTTAGGAATTATTTTGTATTAAATGAATAATCTTTTCTCTTGGTTGTTTTCAGTCTGGTGCCATCATGGCTGTGTTGGGAGCAGTGTGCACCCAGTTCCCAGACTCCAGGCTAGCTATCGTCTTCCTACCATTCTTCACATTCTCAGCAGGGATAGTAAGTACAATTAAAGTTGATTTGAAGTTGAATTAAAGTTCATCAATTGATTTTGGAGTTGTGAATATTGAGCTTATTGGCATTTCGTTTGTTTGTTGCAGGCTCTGAAATTCTTGATAGGTTTAGAGTCGGCAGGTGTCGTGCTAGGCTGGCAGTTCTTTGACCATGCAGCTCATTTAGCGGGTCTTCTAACCGGATGGTAAGCACACTTTGTAATTAAAAAATAATTGTTTCATGAAAAAAAGTATGGTGGTAGTAAAGAGGTAATGTCAATTTACATTAAATTCTTACGGTTTTAAATGTGGGTTTATTTTTTGATGCAGTTACTATGTGACGTACGGCCACAAGCACATCTGGCAGAATCGGGAACCAGTCATGAAACTGTGGCACAAGTACAGGGGACCAAGCGAGGCTTGAACACCAACCAGACATGCTCAGGTCTAAAAGCACAAAGGGACGTTAGAAAGACTGTACGGCCCATCCAAAATGAACTTTGCTGCGATTTAGCCTACTCTCCAACAGAGTCTGTTTATGTGTACCCTCAACAGTAAGGCCATACTCGGTAGATAAAGATACACAGTTGACTGTATTTGCATTCAAGTCTGGAAGAGGGTTGCAAAGATAACTCCCCGGAAAAAAAACCAATTTTTTTTTAGGAAGAAAATGTAAAAATTGCTTCCTGTTCTAAATAATTCAATATTGCTCTTCGGATGGAGAAAAACCTTATTCGCGTTTTTTGGTTGTTGAAACATCACCAGTAATAGCCAATTTGCAAGGGTACTTGTTTCATATAAATAAAAATGTTTCATATAATAGGCACTTAATAATTTGAACTGTAAATGTATATTTTATTCACACAACACACACCATTCTAATGTAATTATTCTGTACAAACAAGGTGATTGCAATATTGCAGCAGAAATATACAAATTTAAATAATTGAAGAATTCAATTTTTTTTTAATTGTTTGGTATCTCTACTTTACTTTCAAGGTAAATATTGTTTTAAAGCAAGACTAAATTATTTTAACATACACACAAATCTGCCAACAGGAATTTATAACAAAAAAAGTTCTGAGCTGATGAGATCAGTGTAGATCAAATGAGGACAATGTTAAAAGTTTTCCATTTCCCCCAAATTTGATTGGTGATGTTGTGCAGTTTTGTGTTAGTAGGTTACAGGACATTATATACTCTGAAAACACAACCAATCCGTACACTTCAACTGCAAGTTACAATTTTAACTTTAGTGAAAATACTTTAATTGCTTAGACAGGTTGTTTATTCAAATGACCTGCAAGCAAACTGCACTTACTGTAACAATAAGATTCTGTTGATACTTAAAATGATCTTTATCTATTTAAATATGACCTCATACATACCTTTTTCCCCCAAAAAATCCACTGAATTTTGAAGTAACATTTGAATAAAGAACAAAGTGATACTTTTTTTTCGTCCTGTTTTCCTTACCATGCTGAATCAACACAAATGAAATACTACAAATATTTGGGGAGGGATGTTCCCCTCGCTTTAGGCCCATGCTGCCCCCCCCCCCCCCACCCAAAGAAAAAATTGAAACTCGGACTTGAATATTGCAGTGTCAGAAAGGTTATAATCTTGTCCCAACTTTAATACCCTGGATCCCAAATTATATTAATATCCTGACGTATGTACTCAAGTTCTCCCTCAATGGTGAAAATGCAGTGATACTGGAGAGCACAAACGGTATGGTACTGTGCAGTTGAAAATTGGTAACGTGCTCACACAGTGTGTCATCCAACATTCTCCTGACCAGAACACATACGACCATCTACACTACTTGCATGGGGATCTATTTTCAAATGCAAGAATCGTATTTATGTACTACAGGCAACACAAAATACACATTTTGTTCCTTGCACAACCACAGAGAAACTAACATTGTCTATCAGCAAATCTAAGAAACATTTCACAGGATAAGCCTGTCTTCCTGGTTGACCTCATCCCGGATCATCTTTGAAGTGTCCATCACCTGGCCCCGGTTCAGATGACAATCTCGCTTGCACTCCATCAGTGTCTGGAAGTCCTTCCACATCTTCATCTGCCTCATGTTGGGGCCGTGGCTTTCCTTGATCGACTTCTGCTTATCACGGAGACTCTGGGGAGTTTAATACCAAACAAAGATATTTGAGTGACATTATACGTAGTGAATACAGCCTGCAAGTAGACTTTAAAAAAACCTGCGAGATTTTACGAGAATACAGCACATCCAGCCACCGTATATAGGATCTACGTGTGTAATGTCCTATTTTTAGCATTTCTTTCTTTGTCCTGACTGGGCCCATCCAATCACGGGAAATAAATGGGTATTTCGAAAGAAAAGAAAGCATTAAACAATATTAAAAATCTTGCGAATTGATGACTACTATAAAATTAACAATGTTGACTTCAACTTTCGTTCAATTGACCAGGCAGATAACAAGTGGGTAAATTAAAACACGGGAGTCTGTGACCAGACTAGTCAGAGTTTGGTACCAAGATGTTCACAGAAAAAGTGAATGTGGACTGGCGAGACTTACACGCTCTATTACTCACGCTCTATAAAACTGTAACTGACAAGAAATACATAGGCTCCGAATGCCTCGTTAATCTGTTACCTTCCCCAGATTTTCTTGCTCTTGTATCTTCCGTGTGTACTGGTCACGGAATGCCTTCTTCTTCTCGGCAGGGTCTGAGGAGGTGTAGGCCTTCATCTCGTCCGACACTCGCTGCTGTTGCATGGCGATGATGCGGCGCATGCAGTTCAGGTAGTGGTAGCGACTCTCCTCTTGAGAGCATTCCTCACGGTAGGCCCGCACCTCCTGTTATGGTGGGAAATAAATAAAACAAATAATCTTCAACATATTTTCAACCACATCTAAGTCCAAGTGGTCCAAGTCAAAGTTTTTAACAATTACTCTAGACTAGGTTCCCAAAAATGACACAAGTTTGGACATTGGGCATTCTAGCCCTACTCTTTTCTAGGAATACACAGTCAAAACTTTGGTTCCGGTGCATCTTCCGAAACTCAACCAATGATGGAACCGACCTGTTCGAGCTTGGATCGGTTGCTCTCCAGCCCGGCAGCCAGCTGATCATACGATGATTTCTTCTCATTGTAGACAGTCTCCAACTCCTGTGCTTGTTGGCGTAACGGTCTCAGCTCCTTGATGACTGGCGCCAGGTCCGCCTTCTTGGCAGAAATGGTCATGTTCAGTTTCTTGACCTGCAGGGAATCAAAGGTCATTGAAGCAAAGTCAGAGAACTTGACCAATTTCGTGAATATTGTGATGATTTAGGTAAATGTGTGTAATAAAAACCGATATGCAACTACGATAAATTGTTAGGCGAAGCACAACACCATTTCCAAAAACATATAGGGTGGGGTGGGGTGGGGTGGCGGTGAATAATTGGGGGAGAGGGGGGGGAGGAGAGGGACGACAACGTTACAAGGCTAGAGTCCTTACCATCTCTGACATGTCCTCCAGGGTCCGTCCTTTCATGTCATCCAACTCACTCTTGATGGCCGACACCTTCTCCAGCTCTTCCTGGGTGTCATGGTAACCGGCCACGCCCTTCTTGGCCTCCAGTTTAGCCTGTGGATGGAAATCACAACATTTGTAAAAAAAACCTCTGTTTAAACATATAAAATGCTGATTGAACATTTGACACATGTTTGAAGTAAGCCTCTTTGAGTCCTCCTCACCAGTGTCTTCTGTAGCACCTCGTCTCTTTGCCGGAGGATCTCCTCAGTTCTGGACAGCACGCCGTGCTCTGCTCTCAGCTCAGCCAGCTCCTGCCGTTTCTTCTTGTAGATGGTGCTCTTGCCTCGCAGCTTGTTTACATAGCGTTTGAACTACACAGGCAAATTGCAAAAAGAAAAAGAAACAACACTTAAAAACATATCAACTTTTAATAAATAAAAGATTCATGTGGAACATTCATTCACTTATATTTTGACAGAGAAGATATGTATCATGGATCACATAGCTTAGTGCATTCTTTTGAAAAATAATTTGAGGAATTTCCAAAAGAAAACAATTCTAAAGTAACAAACTATTTTCATTTAAAGAAAGCTATTTTGAGTCACCAAAAATGCATCCCAATTATGAACAAAAAGAGATGAAATAAATTTCAGATGTACTGTCCATGCTATTTCTGATTTCCAACCCCCCAAAATGTGTTTGTATGTTCAACTAGCAACTTTTCTAATAGTATTAAAGTTATTCCCTTTTCAATGAGACATAAAACAAACAAAAAATTCACCTTAAATCGTTAGGAGAAAACAAAATATTGAATCTGTGGAAGAGCACAGACAGTACATCTTTTATACAATAAAGAAGAAAAATTAGAAAAAATTAGAAAAAAAGGGAAAAAAATAGATAAAATGCCAGCCTACCTCGTCTCCTTTGAGCACCTCCTCCCCCTGCAGCCCCCTGACATTCTCCCTTTTCTCTGCAGCCTCCTGCTGGCAGGCGTGCAGCTCATCCTTGGAGTCTTGTAACGTCTCGGCCGCAGTCTCCTTCTTGCGGCCGATGATGGCAGCCTGCTGACGGAACAGTGACATCTTGTCGTCGATGGGGTCGTTGCTCATCATGCGCTTCTCGATCAGCGCGTTCACATCCGAGTTCACCGTTTTGATCTGATAAGAGAAGAGATAAAATTGTACAGTTAGCTTGATCTCAACAAATGTCAAAATTTTCTTCAGAAATACACTAAGTTTTTTCACGTCAAGTTAACCCTTTTATCTATGAGAAATCAACCATGAATGTAAATTGTACATTGAGCTTGATCATCAAAATATGAAATATTTTGAAATTTGTTCCATTTGGCTTGCCATTCCAAAATTGACAAGGAAACATGGAGATGTTGCTAACCTGTGTGTGAATCTCGTCCAAGTCACTCTGCCCCATAGCTGGCTCGTTGACGACTCGCTCCAGATCCTGACACGCCTTGCGTTTTGCCTCCACCTCCTTGGGTAACTTCTCCTGGCACAGGTAGGCATTGATCTTGTTCTCCTCGTCAAGTTTCTTGATCAGGCCTGTGATAGGGTAAGTGTCCATGAGATTTGTTATTAACATCTGAAAGCAATATTGGGTTTTCCCGACGTAAGTTAAAAAACAGCGACTGATTGCACCAGCCAGCCAACTCTGATGAGCTTGGAGGTCGAGTGGCAAGACATCGGCACTTGTAAGCATGGGGTTGTGGGTTGGAGTTCCACCTGAGTCCTCAGACAGCGCTGTGTAAACAGCACTTGATGAACTTTCATCTGTGAGGCGCAAAGCTCAATATTGAATTTTTAAATTACCTTCAGTCGTCGCTCCAACAGTGGACTGCTTGATATCCTTCAGCTGCTGGGAGAATCGCTGCAGTCGCTGATCAGCATGATGCAGCTGCAAGTCAAAGTAGGATGAGGCAGAATGAAACATCTTTAATTATGTCGCAGATAGGTGGAAAAGGTGGTCAACTTGCTTGAGTAACAGCCTCCTGCTTAGCATTATTCTTGAAAAACAATATGTGATGTGATATTCAAGAATTTCAGGTGTTTTTTTTAGATTTTGAGGGTATTCTCATGGCATTTTTTAAAACTCTTTATGGATGACGATCCAGTCCTTTTGATACCAAATTTTTGTACTTGATTGTGTACAAGTTTTTTTTTAACATATTGGGTTTTTTTTGCACATACCTGATTCTTCTGGTCTAGTTTCTGCTGGGCCAGGGACATCTCACGATCCTGCTCCTTGCGGAAGTTTCTGGCAATCTCCAGCATCCTTTCATAGTTCTTGACAGTCTCAACCTGAATGTTGACAAAAACAACTTTAATTAACAAATCAATAATGCTGATCGTAACTAATATAGCAAGACCCATTGGCACATCACATTGTTTGATTTTGTTGACTTGTAGAGCCTATATAACATTTTGTTAAAGCTGATTAGTTGAATTAATACAGGCTTCCATTTAATTCAGTGTTCATGGATAACACCTTAGTTTTTGTTTCTTGGATTTAAAAAAAAAATACACATACCCTCTTTTTCAGGCGTTCAATTCTCTTGACAATCTGTTCCTTTTCTTCCTCCATCTGGGTGATGTCCCGTCGGATCTCGACAGTGGAGAAACCAGACGTCTTCAAAGACTCTGACTCCTTGTGAAGCTCCTTGAACTGGCCAACCATCTCAGTGTACTGGAAGGAAGAAGTCAAAAGAAAGAAATTGTTAGTTCGGGGAAAAATAGTGATGACATTTTTAGAACAAAGTGTATTGGGGAGTCTGCTTGGCGCTGTGGTTCCTTTCCTCGCCTTTCACCTCTATGGCCCAGGTTCGATTCCTGCTCCGGTCCACATGTGGATATGGTTTTCAGTCTCTACCTGATTCTGTGGGTTTCCCACAAATATTCTTCGGGAGTTTTCCTCCCACCTCTAAAACTGTAATTTCTTCTCATTGTCTTCTCACTACAGGCTTGCGAGCTACAGTGCATTGGGCGCTTTTGAGGAAACCTTACAATAAACAATAATAACATTCTAGTTTTAGGCCTCTTTTTCCTTTTTTGTAACTAACCTGACCGTATGTATCAGCAACTTGGTCATCCTGCATAATCTCCGGGGGCACCTCAATCTTGACCAGGAAGCGAGCAAGGTAGGCTCTCTTCTTGAGCTCCGGCATCTTCTGGAAGAGCCATACCAGGATTGGGTAGATGACTGGCTTGTAGCCGGAGACCAAACCCTGACGGAAGGTGCTCCTATTTTTACCATAAACGCGGGGGGAAATAACAAACTCATCAAATTAGACTTTTTTTATTCTAGGTGATGCTTCACAGTGTAAATAAGAATTGGCCTTCACCGGTGTAATGTTTTCTGAGAGCTTGCAAAAAAGTTGATTTTTTTTTCTCCCTACAAACTTTTAATTTGTTTTATTTTGACAAAAACAACTTTTTGGGGGGTATTCTGTAACCCTCTGGAAAAGAAATAGAGACTTTCATTTTGGGTTGATTTTGCGCCTCTTACACACAAAAAGATCAGCCAGAGTTATTGTCAGGCTGCAAATAAGTTAAAATGTGTAACGTAATTATTCCAAATTAAACATGGGCGAGTTTTTTTTGTTCTGTTTCGTGTCTCATTTAAAATGAATAACTTTGGTTTTTGTAGAAAAGTAACAATTTCAAACAATCAAATTTTTGGAGGAAACTCGAAAATGAAACAGGGAGAACAACTTTAAGATTTGTATATCAACTTACACATCCTCGCTGGGCTTGTACTTCAAGACCCTCAGTTCATTCATCATACGCATAGCTGTTGCATCTGCGGTCTCCTCACGAATGTCCAACTTGTGCTAAAATTAGAACAAAAATGGTGTTGACTAACGACACATCGGTACAAATTTATGAATTACAACTAAGACCTTTCACAACATTAACACTTTTTACAACTTTTTCTTGTACTGCCCCAAACCACACTGCCTATTTGTATATTACTCCATATACCGCCCCAAACTGCCGCAGCAGTACTGTATAGTTTTTGAATTCATCAGGGAAAAACTGAAATGTAATACTTAGTTATTTACAAGTGTCAAAGGTCACTTAGTGCAAATAAGAATTTTAGCTGAGAGTTTGAAAAGGTAACAGAACATTTGAAAACTTGGTAACTGATTGGAAAAAAATGTCAAAAATAAAAACTCATGATAGACCGTTACTAACACACGTGTCCAAAACATCCATAATTTATAACAAAGAATCCTCAAAATACAGCCCCCCCCCAACCCCCACTATAGTAGAACGTCGTTTGTCAGGACTAACTTGTGGATTAATCTGGGCCAGCACATCGTTGGCCACTTGCAGGAGCTGTATGGGCTCTAGGGAGTCAAAGCTGATCAGGTTGTAGGAACGCTTGAACGGCTCCTTGTTCAAATGTTCCACAATGTACTTGAGTTGCTCGCTCATCTTGGGGTATCTGGGTTATTCTGCGTCACCTGCAGAGGATGAAGCAACAAATATGATTATGTTTTTCAACACCAAAATTTACAGCATTTAAGGATTTGGAAAGTAATTTGCTGGTTGCGAACAAAGAGTATTTTCCAAGTACGTTTGGACAAGAATTGGAATGTTTTCTGGTGAAAATGTGGCATCATCAGGGCACTGCATTGGACGTGAAAATGGTTTCCATGGTTATTGGCAGTAGGGTATCACTGTTTTACCTGAAAAAAACAACACGTTTATAACTGAATACAAGTGCAAACTTTATATACAGGCCTTGGCCTACTAATCAAATGGATCACAAACTGACAGTGACAATGCCACAATTCACACAGCTGCAGATGTAGATCTGAAAAAAAAATAAAAATATGATTAAGGATTTAAGAATGCAACTTATGACACTACACTACAAAGGTACAAAAAACAATGAATAAATCTAAACAGTGCCAGTGGAGGCAGCTGGATCGAGTGAGTAGGAGTATAAAATACTAACTCAGTAACTGACTAACTTTAGAACTCCATACTTATTTTGCAAATGCTTCAGTCATTAACAAATAACAGATTAACCGTGAACACAATTAGCACAGTGACAAACCATGTTACTTGTTTTTATGTTTTCTGTTATATCAGTTTGTTACTAATACTATCAATCAGTCTACTATATATTTCATGGACAACCACATAGTTTGACAACCGCCCCCACACGGCCAAATTTTGTTACACTCTAAACGTTACACGCAACGGTGAAAAGAAAACGATTATTTTCACGGGAAAAAGTAATGGTATTTTTTAATTCGGTCGGTAATCTGACTACCTCCTGAATTACTACGATGAGCCTTGTTAATTTAATCGCTCAAAATATGTAATTTCAGTCACTGGTCCACCTAAAAAGATGCTCTAAATTACTAAAATCGCCTACCTGCGCGCGCTAGCAACAAGCTCGACGAAAGTATTCAGTTTCCCGGATGTCACGTTGGGTGTCGGACGCTTCGCCCCATTCCCACGTCGCCCCATGTCACTTCGCCCCTAACCACTTCGCCCCATCCCCGCTTCGCCCCATCCCCGCTTCGCCCCATCCCCGCTTCGCCCCATCCCCACTTCGCCCCATCCCCACTTCGCCCCATGTAGTATGAAAAAGGTGAAGGCTAGGGGTGCAGACCAAATAAACTGCCAAAGACCCCAGATAATAAATGCTCCCAATTCTAGAAACTTAGGAAAAATAAAAACTCTCTGATGAGGTGCTCGAGACACAGATGAGAGAAATGATGGATCCCATTCAGAGACGCCTCTCCTATTGGCTTGTGATTAAAAATCATCAGCAGCTGGATTCAAAAGAATCCGTAGGTATGGGTCAGTGAGTTAAAAGGAACTCACTGCCTTGATGAAAATGTTCCGTCAAAATTTGGCTGATATGTGACACTTACAACTTCATTTAGATGAGACTGGTTCCTCCAAGAGTGAAATTAGGATGTCAAAGGTATTGTTGTTCTCAGATAAGTGGGAGACGGTTGGTATAGCCGGGTTGGGAACAAAGTTGGATCTTTTACTTCAAGCTTTTTTCTCGGTAGGGGAGACTGGAGAGCCTAGCTCGAGAGATTGGTTATGAATTGTTCATTTGGTGATGGGCTAATTCTTTCCGTTGGTTAGCAATCAGTGAATCTGTTGAAAAGTTTTTTTTTAAGCCAATAAAATAGATGAGATATTTTTTTACATGTAACGGCTGGGGCGAAGTGGGGATGGGGCGAAGTGGGGATGGGGCGAAGTGGGAATGGGGCGAGGTGGGAATGGGGCGAAGTGGGGATGGGGCGATGTGGGAATGGGGCGAAGTGGGGATGGGGCGAAGTGCTTAGGGGCGAAGTGACATGGGGCGACGTGGAAATGGGGCGAAGTGTCCGACATTCGTCACGTTGGTTGTGGGATAGTTTCTATTTTTAGCTCACAGGCGTCACTTGCATAGTCTGGTCCCTATACTGGTGGAACGTTTAGCGTGGCAATGATCGAGCTCTCGTATGGGAACAAGACAAATGTAGTGCGGCGATGTTTCCGCGACATTTCCCACACACACACGCATCGCCCTTTCTTTTGATTTACGGTGATCGATGGTAAGTTTTGAGCAGCCGAAATAAAGGAATGGAGCATTATTCAGGTACCACTTGTTGCGGGGTTGTTAAATAAATGCTACTTTCTGGCAGATGGGCAAAAAAAAGCGTATCACGGTGTGGTGGCCTTTCTCAAACTTCAAACTCAAAGCCAAATGGCGGGTAATGGACACTGGGGGCGCTGTAACTACCTATCAATAACAAGATGATTTAATCAGGCCTGCTTTCGCTTAGAATTATGGAAATTCAATCCTTAGGTCTGTTATGCTTGTGACTTACATTCAGTTAATGCAGGAATTGGGGGTAAAAAGGTGTGGGTAAAAAATTTCCAGATTTCCATTAATTTTTCAGGAAAGCGATGAATCACAGTTTGACAGTTCACACAATCATGACAATATTTTAGCGGAGTGATATTCTTTCTGGGATAGGTCATCTTAACAAGAAGTTGAGCATGTCGAGAGTCATACGTTTATATCCATGTGAGTTGTCTTCTAAGTTCCAGTTAAGTTTTGTCTTCTATTTTTCATTTTTTTGTTAAAATCTACAGGAGTACAGCATTGAGGAAGAACACTTAAAAATCCACCCAATGTGATCAGCTACTGATTGGACCGTTATTCCACCAGCAAGGGCTAATTAAACCAGGCGACAATCATGTCCACTCGTGACAGGCATGTCAACTGCCCAGCCAGCCTGGGCGCCAGACTAGCCCTGGAGTTCAACAACCAAGACTTCAGTGACGTCAAGCTAGTTGTCGGGAAGAAGACGTTCTACACCCACCGCATGCTCCTAGCCAATCAGAGCGAGATGTTCCGGATCATGTTCAAAGGCTCCCAGTGGCTGGAGGCCACCCAGGAAGAGATCGACTTGACGGAGCTTAGGGAGTGCGAAGCAGTGTTCCACGATTTCCTCCAGTTCTTCTACTCAGCGAGAATACACCTCACCACGGATAACATTGTTGCAGTAAGACTAAAAAAAATCAGTATTCTACAAGTCCATCATAAGCCCATCACAGATCAACCACTTCCAGGTCAACTCACAAGTTATTCAGATGAAGTGGAATCCCTGGTTACTTGTGACTGGAATTGTGAAATACCTTGTGATTTGCTTGTGACTTACTTGTGATTACTTGTGAAGTCAATACTTGTGATCCATCACAAATCACCCAACTAAAACTCTGCCAATAAATCTCTTCAAAACCCATTCCCAAATGTATAATTCTTCTGCTGGACGGTTGTAATAAGCAGAATCATAGGTTGTGAAAGAACGGATCCTTGGGTTATGACTAATTCTGTTTTAACCAAGGTTCCAGTATTTCAGTAAAGATGTCTTCACTGAGTGATGAACCCAAACTTGTAGAAACCCAAACCTTGCATCCAAGTTTTAAAGGGAATTTTCTGCTTGTCGGTCGTTATTGAATGGCATACAATTATCATCGTGTCAAGGTCCCCTAGTCAGTTAAGTATAGCATTAAAACGTGTTGAAGAATTCCTGTTTATAATCTAAATCTGTTTTATCACGCTTGGATCGTATCTCTATTAGGTGAGAATACTTGCCGATAAGTACCAGCATATCCAGCTCATCAGGGAGTGCGATCGCTTCATCCAGCAGATCATTGTCCATGATGAGATTGACGTCCTTGTCGGCTGGCTGGTCAACATGGTCAATCTAGGGGACAAATTGGAGCAGCGATGCCTGAGTAAGCTGCAGCTGGACTACACCAAGCTGATGACCTCAGAGAGCTCCCGTAATCTCCTGACCCTGGACCTCCTGATGAAGATCGTGGACAGCCCCTACATTCTGGTCCGCAACGAGCTCATGCTGTTCAAGCTCTTGGCCGGGTGGATCATGGAGCGACGGCACCAGTCAAGCCAGAAGAGCGCCCTCACCAAACTGTTGCCATTCATCCGCTTTGAGCACATGACCATCGAACAGCTGGGCGCAGTGGAGAGCTCACACCTCGGGGTCAAATACCCAGACGTCATCATGAAGCACATGTTTGAGGCCTACAAGATCCGGGCCCAGCTGGCCGTCAAGGACAAAGAGAAGGAAAAAGCCAAGAAAAAGGACAAAGACAAGGACAAGGATGCGGAGGGGGAAAAGATGGAAGTTGAGAAGCCTGCCAAGTTTGTATGGCCCACAGTCCAGCTGCGCCTGTACACGGATTCACCCTGGGGTAGTGGCTACACCAAGCCCATCGATACTTTCCTGAGCACAGAGTACGACATTGGCAACTTCAGCTGCCCAGTCATGGACATGGCAGTCAAGTCCGGCAAGGTCACACAGGAACCAGACACCTGGATTATAAACTACAAGCGGGAAGTCAAAACCTACATAGAATCCGAAGACCAAGTCATCAGTAAGGTCTTGGTCTCTCATGACTTCACCTGCAAGTACAAGATCACTCCGGACCAGATCCGCAACTACGAACTGGTGATCCTTACAGGGTACGTGCCAACAGACGAGGCAGAGGACCAAGAAACGGCCTTCACCACCCTCACTGCCAAGAAACACTTGGGCACCATCAAGCCCATTGCCCTCAAGACCCATTCACGTCGGCGAATCAAATTCACCGAGATCCTCAAGCCGGCGCTACTGGGAGGCTGTGAGTATGTGTTCTCGGTCGGTGTGTATTTTAAAGAAAACAAAACCTGACTGTCTGAGAAACATTTGTAAAAACAAAGATTGTTAAGGACGTACAGTTAAGAGTTAAACAGGCCACTAAATGAATCACCCAAAAAGGATTGTGAATTTTGCGTCTCTTTTTTTTTTTTGAGGGGGGGTTGTTTGCTCTTTGTAACCCCACCCCTATCCCCATATTAAACAATGTAATCTAGAAAATGTATGTCCATGTCTGCAAGATTGTATAATTATCAAGCTTGCCACTTGTTAAAATCGTCGCATCAGTGCATCAAGGTCGTAACTCGATTCTGCAATAAAGTCGTATCTCGCGCGATTACGCTCCGTGCAACAAGGTTGTATCTCGTGATACAATCGCAAAGTCCATTGACTTTGTGTGTACATCCGTGTTATTTTTTAGCAAGATACAACCTACTTTTGACATGGAAACTTGTGTTTCGCATACATTAGGTTACACGCAATTTTAGGAGATACAACCTTGATGCACGGACACGATAAAATGACATAAAGACATTCTTAAATAGTTGGCGTTGACATTTTTGGAATTTTTAAACAACTTTATACAGAATAAATTTCATTAATTGTTGATTTTTTTTCTCAATGATATTGTGGATGATACATTTTAAATTTTATAAGAATTCTGTTGAATGAAGAAACCAGTTTTTGCGAATGCCCTCATTTTGATAAAAAAATTTGAAGATTGAAAATTACCCTTTCAGAAACAATGAACATTTCTAGTTTTAGAGCACACATCATCATGACACAATTTGCATTATTCATCATTTCATAACGGATACTTGTAGGCCCTCAAATGTTAATTTAAAAATAAAAGTTCAAGATTAATGGGTACATGACTTTTAAAAAATGGTGCATTGCAGCGACTAGTTGAAATGTTTCAAAATATTTTTGTAACAAAATAGAGTACAATTATGAATCACTCTGCCAGGTTTTTTAGTTAATTGAGTAGTAAATGAAAAGTTGCTGTCCTACATTGACTTACCTTTCCAATAATGAAGCAAATAAATCAACCTGATAAGTAGCTCGTTCCGCCACTTTTATTTATTTGTGCTAAATGTACTTTAACTTCTAACAAACTTAAAACCCCTTTCGTGATATATTAACTTTTCTTTGTTAAACTCCTTTATTAAGATGGAGTAGGGACATTGATGCGGATTTTAATTGATGTATTTTAGTCAAATCAGAGTATTTTTTTTAGTTTGCATACTGCATACCATCAAAGCAGGCCACTTTTGTTAACAAGGAATGCTGAAATGCCATTTTAAGATGCCAATGCTAAACAAACATTCATCACTTCGTACTGTAAACATTGTAAATATTTTTTGTGACCAGTGTATTTTTGCTGCTGTTTTGCTTCAGAGTTATGACCTTTTAAAATAATTTTTATACCACAGTTACCCAATTATGAAAAGATGTTGCTTCAACTTGCTTGGCTGTTTTTACTTCAAAACTTGTATCGTCTTTTACTGTGACATTTCTGTAAATAGTTTTATTGACAAAGAAATTAAGGTTCTGTAACTCATTCAATATGATGGGAGATAGTTGAGGGATTTGAATTTTGGGATTGGATGCCCGTGTTTTACTTCAATAGGGTACCTGGTTCCCCGTACTACCCGTAAATGCTTACTTTTAACATGACCGTAACACATTTTAACTGCAGAAGACTTTGCCACAGATTTGTTCTGACATAAAATGCACTTCTCTATTTTATATCAATGTGTAGAGTTTGAACTGGCATATATTTGTCCTCCCAAATTTCCCTAAATTCTTAACGAATAGATATTTGCATGCCATGCTTTCTTAGCTTTTAGACCAGTTGTTTTTTCATATAGGTACTTTTAAAATTGTTAATCGTGTCCATTTCATAGTTTATCAGAAGGGGTACAATGTTTATGTACATGCCTTTTATAATGCACGACAGGACAAATCAGCAAAAGACTTTTTACAATATAATATTGCTGTAGTTTTATTAAAATTATGAGTCACGCAAACATTACAGATGAACTAATTGAATTCTGACCATGCCATCAGGTGAATACCTACATAAAGACACCAATTATGTTTGCTAACTGTAGATTCTGTGTAAAATTTAAGTGTACAAAAAACATTTTGTACTCCTCTAAGCAATGGATTTTGGCTTATACATGGCTTCATTACACTCACAGGGTTTAGAGTTTATGTATATGTATGTGCTAGCACAGTTAGTACTGAATGGCGATGACAAGCGCACCATGCTGTTGCAATGATACATTTGAGCTAAGTGATAACGAAACGTAAACAAGAAACGAGTATTCCACTGATAAGCCACTCTTCACCCGACTTATTTTCATAATAGGTCATATGAAATGAATATCAAAGATGGGTGTAAATAAATGAATGTGTTCCCCTTTTTACAACCGTTGGTTTCAGAGACTTAAGTCTTTCTTCGATTGTTTTCTCCCCCCCCCCCCCCCTTTCACCAGCCCCGCTCATTTCTTAGTTATAGTACCATGGAAAAAATTCACTCGGGTTTACACAAATATAAAAATACATATTTTGACAAAAACTAGTTCTGATCATTAAAATAAGAAAAATAAGCACAACAGCAGCTGTTTGATATCTAATAAACTTTGATTAATCTTGTGTTAAAATTGTAGACAGATAGCCAATCAGTATTTAAATTTCAGAAAAACCAAGTTATGGCTGAAACGTGTCAACCAACCAGTCATTATGACTGTTTTCAAATCAGTATTATCGCAGTCAAGCAAACACCCAATCAGAGACTGTGCAATCCACTGAACTACATGTATATACAGTCAAAAAAATTACAGACCCGCCCTCTGTCAAAGCAAATAGGGGGGGGGGGGGGGGGGGGGGGCTGGAGGACACCATCTTCCCATGGGGGCGCTGTTCAAAATGTATATCTTGGCTACATAATACAATAACTATCGCTATTCACTTTCTAAGTGACGTTACAATAAAACTTTTGTAAAGATTTTGGGTAAAAAATACAGACAAAATTGCGGAAAAAATGGACTTTATATTCTCCCAGCTTATCATGGTAACTCATATGGATGTGCTTTTCTACGAATGCCAATTTTTCGGTGGGGGGGGGGGGGGGAGAGGAACTCTTTATGGGGGGGGGGGGGGGGTTTGCCCCCTTAGTCAGACAACCAATCAATGACTGTGTTTATATCACCCTTGGCTGCCCCCAGCATTTTGCGCAACTTTATGCGGTCCTTAAAGGGAAATAGCTCCTTCAAACTGTTGACAGCACTTTCATCTATCTCAAACTCTTCTGCCCCCTCATTGTACGAGGTCTCACTAGCTCCGCCCACCCCACTGCCTTCCAGCCTCTCCAGCCCCCCTCTGGCAATCCAATGCTGCCTCTTAGTTTGCAGTTCCCTCTGGCGTTGCTGCTCCCTCTGCTTGTTTTTCTCCGTCTGTGAGTTTTACGAATGAGAATATTCCAGAATGTAAACAGAAGGAGGCCTAGAATTGACTGACTGAAGGAGTCCTAGAATTGAAGTTTTTATAGAAAATTTCTCTCAAACTTGAAAAAGAAAATGTTGTACTATTTTCTTTTTTAAGACAAAAAGCACACAATTTTCACTAAAGTGCACTCAACAAACGGCACCTTAATAACAAAATTTGATGGAAATCATTGTCAGATTGTGGTGTTGGCAACACATTTCACTGAAAATCAATTTTGTAAATAATTTCTCCAAAAGAATTTAACATTTTAACCCATAAACACTTGCATTGTGATGAATCCATGCAGTGGCGATGCAGTGACGACACAGTTTGCTACAGTATGGGGAGTAACAGGCAGTGTGGTTTGGTACAGGTATCAAATCAAGCCGTTGTTGCACACTTTGACCTTTGACATACTAACCTGCTGACGAGCCCTGGCCTTTTTCTCGGCATATTCCTGTTCTTCTCTTTCCCTCTTTTCTTTAGCCCACAGTCCTCTCTTGCTCTGATGATTCAAAAGGAAAAGTGGGTGAAGTTAATTTGGATGCGTCAATGCTTAATGAAGCCACTTCCTCCGTGCTTTGACTAAAAACACCAACTAATTTTTTTTCAAAATCTTTCCTTAGATGGCCCTTTGAGAAAGATTCTTCTGAGATCAAAACGTCAGGTCCTGAAAGTATTGTGATTTGTATATACAGGTCACACCAGTCAGTTATGGGAGATTTTTTTTTACTTTATGAAAAAATAACGGGACAAGTGAAATTCGCAATCAGAGTAATGACGTAATCATGGTCACGGCCGGTTGCTGGTGAAATTGCCCTGAAATCAGATCATCTTTTGATTTGACAGCAAAACAGGACAATTTCTTGTCACCATTCAAGCTAGTCAGCAAAACAAAAACTACAAAACAGAGGTCAATATTTGAGAGTTTGTGGGTTTTTGGCATGTGTTTGTTCAGCATAAATGGCAAATCTGGTTGCTATGCGTAAAGCGTAATCCGTCGTCAAGAAAAATGTATTGACCCGGGTCAGTGTGGTGTAATGCTTCAATGGCAAATTGGTCCCTCGTGCATGCGGTAATTTTTTTTCAAAAAAAGTGAATTTTATGATGAAAATCTGGCCCATTCGTATCAATGGAGGTGTTGTCAAATTGGATTCGGTCTAGGACGGCCAAACAAATTTGATATGGAAGAATGTGAAGATGAACCAGGGCCAGACTTTCCAAAGGGAGCCGTCTATTTTTACACTCACAATCATTTCATATTTCTTGTCTTGCAGCTCTCTCTGCTGTTGCTTTCTTGCTTCTTCTTCTGATACCTTTGCTCCTCCTAAGTACAAAGAAAAATAAAGTCAGGACAAAATCTCACACCTCTTCAGCAATGCACTATCCTTTGTCACTTGTCAGCCATCACGTCACTTTAGGGATCTTGGGGTTGGGGTGGGGGTGGGGGAGGTGGTTTCCTGGGGTGCTACTCACCCACACGGCTTGGTGTCATGGAGACATGGCCCAGCTTTCTTTTCTCTTTATAAGCCTCAAATCTCTCCAATTCTGAAGTACGCTCTGCAAATTGATTGAAAATAATGGAATGAATATAAAAAGAACCATCATGTTTTCACTGAGTATCTGCAACGAGTACATAATAGTTTATTTCACAGAACACAGTTAATCAATGAGATACTTACGGTTCTGTAATTTGTCCCGTTTCTTTTGATCAGGCATAACTCGGGTGTAACCTCCTTGGCTAGAATTATAGGAAAGTTTGAATGGAAATTTATCGCATTTCAAAAGCGAATGTTAGAATTCTACAAAACGTTTGTTAATGAAAATGTAGACCGAAAGACAAGGTGGGCCTGTAGGTCCTAATGACATTTTGTTGTAATTTTCAAATGTCAAAAAATCATAACTGGATGAATTAAGTACAAAAGCTAAAATATTTAATGGACTCAGAACTCAACTTACGATTGGTACGTTTCTCGTCTGTCACCATCACCTGAAGATTGAGCATTTTTACTTGCAAAATTTGTCTGATTGCTCCCAGACGAATTAAAACTGCTACTCTTGTTCCCAGAGTAACCTCGCTGAGGCTGAAGTTCATCTTCCCACATTTTGGCGTCTTTACCAGTTGACTTAGTTCGGGAAGTTGGACAACTCTTTGCAATGCTGGACTGTCTGGAACTTGCGGTTACAGCTCCGCCACTGTCGGCCCCGGGTTTAGACTTAGGAATAGGAGGCCCAGTGGAGGCCCTACAAGAATTTGACTTCTTGTTTCCTGAATTTAGGTCTGCTAAAGTCACAACCCGGGGATTGGGAGGTGTTGCTGATGCACCAGATTTTGACGCTGGAGATTTTGACTTTGGTGAACTTGCACCACCTTGCAAAGAATTCAATTCTTTGACTTTGGTTCTATTTCCAAGGTCAGATCTGGTGGAAGTTGGTTTCTTTTGAGCATTATTTACTTTTGCTCCTTTGCCAGCTGTCTGCGTGTGGCTTCTCGAGCCGACTGTGTAGGCTCGGCTCATGACGAAATACGCAAAACCCCAACGAATGTTGGGGAATTCCCAATACATGCAATAATTTGAAGCTGCATTTTTGTAGGCCTGTTTATAATTTACTTGGTGATCATGAATAGCGCCACCAAGCATGGTAGTTCTACCGTGCCGACAAAAAAATTTGCAGCTGACTTTATCTGCCGCCCTCTACGTTTCAGTTTTCCCAACAAAGTTTGAGAAACGTGTGGTGGCTGATGGGAGCTATTACAGCTCCATGCTTGAAAAAGAAATCCCAAATTTAATCTGAAAAACTTTCGCACCTTGATCACTCGCAACACACGTCATGCAATCTCCTCTCATCATTTGTTCCAGTACTGTGAGATATTCTTCTAGCGTTTTTTTTTCTCGTACAGAATTAAAAACTGCTGCACTTTGGGCCTCCTTACCTGAATGCTGTTTTCCATCAACTTTTAATCTATCCCTGTTCAAAAGTAATGTGAATAGAAGTATAAATCTGCTCTCTTTATTATGTAACTTGTTTTCTCTTCACTTTCCTTTGCAGCCCGCGCACATTTAGTGGCCTTAATCTATGGTGTCTTAAGATGGGTGATTATCATTACGTAAAAAAACTAACCAAAAAAAATAACAATTAATTTTGTGAAACCCGTAACCAAAGTTGCCATGAACAACAAAAAAAATAAGGAAATCTCACAACACCCCGTATATAGGCCTACGGGTAAATGACCACTGCACTCTTCAACCTCACACTCTAGCACTATTATAGCAAGAAAAAGACGCCCCGAGAAAACACGTCCGGCCGGACCTCGGATGTGCGAAGGCTCTGGGAAAGTTCGGGGAAAACCGGCGTACACAATCGGCAGGTGCACGTCCGGCATCGCAAGTAACTTGTCAGAAACTTTCTTCATTATTATGACGGATCAAGGAGGCAGACACCCTCTGCTTTATGTGTGCATGGAGGAATATTCCTCACTTTATACTTATTAGGTATTGCGTTTTGAACTTGAAGAGTCATCACAACACAATGTAGGCTGTGAATTGCGGGTCCAGCTCCCAAAGGTGGAGGGCTAGGTACGTGGGGTCGGAGAAAGGGTGGGCTTGGCGACTGGGGTTTAGGGTTCGACCCATTTTATGTTTAGGCCAAAAAAGTCTCCGGTTTATGGTAATGGAGCTTGCCCAAAAAGTGGTGCGGCGACGCGGCTTTTTTTGTACCAGATTTTCTTGCTTCAAATGTCGGCTGAAGACTGCAAATGGTGCCCGACTAAACGAAGTGCAAATATATGGGAGTCCAGAGAGGCCACATAAAGCTTATTCTCGATCATAACCCCATCTAAAAACACGTTAAAATTGTGCAGGTTTTGGGACATCATCTTTCATTGGAAAAAAAAACCCTTTTTCATTTTGCCGACGCGCATGGCTATATACGGCGACGCTCGCGCATACCAGAAACCGGAGACTTTTTTTTGGCCTTAGCTGACCCATTTTAAACTTTCAGACCTATTTCAGACTTATATACATCTATCAATAGTTTGAAGATGTCATCCCACGTACCACACCCCCCCCCTCCCAGCTTGGCATGCTCCAACAAGGGTTCGCTACCGAGCTCGTGATCATAAGTTGCCCAAGGTCGACACTAAATATTATTGCCAGGCTTTGTGAACGCGTCACACGGGCACTGTAAGTCAGCGCTTGTCCTTACCAGGTCAATACCGCCCCGATATTATGTCGTGTCTTATTGCTTCCAACATAGATTCAATGGTCAGCAAGCTATAGCTCAGCTTGTACTATGACGAAAACGATTGGATCAAAAAGTTGTAGATTTCTGTCATGCATACAACGCTACATTTTTTTTTTTACTTCTTGCAGCTTCTTCTGGAAGCACAGAAAAATCTCTGCATGGAAAAAAAATAGGCGAGAAAGATGTGGTCTGTCCGAGTATGAGGATATGACCCGTGGAGCCCTCTCTGTCTCTGTTCCAATTTTGCAAGGGGAAATTCCATAGAAAGGTGGCGAAAAATTTGCATTAACTACATGTATAGCTATAGTATACATGTACATGTACTCCTGTATGTACAAATGTACACATATTAACAAAAAAAGTTTCATCAAGTAAACATTATTTACGGCAAAAATTGCTTATTTATTGGGCTTAAAAATAACAATGAATTTGAATAATAATCAGGGCCGGTTTGGGAAGACCATGGAGGAATAAGAACCTGGGAAGACCCTCATTTGCATTTGGGGGGGGGGGGGTAAAATCATAGAGCAAGGTCATACATATTACAGGTTTAGTTGCACACATGGCCGGTTCGGTCCGGTAAAATCCTGCGTTGTATGCCTGTGTTGCATCCACGAGGCCAACTTGACGCGACGGGCCCGGGCGCGTGTTCGTATGCTAATGCATTTAAAATGCAAAACGAAATTGTGCTTTTCCGGTACGGGCCAATCGGATCACGATCAGCTGGCGTGATCAGCTCATTTACATTTTGTTTTGCTGACGTCACTGATCAGGCGAGCCGGTTTTCCCAGCATGCGGTGTGGTAGCTTGTGTACATGCGCTGTGGTGTGATGACCCATACAACGCCGGGATATTCAGTTGCACGCACGATGAGTAAGTGACCTTCGAAGAAAAATAAAAGCCCCTGCAATTCCGCCTAGTATAAAGTGACAAAATTCTGCGACAGAGTTATAATATTGCAAACATCTACGGTGTACGGGTGAGAGCTGATTCTTAAGAGCATCAATAAGCAGAAGCAGTATACTGTAAAACCACTCTACTTTCAATCTTAATATTTTTTGTAGTTTGGGACAGATACATTATATTGCCGTGCTCACACGGTGAGCCGAAGTTTTGAGAGGAATCATCGGAATAAAGCTGCATTGGGCCTACAGCTGACTTTGTCTATATCTAGAGCTCATCTGAACTCATAAAACCACAACTCGTAAAGAAAATGGAGCTGAACCTCGCAGACAACGAGAGAATGTCGCCGAACCACTCGAATCACTCGATCCTGGGCGTGATGAAGGGCTTCATCGACGCCGTGAACGAGATGGATGAGACGGTACTGATCCCCAGTCGACTCATGGACATGCAGGTCGAGCCCAACACATTGGCCCTGCAACAAACCACCGGAGATACCAGCCCCACCACCAAGGCAGACCTGGCCGTCATCCCCGCCAACTGTGCCCAGGACTCGGTCAGCCTACACGCCTGCTACGCCATGCTCAAAGCCGTCAAGTCGGAGCTGATCAGGGGACCGATTTCCGAAGAGGAACGGCTGGCAGCCGAAGAGGATGCGGACAAGGAGAACATCGGGGCCGACAGCAACCGTAGTCTGGAGGAGGCCACCGCACGGGCCTTCAGAGAACATTTGATCGGGCTGTTTTCAGTACTCCAACAGCTCACCAACGTCAGCAAGAAACTGACCACCAAGTACCAAGAAGAACTGGGCGACTATCAGTCGTGTTTTAAACCCAAGTCGTCATCGTCATTTTTGATGTGAAACACTGGATTTTTTGTATACCGCAGAACTTTGCAAAACTGTGCAATGAAACTTTGAAAGGAGTTTTCTACTGTATACGTGTATATTTTTTGTTGGACTTCTCAAACTCTCTTTTTTTTTGTTGGACTTCTCATTTCGGCCTTTGAAGTGGGAATACAGAACTTTACAAATTTTGTGAAACTAAATCTGTTACAGTGTTAGACTAAACGTTAGTTTTTGTAAATTTTTATGGTTACAACTTGCGTTGTTATTAACGCCCGACGGTCAACATGCTAAAATTGCCGACTTAAAATTTGTAAGATCTATATGGAATATTTATTTTTTGTTTGCAAATGTTTATATTTATTAATATTGAATCAAAATCCCAGCATGCACATTGGTGAAAATTATTTTGAAAATATCAATGCGATAATATGACACAAAATGGCAAACCAGTTTCCAAATGCTGAGCCACTTATAAAAAAAATATTTCCAAATTCACCTGCTTAATTTGTGTTAAGTGTTACATACTAAATCGCACAAAAATAAATGGGTACTGAAGTATTTTTGTACAAATTTTCGTTGTATTCACGATACTCAACAGTTGGAAATGAAACATTGTGACATGTTTTTCATGAGATATATTTTGGAGACTAAAATGCATGACACATGTATTGGACAGGACTCCAATTACATGTAGAACTGTTTCAGAACTGTTCAAATATATCTCAAGGAAAAGTAATCGAAAGTGATAGTGAAAATGCACAAAAAAAATCTTCATTGGCCTCTAGTGTTTTGTTTAAATTGTACAGGGAACTTTGCCCATTGTTTTGTACAGAATAAAATTGAGAAAATCTACAGTGAAATGAATATGTTTGTTCATGAGTGTATACATGTACGTACAATAAAACGATTTGTAAAAAACACATTGTATTCACATCCCCCCTTAAAGTTTGCTGAAAATGTGCCTCCCGATTTGGGGCGTAAAACCTTCGGCCTGGTCGAAAGTTTTCTGCAGTCAAACGGTCAAACACCAAATCGATATGTTGGTGAATACTTCAGATGACGTCACTTGAAACAAATTTAGAAGAAATATCGATTGGGTATATATTGCAAGCGGTTGTTCATAATATTCAAGGGCTGAAATGACACTAGACAAAGCGTGGTGGGATGGAACGAACTGGGTGTAGCATTGGGATGCGCGACATCCGACCACTTTGTCGGTATTGTATTCAAATTACAATCCAATGAATGTTTTTTTCCCCCCATTGCAACACGTTATAAAATGGGGGGAAATCATTAATAAGAAGCACTTTTGAGGGATTTTAATGTGTTGCAAAAATACAATGTGGAGACCATGTGTTTTCCCAAGCTCCCGAATTTTCAACTAATATAATATAAACGAAGATTTCTTGTTTCTCTGAATGGAGGCCTCAGGATTAAGACACTGGAAGACACTGATTGGTCCTTTCCATGCTGGCCCCCTACTTTCTCGGAAGTCTTGTTTGTTCATAATAATTGTGTACGTACGTATTCGCGTAGGGCCAGCTGAAGGGGGACGACAGGTCCGTGCATAATGTGCATTAAATGGTCATTGTCTGGCGAGGCCAGGGTCACCGTCAAGATTCGTCCAATCACGGCTCGGGATAAGTCTGGCGTCATCTGATGGTCAACCGCAATGAATTTCGCACGATCGAAACGAAATGTGAAAATAAACTTTAAAACGTAGTTAACGTACATCCTTGATGTTTTGGGCGTGCAAGCGGACACAATTGCGTTTGCGGTTTCCTGACGGCGGTTTACACAGGATTATTTTCTTTATCCGGTTTATTAACGTACATAAACATATTCCTTTTGTGTTGTAATAAATTTGTAACAGCTTTAATAAAGTACTCTCTATAAAAATTGTTATGGAATTTTTAGCTGACGTATTTCTTAATAAACCCAAATACCGGCTTTGTTATTGACAGCTTCTACACGGACTTCGAATACAATGCTATCAGCGGACTTCGCCTTCAGTCCTCGAGTTTTTGTTCTGTTACGGACGATGCAAACAACTGCTGTGAACAAGTTCTGGGTTTCCCGGATCTCAAGATGAATTCACACACCCCTAAATTAAAACCGAGTTGAAAACATGCGTGAGAACACAGGTCAGAGTGTTGGCAGGGCTCAAAACTTCAGTGCTTAGGAATGTGACGATCCGGATTTGGTCAGAGCCGGGAAAATCCCAGACCTCACCGAGTGAAATCATGTCCTGCAAGAAAAGTGCAAAGTGCCAAAAGTCAACACCGCACGTCGTTTTTTTCTTCAATACTCTTCCATTATACACATGTATTCCTTACTCAATGGTACAAAATAGCGAGTGCATTTTGTATGCAAGTATTTTTAAAAATGTATTCAGACGAGTGTCAAGTGATAACGGTTTTTCCCGACTTGAGCAATGTACGAATCTGAATTTGATTCAACATAATTATAATGAACAACTATACACATATCTATTATTGACTTTGACAGAATGAATATTTTGAAGCCAAAAGCACTATAAATGGAAGTAAAAACGTTCTCCTTAATCCTGTCTCACTAGAAGTTAAATTCTTTTAGAAAAAAATCCGCTATTTTGTATCTCACTTATACCTATGTTTTGTAATACTAGCCAGGTTTGAAAATGCAGTAAAAAAAATAACAAATTTGATGTTATTCGGTAGAAACCTTTCTTATTGCTGCACGGTCAATTTCAGATAAAACCCAAACTCTTTAAAATTACATCAATTTTTAAAAAAGCATGTGGGTAAAAAAAATGGAGAGAACAATGCAATATTTTATTAATTGTATTTAAATCATCTTGCTGCCTGTTCATTATGCCAACGATTTCAAAATTAAATTTCTTCAAGGAAAAAACCGTAGCCATCACATCAGGCGATCTGGCTTTGCAGACATGATCAATACTAGCTGGAGGACACTGTTATGTAACGCCAGGCTCAAGTGGCAGGGCTAGCCCGCTGGGCCTCCTGCATGTGCTGTTGGCGCATAGCCTTGAGCCCATAATTTATGCCAATACAGACAGCAGTTTTCTCCAAAACATGGCAAACAAGTCTCTTGTGGAAAGTCCTTGCACTGTCTGGAGGAGGAGGGGGGTTCAAGAGGGAGGTAGCTGTGATGGAAATCATCCGGGATTAAAACAAACCTGGGAATGGCCTTCGTTCACAGTATGGCCCGACAACCAACTAGGCAGGGGAATAAAAAAAAAAGGATTTATAAATTGTGTTTTCCTTTTTTTTTTTCTTCAGGGCACTTATATTCAACAACAATCAACACTTTTTCCATTACATTAGAACTTCAGCTTTTATCTAAAAACTGTAACTCACTAAAAGCAGAGTTAAAAATAAAATTTAAAAATATATATTGCACAAGGTTTACTTGTAGAATACAACGTTTATGAAATGGATGAAAGCTTGCATAAATTAACAAAGAAATCAAGACAGTTGATTCAAATTGTTTGTATGATACTAATCATGCAAAACAATGCTACTTGCTCGGTATCCATACCTCTTTGTATTCTGTTTTGACACTAAGCGTCAAAGGAATAAATCTTGGGGCAAATTAATAAAAGAGTAACAAATGATCAGAAAGGGGTCACCACAAGTCCGACAAGTTTGGATATTTGAATAATTGAATTATTACATATTTAGTTTGGAAAACACCAGCTTCCAACACCAACCAACAGAAATCCATGCATGTTGCAATTTGTGTGGGCAGGGCAGCTAATGGTCATTTTTTTATGCAGGACAATTACCAAAATATAACAAATTATTGCTAAAAAAGGTTCCACAAATTATTGCTAAACAAGGTTCTACACTTGTACATTGCATAAGAATATCTACATTCTTCAAAGATCAAACCATGCATTGATTTTAAGAAGGGATCAATTATGTACAGTAAATTTTTAATCTATCCATATATACATTACAAACACCATAGAAGTACATAAGTTCAGTGAAGTATCCAATATGTTTGGCAGGAGGCTCTTTTTTTTTTGTTAATTTCAATCAAAATGCTTCAGGAATTGATTTTCAAATACATTTCCTGATAAGCTTTTGTGATCGCTGTACTGGGCATTCATTTCACCCCCAGAAAAAAGGTGGGAATTTAAGGGGTTCAGTAATTCAGAATTTTAGTGGATAAAAAATTCTACCCAGCTCAAAAGCTTGGATATACCACTAATAAGTACAACATTGAAGCATTTTCGAGACAGTTTATATAAAAGACACGGTGGGTTAAATATAAACTTAAAATTGAATACCTTTAATTTTCTATTAGCTAGCACCAGTAACATTTGTTATTCATATCAAGGAAACCCCACAGAAGATTATTCACTTCAGCCAGACATTGAATTCTGTGCCTGACTAAGCCTGGTAGTGGTAAGCATGCAGACATTACTGTTTGCATACGGGAGCTAGGCTTTTGTCAAGCAACCCATGCATTGTGCACATTATTTTATTACAAATTTCGTCGCATTCACTGCATCTCATGTACATATGGTGAGGCAATATTCACTATGGATAGAATTTTCATGACATCGCAATCACTGTTTTAATAGTAACATCATGTTGCTTGGAAGCGCAGTCAAAAAAAAGGGATGTACATGTAGGCATACATTTGGCGCAAATGCAAAATGTGACATCACATTTATTGCAACCTACTTCATATTCAAAAGTAGTGTCATAGATGAACCTCATATGGCCCTCATATGAGGGCCAATACTCTCCATATTGCATGCCCAGAGCCCATTCATACACCACAGCTAATTATATGAAACTGCTAAGCACACAAATTTGCTTAACACACAAAAGTTTCCTTAGCAACAAGAAAAGGTGATGTGCCATTGATTGTGACTGGTTCCCTACCGATTTCTGTTTTTTTAGCAAGAACATTTACTGTGAGCTGTATTTTCTGCTTTGGACCCATCTCAACTTTTATCTGGGACGAGTTCCCGGACAAGTTGCAAGTAGAATCATTCACTTTGTCCGGAAGAAGCTCTGCATTTGTCCGGGACATCTTCCGAGGAAATGTCCATCAGCAACTGCTTGACTCACCAATACTGATAACTTCATTGCTGAAAGATTGAGAAGTTGTTCAGAATCCTGCAACTTATACCCGATAAAATACCTCGGATTTGAAATGTTTCCCAGTTGTCTTTATTTAACCCTACAGTTCTAAGACATTGCTGTAGCTCAGCTCGTGGGGCAGGGCCGACCGGCGCGGGTAGAAGGTGTGGGTCAAGGAGTAGGAGTTGAGATTGCCCAGGCAGGACATGTAGATGTCAGCAAAACGACACAGCCTAGAGGTGAAGTAGGACGGATTGTGGAAGGTCCGGAAGACGCTGCCGAACTGGGGGTTGAACAACGACTTGGTTGTGTTCCTGAAAGGGAATCAGTGGAAATCCTGTCTCGAGCCAATTCACACTTTATTCACTGATAATTGAGGAAAGAAAACTGATAATTGATGAAAGCACTGCCATGTTTTTCGTCACCGGACTTGTGAAAAGGCTCGTCATTTTCTTGTGAACGGATTTGTGATGGATTTTACTAGAAGGGCCGCATCTTGCCCAAGAAAATGAGTTTGTATGAGGCGGAGACAGGTGGTAGTAAGAAAACATCATGAGGCGTGGACATACCTGACTTGGGTTCTTTCTCTCAACCATTCCTGCACAACTGCCTGGCAACCAGGATCTGTATGAACCTAAAGAAAGCACAAGCAAGCCGAGATGAAATCCAGCAATGTAATGAATTGTCAATCACCCCCTCCCAACCAAAACCCCCAAAAAACTTTGGGCTGTATTCCATTAATAAATCATTGCCAGTTTAACCATCGTTGAGTACATTTTATTTTCCCAACACCGTGAGAGAGGGGGGGGGGGGTGTCCCAACCCCACCCCCTCAGAGGGACAACCCCCCCCCCCCAGACCCCGGCCGATTCCCCTTGCCCTGTATGTAGTTAGTAGTCACTGGTGACTATCCAGTAACAAATGTCCATACCTGGTGTTTCTGTATGAGTTCTTGCAGCAGCACGAGCCAAGTCAGTGCATGCTTGAATGGGACTGAGTTACAGATCGCAATCTCATCCTGTATATAAAAACAATGGACAGAAAATGAACGAAAGTGAAAAGGCATACTAGCCACAAACATATGTTGACTAATTGGACTGAAGGTCCAAGGAATAATTTTGTTTTCTATTTTGAGACAGTGTCAATTAGTGCTCAGGACTTGTTTACGAAAAACACAGAACTAGAAAAATAGTGACGTACAGAGGAAGCCCTGACATGTTGTTGCTTCCTTAATGATGTTTGTGACATTTTCAAGTGACGCAAATTACAGAAATACCTGCAAATCCTAGAAGTCTTACTGATGGTAAAAATGACTGTTTAAATCATACGTTTTGTTCAAAGTATTTTCCACCGATGAGAATTGACATTTTAGCTTTTTATTTAAAAAGCAAAACTATAAAATTCTTATCAATTTCTTGTCTCGGGAAAAAGAAACGTTGGTTCTTGACCAATGGCAGCCCTCCAATTAATGCTCCGTGTTACTATTTCTTGAATTTAATCCCCGCCTGAATCAATTACCGCTCTTGTGTATTTTCAGCGACAGAAATTAGCTTCCGTTTTATCTGCAGATGGTGCAAAAATAATGATATGAATACACTTTTTAAGGAAATGGACATAACATAAATGTAAGATTTGTGAAATTAAAAAAATTAAAATATGTAGTAAACTACACTGCTTCGAAAAAAAAATGGCAAAAAAATTAACAACTGCATTTATGCAAAGCATAATTTAGACAAAATGGCCGACACAAATTCTAACCAACATGACAACATTTCTTTTGAGTAGAGAAACTGTGCAAATCAAAGCTGGAATATATGCAGAAATCAAATCCATTATATTTTGAAGACAAAATAAAGGCAGCATTTTGTTTCTTTCCATGGAAAACAAGTAAGCCAACTTGCAACTACATGGCTTTCGTTTCCTTGAGAAAGAATAATAATGAAAGGAAGAAAAGAATGTGGCGTGATCATGTGTTAAAGTTTGTTCACCCCTGAGTCCAATGACTGCCATTTCAATGTGCAAGACAGGCCTATTCTTTAAAGTTTTACTGCAGTTTTTAATTTCTTTCAAAGTTTAGGTCTTAAAATGAAAAAAATGCTTCACTCTCTAGCCTGCGCATTAATTAACGATATGGAAAAAACACAAATTAGTATTTTTATTATAATAAAATCGAACATTAAATAAAAATCAAATAGTTTACATTTCATATCAACTCACAGCCAATTTACATTTTCATGTCTCAATTAGATATGCGGAAAATATTAATTGTTAACAATGACAAATCAAACGTTCCATTTATTTCCTTTCATTTACCGTATGTTTAAAGTAAGCTGTAACAACAAAACTTACAATCCTTTCAAACACAATTTGATTATCAAAAAGGGGAGGGGTAAAAAGTGGGGTGATAATGTCCAGCAAAGTTTGTTCACCTTAGAGAAGTTCTGTGACCTTAATGGAGAGCAAAGGAAGGACATGAATATTCATAGAATGAATCAGGAGAGAGTTGAGTCTTGTCAGAGTCTACCATTATTGGATGAAGGGAAGGTGAAATGTTCATGGATATTGAAATAATGCATATTGTTGCTTGGTTCAACAACAAAAAGCAAACAGAAGATTGCAAAGCATGTCTTAGGTCTTCGTTTTCCCTGACAAATTTGTCAACCGAATTTCAACTGTGTTTTCAAGAGTGTAGCACATTTTCGGTTGAAGGAACGGCAGGATATTTTCACCACCGACCAAAATGGAACTGCCCATATGCAGTTGATTGACTGCAGCATACAGTGTGGGGTGATGGTGTGATGTTTTGTCAACCTTGTACCAAGGGGAAATACCACCCTCACTGATGTATTATCACCACTGTGGGCAATAAAAGCTAAACAAGAGTAAGAGGTTGCAAAACAACACATGATAGCGCCAACTAAATAACTTTTAATCAGTGTTGATATAATATCAAAGATATTAAGATAAGAAAGAAATAATAAGGAGTTGGAAAAATGATTAAGTCCTAAATTTACAGCAAATGTTCTCTAATGCTGTGCTTTCTTTTTATGCTGTTTTTGTGTGAATGTTGTGTGAGATTTTTCAGCTGAAGCCAAGGATTTGGAGAGATTTGTGCCTAATATTTTTGCTCAGATTTAAGAGCTGAATCATGAAGCTCTATATGATAAAACAAACGTAGCGGGAAGGGTAGGACCATATAGTAAGTCCTTTCTCTATGGTAGGACCGAAGAAGGGAAGGTGTTGAAAATTAGGTGGTTAAAAAGGTCTGAACAAAATTTGAATTAAGTTTTGACATTTACTTGTACTTGAGGCACACAAGTCTGACAAATATTTAAAACAAATTTGTACTTTGAACTCTTCTTTACTAAATGTACCTGACTTTACAGGTTTGGAAACTCGATCATGGCATCTTTTTACAAAATGAAGTCCACCGTGAATTCTATTTTAAGTAGTCCCCGAAACTCTGTAGTTATAAATCATACATGTAGCTCCATGGTTAACTGACAAATTAACAAAGAAAAAACATTTCCAAAGTTTCTAGAGTTCAAAAGAAGAAGAATCAAAACACCCACACAATTGCAATGGATGATTGCCCAGGAAAAATAATGTGACTATAGCGTGCGCCGGTACGCCTTTCTTTGTCTGTGCATAGAGCTACAGTACAGGGATTGTAGCTATGGTCTGTGAATCTTTTTAGGGATCAATGTTCAACGTGATATAAGTCATCAATGAAAAGGCTGAATATTTACACACCAACTGCTCCAGTCACTCTATGGCAACCAGTTAGTCGTTTCCATCACATTTATGTCAAGCTTTTTTCATTTTTTCACTTCAATTATGCAAGCATATTTACATCCCTCAAGTAGAGTTCACAGCAGTTTCTTTAGTAATAGTACTAGGATTTGGAAGTTGGAAATTGAAAAGAAAACCTTCACAATAAAACCCAGCGATTTATTTAAATGGAAGTTGTGAAACCGTTGTGGTACTTTGCCCTTCAATTTTGCCGAGTCTGCACGGTAAATGTATTGGACCAAAGTCCTTGCCGTTTTAGAAGGAGAAAATAAACATTTTCATGATCGCAAATCCGGACATCATGAAGAGTTCACATAACGTTGGACCCCAAACGTCATGAGTTTTACTGAACCTTCTTTTCTGCATGGAGAGAATTTCTTTGATTGCCTTTCCACTGAACTTGAATGCGTGAACTGCAAATAACTTAATGCTTCATTACAACTGTACTTGAGGCATCAGGAACTTCATATGGGGCAGATTTACACACCCTTGCAAAAATATCCACTGTATTTTTTGGATTATGGGATCATTAATTCAAACACTAGATCTTTCCAGGGCTTAAGTCATGGCAAATTTTAATCCAACAATTTGCCAATGATTATGATAAACTTTCAAGTTTCAATAGAAAGTGCTGGTAGTGAATTGTTTTGTCAGCATTCATCCAACTTGAGTAAAAATTTCAATGTTTTTCTTGCCAAAGATTTGAATATATTCCTTATTGTTTCTGTAAACTGAGTTTCAGTGTCACATTTGAGTTCAACATTTGCCCAGCCAGGATACGTAATTATTTTCTAAACGTGAGGTTTCCGGCTTCCTTTGACGCTTCCTACGAGTATATCTTTGGCCTAATGCACTCCTCACAACCGACAGACAAAGAAAAAGGGGGCGTGGTGGTGATGGTGGTATTGGTCGGGGAGGGGTAACCCACTAGAGCCTGTACTACATTGTACACAATGTATTTATAATACTACATAAAAAAATAAGACCTTAGAGCGCTCGGGTGTTTTCGAGCAGTAGGCCTACATGGAATAATAGGCAGGGCACTTTTGGGCAGTATAAATGTACAGGGACTCACAGGTTATATGCTGGCCAATTATATAGATGTTCTTCTTTTTTGATGTATTGATTTACTGATGACAAAATATCCAAACATCTTTGCAAAAACTTTTTTTGTATCATGCTACCACATTTCAACAAAATTTAGTTCTGTATCCTTCATATGTCAGATGTTTGTCTATTAGTATGGACAACAAAGCAAACAAGCCTAACTGCTATGCTTACGCAAAACCAACATTGTTGGACAACCTTGCATGAACCTGGTCTGGATATATCCTGTAAGTTTGTATTATTGCGTAAGAACATGCAAGGTCTTGAGCATGTGATTTTTGACATCTGGCTACTCAAATTCTTTAGTAACATCAGAAACCAAGCTTTAAATTAGCTAATTATTTTTGAAAATTGACATAAAAGTGGATTTAATAGAGTGATGTTATAAACGTGTGGTTTAAAAACTGGTTAAGGGCTTGGCTGTCAATATTGGCCTGAGGCGTAGGCCTATTACTGGCAACAAGGCCCCTAGTTTCCCAGGGTAACTTAATTGTCCCAGGTATCTATGAACTGATTTAAAATTAGTATAATTTACCAAATCAGTTGAAACACGACACAGGCTACTTAACATATCATAATGTGATCAATGGTTAAGTACATGTACCTTTTTAAACTGAACTGAATACCATATGTACAGAAAAAAAATTTGCCTTTAAGACTCAGCTCACTTTGTATCATGACCCAGTAACATGTCAACTTCGCACCAGACAGAACGTGCTAGCATGCAACCCAGACTGGTAAATGATTATCGTGTTAAAGGCCACAGCTAGGCTATTCACAACCGCACTTTGGAAGTCTGCGCCCTGCAATGATTTCATTATCATACATGCATTGTTTAAGGCAGGAAGACTCTTTACAGCAGGAAGATCACGCCCTTGTTATAGGCAGCTAGTCTAACCATCCTCTAACCAATTGGACAAACATCTGGTTTTAACATAACAGCTGTTTTCCATCTCCCAATTAATTCGCAGGGCTTGAATTTCAGGCAAAATCAACTAGGCAATATCATAGCTGCTTTCAACTTTTTGAATCAACTTTACTACTAGTGCAGTATTTTTCACAAGGGAAATCATACATGTGCTCAAAGAAATGTCCTACAAAATATTGAACAGAAAATAAAAAGTAGCAAATATAGTCCATGTGTACCTTGCAACAATTGAGATGTAAATTTTTTCCCTGATTGTTTTTTTTTAAGAGATGAGTGTGTGTTAATTGTTGATCTGAGGCAATTTATTTAGACTACAGCCTGATCGATAGAACCATGGAGGATTATTCCTCTTTTAAGATTACATTGTAACTCAACTCAACTGTGACGTGATTGAGCATTGAGAAATGCCCCATATTTTAGGGGAATCAACACTTTCAAAGAAATACAAACACACAGTACCATGGCATGCACACAACAGGTGCACAAATGGCACATGTCCCCAGTATTTATTTTTCATGTTGACAGTATACATGCATGCACTGACCACAGGTTTATCATACAATGTGAGAATGCTAGGGCCCGTTTCCTGGAATAAAGGTACTCCCTCCACACACATGTACAAACACACTTAATAAGCCAGTTGCTAACTCCCCCTGACAAGCTATTCTTGGAAGATGTACATGGGTTCAGGGGATTATACAGCAAGAGGAATAATTATTCACGATTCTTTGATTTCAAATTAGGCACCTGTAGACTCAAAACATGCTCTTTCTTCCAAGTGTATTGCAGAATAATTGTATTGTTATAATACCAATCATGTTTGCAGTTTTCCTTAATAATTTGAAAATATGCATTTAATTCGTGGAGCTATATAACAAAAAGATCGGCCCATGTTTAACTTAAGCGCTTTTTGTTATTTGATAAATAAATTGATATCAGTTATTTATGGTATTCCAAGGAAACGGACATGTTTTTATGAATTCTCAATTATTATGAATATTTTATAGCTGATAAAAAACTACAGATTACATGGAATATTCTTTGGCACACAGTGGTGAAAAAATGCAAGCCCGGTGCATTGCTTCAGAATTGACAATCTAATTATTTTTAGTTCATATCTTTTTTGTATATGGTAACAGTGTATGTAAGGATTAAATTTAATAAATGTGCAAATTTGCATCTAAGATTTACCCTAATATAGAATGGGATTATAGAAATTAGTGACTTTTATCAGGCAGCGATAAGATTTAAGCCTCAGATAAAAGCAAAAAACATCCTGACATACTTTTATATTTAAAGTTCATCACTGTTTTCTCTAGTACTGTTTAGATGTTGGTTGTGGCCCCTAACACAAAGGATAGAAACCAAATGTAGGGAAACTAGAGGCTAACAGAAACAGGAAAACAGGAAATAATTAGACATCGTGTTGGCCATGCAATATTTCACAGAGTTGATGGGCCTCCATAATTACAAAATAAAGACTAGTTTTGCCTAAAAAGAAATTGGGTAAATGTTATACATGTAGATTTGCAAAAGGTGAAGAGCATTTGGGTTCTTGTGACGATTACAGACAAAAAAGTACATTACAGATTAATCCGTTACATTACATCTGTGAAATCAAAGGATAGAGGGCAGTGCATGAAATACAGTGACACTTGCCTATACAGAAAAAAAACCTGCCAACTTACAGAATTTGTTTTAATAAAAAGATTTGAATTATAATCCCTCCTCACACATAAACAAATATAAAGACTACACTGACACTCTCATTATAAAATTACCAAATAAAATTTGTTGCACTTTCCAAGCTTTTAACACTCCCCCCCACAAAAAAAACAGGCAATTGTTTCAATCTGACTCTATTTATCTCATATTTCACTTCACTCAACAAATATTTTGGATAAGGGGCACATGATATCACGGTGGTGTGATCCCTAAGAAGAACAATACGAAATATTAACCAGCAATCTTCCAGATACATTTTGCCACAGATACAGATCTAACGGATAATTGAGGGGGGCACAAACCAACAAAAGTTGCGACAGTTCAAGGGCTGAGTAAACAGCCACCAAAGTTTGCCCAAACACTTCACAGATAATAATTATGCAGGCACTGAACCCGATAATGCATCACAGTGGACGATGACGCAAATTAAAGGGTGGGTTTTAATGTTTAACTCGGAGCATTTTTGTCTGAATATTATACGACGGTGCCTCAGTCACTAAAACTGGGGCAGATTACTCAATCACAGCAGTCCTGGTAGGTTAATATGACAGTGACGGGCCAAACCAAATACGTGGACTCACTCCTTTCAATAGTTATTTAAATAATGAGTAAGACCATCATAATATACGACATTTAGATAAAATTTGACTCTTTTTAAAAAGTTGTTTGATTGTTTGTTTAGTTTCTCATTTTGTTTTATACAGAAAGAGTTATTGGGCTCAGTACTAGATCAAAAATTCTGGGGGCTAAACATTCTTGGTGGTTTCAAAATCTTCAAATAATACCTTTTGAAAGACCTGATATTTAATAAATGTGTGAACCATTAAGGGACATTTCAGAAACTTTAGGAAAATTGGAGAACAATGTAGGTATGCCGAGTCTAATGTTTCTGTGCATATATGGGCGGTGCAGTATAAAGGAGAATATTTCACACTTCCTTTGAATATCTTCAGTTGACTAATAAGCACTAGAGCAGGTCATGATCAGTGCCCCTTCTCTGAATTTGTAAGTGGTCACTTCCCCCCATTGAAATACCTCAAGTTGGTCAACAGGAAATCTCAGCTAAATGTTCGTTGACGCAAACCTCCATCACACCCTGTCTTGCGCATTATCTTAAAAATTTGCAAGAGGCTTGGAGGTGATATTTTTTAGGGGGAAGTGAGTTGTTTATGAAGGATTCTTTCTTTGATTGGGATGTCCTGGTTTATTTAATGCTGTTTGAATTTATGTAATTATACTTAAATTAAAGGGGTGTTGAAACGAACAATTCTAGTTCTCCTGCTTAGGGTTCGTAAAAAAAATTCGGCTAAATTTTGCCTGACAAATTTTCCGTAACACTATTTTTGTACATTTAAATTGGGTAATATATCGAACGATGAATTACAAAGCCTACTGAACATTACCACTCACTATATACACTTACTTATCTTTATACTATTTTCAAGACTTGCACTTAAAAAGTTAGTCCCACATAAACACAAATCTATGTAAATGGTCCTGATAAATTTCACTCCAAAACAACTTTCTCCATACTTCTATCTGCATGAGATATCGGTGCATAGACGCGACAGTCTGCTGATACAATATATGCAGGCGGTTGGAAAATGACCAAACCAACTTATCAATTTCTTGCGTCTTTATGATGAAAAGAAATACTTTAAAAAATTACTGGTTGTTATCCATCATTGGGCAAAAGTATACATCTGCTACAAAACAATGCCAATATTTATTTCATACTAAATGAAAAGAAATTGCTTGTTTTTGCATTTTTATTTTGGACAATTTCAGAAATTGTTATCGATGAAATTTTTTTATCAATGCTTGTTATTTACGGGGCTTCAAAATGTGGGACAGATGAATAAATACAGGAAGTCAATTGCAAAGTTGAAAAGTGGCGGGTTCCTTGCAATATTTGGTGGCGCACTCTATTGTGAAAGTATTTGAAAAGGTTAACTTACGTCTAGCTCCGGGATAATTCCGCCCGTCCGCCATCCGTTCTTCAGACATGGATCCACAAGATCACTGTAAACATGGTCGCCAAAATAGAGCACGGTGGAAGGATCCCACTGAGTTAACTTGGAAAACTGTTCCATGTTACCCTGTTAGAAGGAGAAATATTCAGAATAAATTAATATAACTTCTATTGTCATGTTACGGATGAATAGATATTTAGGCTCTGGCTGGGAGACTCTGACTCAAAATAGGGTTAAATTTTATTTCAACAACATCAAAACCTATAAAAAGAGGCCAAATATCAGAGTATTTGCAATGGGAGAGTGTTAAACATGCGCACATTAGTTTAAACATGACGCAATTGCTGGTCTCTCTCAAATGACGTCATTTTCCACAGACCAGCTACGTGTATCAGCATTTTGAGCGTCAACTTGCATAACCCGATCAGCTGCGTTGTATTTCGAAAACATTTCGAGCCACTAGCACCCGTGTTTGGAACATTTTGAACACTGCGCAATGCATGCTTGATTGCGTAAAACACGCAGTTGCAGTTCTCTTACAGAGATGGCCATCTTTGAGAGAGACCTATTGAAAAGGACCGGTGTGTTTGCTGCCACCAATTGTCTCAAATGTCTCCCATTAGTTCGATGAAGAATGGTCTCTGAAACTGACCCACGTTTTTCCTCACCTGCAAGTAGATTTTGCCTTTTGTCAATTTGGTGACGCGAGCCCAAGATGGCATGCCTGTCTTGCGGTAGATGAAGCGAAAAGGTCTGCCCATATGAGGAAATAAAGAAAATCGAAATATCAGAAGTTGAGAATAATAATTGTTTAGCTCAATGCTTTGGAGTTTTATTCAATGATAGCAAATTTCCTGAAAAACAATTTTTTTTAACATGGATATTACTCAATCCAAAGCTAGGAAGCCACCAAAATCTGGCTGTATTTCAAATGTGTGTCAATTGGGGAAAAGAACTACTATGTAAGAGATGGAACCTGAGGGTGTGGTGTTATCACAAAAAAAAAAATGCATTTTGAAAAAGAAAGCATAGATTTCCCAGCATTTTGTGAAATTAGAATAGCCCACGTTCATGCAAGTGTCTGCAAATCTTTTTTGTTCGTTCATTTTCTTTGTGGGGGCGGGGGGGGGGGGTTGTTTACCTTGTTGTGTCCTGGAAGAAGAGAGGTTTGCGTGCTTGGGTGATGATGACGTTGAAGAGATCGATCCAATCTGGGCCCAGTAAATACTTCATTCCCTCGTCTCTACAAACGACAGAAAATCATGATAATTAATAACACAAATACAAATGATTTGAAGGGCAAACATGCGAAATTACTGGTCCTGAGGCACTGGCTGATTTGTGTCAAGAGGCAGTCCACTCCGCCAACATGGATGGAAAACTCACTAGCAAGGTCTTGTATTCTTTGCAATCTTTGGCGTACACTTACACAAAGTGGAACGGACTATTTGTCATCAGAAACAGCTGTTTGCCTCCTTCGTGAAGCATCTTGATGTACTCTGGAATACCGGTCCCCGTCTCCAAATATTTTTCTGAAAATCAAGAACAACAGTTTTAAATACTTTGTATGATTTAAAAAGAATCGTTTGTCACATGCCAACTGTTTTGGCCCAATTTTTGTTGCTGGGAACAGAATTTGCCAAAATATTAGCTGAGAAAAAAGATGGCAGCATTTTGATGGTGTCATACAAAAAAACAGTATTTTTACGACAGTTTTAAGACGGTTCAGATGTTGATTATCATCCTTAATTTTGCCCCCAACCTCACTGGCATGAAAAAGCTGGATGCACTGCCTAACCCACTGGCTTCATATCTAATTCATCTCCATTTTGGTTGTAAATCCTCCAAAGTGTTGGAGGGTTGGGAACTATAATTCTGTCGTGAATCAAAGAAAACGTACTTCTTTAACTAACGTTCATGAGCATCCTACTCACCAACATTTCCCACAACTTCTTTGTGCATAATTCCTGAGATGTGAACTTCTTTAACTGCATTCTGTAGAACGCAAAAAATTGTAGACTTTTTAATGAAATATCTGTTTTCTTTTTAAGGTGACTCCATAATTGTATATTTAGTTTTAAAACAGGAGAAGCTTCTATGTCACAAAAATGCAACAGCAAAGCTAAACTATTTTATGGCAAACAGTGCAGTCGTAATAAGTGTATGCTTTGCTTTTACATGTCTGACTGTGGAGATATCAAAAAGCAGGAAAATGCCTAACCACGCAAGACTGTTGCTTTAAAGGGATGTTTTTGTACCTACGTGAATATCAGTGAAGAGGTATTCTGGATCGTAATCTATTTCATTCTCCGTCAAATACTGCAAAAAAAAAGGGAAAATAATATAAAACGAAGGTTTGATGATGTTCTAAAATCACAGGAAGCCTTACAAAGTACCTCTGGAGTTTGTTTCAACTTTCCTATATCCAATCCCCAAAATGGATACATGTACTAGAAACTATCCAGTACAACTCTAAGAATGCCACGAAATAACTGATAGAATATTAACGTATTGTCAATGCAGGAAAAAAAATATTGTTTGCGTCCAGGTTTCAAAACCCCACTGTTCTCCCAAAAAAATTGGTTTCTTCTCTGACTGAAATTTTGAAATAATATAAGACCCGATGATTCTGAAACGGAACATAAACCAATACTGAGCCAGAGTCCCCAAATGAGGGACTTCAAATCTCCTCGAGCCAAAGCTGTAGACTAAGCCGAGATTTTTAAAACCTCTTTGGCCCCATTATGTCTGAATGAAGGGCACCCTCTAGCGTTTGGCTGATGTTTTTACCTCTGCGACATTGGCAAGCAGCGCCATCTCCGGTATCGCAAAGAGATCCATGAGTTGCTTTATGGGATGACTCTGAAATATATAAAAACAGACATTGGTAAACACAATTAACAGGCCCCTTGCCTATTTGGATTTATGACATATGATTAGCGCCCCTTGAATAAAGACATTGACAAAATGTGGGACTGCCAACAGAGACTGGGTAGCTGAGTTGGTAGAGCACCGGTACCACAATGCGAAGGTTGCAGGTTCAAGTCCCACTTCTGTCAATTTCTTGTAACAGATCACAAATCATCACCTATCAATCACGAGTCACACAGTCTCCAGTCAACTCATAAGTTATTCAAATGAACTTTGGCAAAGGAATTCCTTTGTTACTGTTCATCGCCTGTTGCTTGCGACTGAACTTGTGAATTGATATATACCTGGAGCCATCACATCTTCCTCGAAACTGTAACATTCTAAGATGCTTACCACCGGCCCCGGAGTCATCAAACTCTCAGAGATGTGAGTTCCTTGGTAACTGGCTCTCACTTCCTCATCACTCACTGGCTGCTTGCCCCTACAATCAATTACATGAAATGTTCAGTTAAATTACTCCGCAAAAATATTTGTCAGTCGATTGCGCCATTTATGTACAATCATGCACTGAATTGTGACGAGGTCCTTTCAGTGAACTTAAACATTGAAGTTATGAGGTCTGTATTTACTTCCGCAAGTGTAAAAACCAAAGAAGTGTAGCTTTTTTTATTTACAATTTAAAGAATTTTAAACAATTGAAGGTGAACATAATTTCCAAGATATTCAATTAGGTTTCCTTTGAAAGAGATCTCTGACTCATTTCTTTGCAGTTATCTTGACGATGAAAGATGTCGGTTTCAGGAATGTGAATATCAAAAATTCACAGCTATCATCATCAGTCAATTACCTGTAAACAGTTCCAAGCTGTATGTGCTGAAAGGCGTCAATCTTCAACAAGTAACCCTGATTAATGAAAAATATCAAGTACTAATGAAACAAAAATTGTGTATGTAGCAAAGATGGAAGCATTTATGTTTCACTAAGCATTTGTCCACATTTTTTTGATTGATACATTTTGCTGAAATTATACCTACCCTCTTTGTGTCAAAATGCAGACCTCTTATTGCAAACTCTGGCGAGTACTCCATGTTCTTGATTCCTGGGGGAAACTGGAGGAAAGAAAAATATATGAAAAAACAAACCCAAACATTTTAGAAACGATTTGAAAAGCCTTCACAAACAATCAGTATTTTCTAGTGTGGATTTCAGTATATTTTGGCTTATTTGTTTTGGAACAGCATTGATTTTAGGAGAAAAAAGAACTTCTTGTCAATAAATACCTCTTTTTGATTGCAAAAAAATACTTTTATTCAAAAAAAATTTTTTTCTTCCCCTGCCAAGCGTTTTACACAGGTTTGTCACCAACAGTCAGATTATATTTTCAGGCAAGCACTCTTACTAGTCAAAATTCGGTCAACAGACAAAAGCAGGCAAGAAGTAGGTTTACAGTATTTTTTTTGCAATGTCAATCAAAAAGAGATATTTATATTTCTTTTATCTTTGGTTGTCGGATAAGTCTATAATTAGTCTCAACAGTGCAACCTACCATTTTTCTCTCCACCAGATTCTCGACGGCTTGATTGTAGATGAGATAATGTAAGTGCTTGGTGTAGCACGCTAACGTGTAGTCGTAGTCAAACCCATACACTTCAATGTCCGACATATTGACTTCATTGTTGGCAAATACTGTCTTGGGTTCCACGTTGATGCAGTGATTTAACGCTGTAAGACAATGCAATACGGTGGCCATGATGATCTCTGATAAAAATTTAAGCTCAGAATAAAAAGAAACAAACCCGACAGCCCAAGTATTGTGGTCTCTTTTTCAACCTAAAGCAGGCTTCTCTGAGTCTTATTTTCTAATGACACCATTTTTGCAATTTAGAACAGTATGTTGTGCTGGAAAATGCCATTTTCTAAACACATTTTGTGGTTGGTGCCAAGCAATCAGCATTCACGATGCGTTCCGGTGATCACCATTTTTACTTATTACTTTATTCCCCCTCCCCCGACCCATAGCCACAGCCCATGTGATCAAGCTTTAAAATGAGTAATTTGTCGGAAACTTTCATTTGGAGATTCAGGCCAAAATAGGGCCACTGCATCACATCACTTCATCACATCCCTTGGTGTTCCGACTTCCACAATTATTGAACTAAAGATGGTACCAGCATGCAGTTTTCACAGCAGTAATGCTGAGATTGTGCTCTTTGACCAGGGTCGACAAATGACTCATTTATTGTAGCTTGATCACATTATGGAAAGAATATAGCAACCAACCTGACACCACTTTTTTGTCTAGGTCAATCATTGTAAAAAATATTGAAAAGACATGAATCTGGGAGTACTGAGAAACATTAGAAAATACTTTAAAAATGCACTCGACGCTCCATAGACTTTGTACACAACCAAAACGTACATTCTTTCCGCCCCTGCCAATATAAATGGCTAGGCCTAGCTGGAGTTACCCAGCCCTGAGTTTTATCATATGGGTTGTCTATATAAGGGCTGGAGCGTATTTTTCTCATAAGTAGTAGTATATTCAAAAAAATTTTGGAAAATTTTCAATTTTGTCCCCGTTACACACTAATTGCAACTGCAACTCACCCCAAACTTGCCTGGAATAACCATTACACAGGTCCTTGAAGTAAAAAACGATCCACGATGAAGATTCAGCCTACAATTGCAGTGAAAACAGGAGGAATAACCGCTAACTTGACAACCTTTCAGGCATGGCCAGGACTGCTATGGAATTGTCCACACAAAAAAATTGTGTACAATGAATGGCGGCGGTCGATTACCACCACGTACAGCTCGCTGGTACTACGCGTTTTTGCGGTCGGTGCATGACGTGACGCGGAAGCGTAATACCCGATGACTGTTTCATGCATTAAGAAGAGGTTCACTCGCATCACAGTGCGGTACTGGAACGGCAACCGTCGAGTTGGCCGGCTATCGTGCATTCATAGTGCAGTGTTATTTACTCGACGGTTGCCGTTCCAGTACCGCACTGTGATGCGAGTGAACCTCTTCTTAATGCATGAAACAGTCATCGGGTATTACGCTTCCGCGTCACGTCATGCACCGACCGCAAAAACGCGTAGTACCAGCGAGCTGTACGTGGTGGTAATCGACCGCCGCCATTCATTGTACACAATTTTTTTGTGTGGACAATTCCATAGCAGTCCTGGCCATGCCTGAAAGGTTGTCAAGTTAGCAGTTATTCCTCCTGTTTTCACTGCAATTGTAGGCTGAATCTTCATCGTGGATCGTTTTTTACTTCAAGGACCTGTGTAATGGTTATTCCAGGCAAGTTTGGGGTGAGTTGCAGTTGCAATTAGTGTGTAACGGGGACAAAATTGAAAATTTTCCAAAATTTTTTTGAATATACTACTACTTATGAGAAAAATACGCTCCAGCCCTTATAGACAACCCATATGATAAAACTCAGGGCTGGGTAACTCCAGCTAGGCTAGGCCCTAAACGTTATGCAATACAAATTTAGCATGCATGCGTACCAAATTGTTCACAGTAAGCTTTCGTTGTGTTGTACTCGTTCCACAAATCTGAATCTGTGATAAGTTTCCCAACATCATCATCCGTTATAGAAGTACATAGTTGTCGAACAGGCCTGAGCCCAATTGTGGACGTAAATCTCCGTAAATGCCTACAGGTGTTATAAAATCTCCGCGCGAAATTTGTTATGGAGGCCGCCATCTTGATCGTCATCCATTTCTACTTCATCATCAGAGGGCGCTATTCCAATTTCATGGACACAAAATCCAATCGATTTATTATTACGATTTTTTAGTCAAAAGAGGGCAGTATGTAAGTTTAATGGAGGACGCAACTGAGACGGGTGCCAATCTCATGTTGAATAGAAATGTACATGGTCTCTACGTGGTATACCAAGACAGCTACAGGGTTTCATACATTTATCAGCACGGTGCAGAAACTGATGGTTCCACGCACCAAGTTGAATGCGGTTATAAACTGTATTTTTCGTGATAATGCACTTTTCAATGCAAACATAGAGGCACAGATATGATAAAAGTGTGTCATAGGTGACACCGGGAAGACTTGAGGATTCATGCTGGGCTTGAGAATCGCCAGCATGAGCGCGGAGAAATCGCTCCGTCGCTTGCGGCATCTTCGCGGCGTGTTGGCCGGTGGATCGTCGCTGTCCGGTGGGAGAATCTCTCCCGTGCTCCGCGCTTGTTACTCGTCGGGTAAGTTACTAAGTAGACCCATTTGACCATTCCGGTTAGAAATATAAACTTTAGTCAAAATGATGTTAATTGTAGACATATTATTAATTAAGCCATCTGACGACACTTTTTTTCATAACAGCCCCGCCCCGTCCCCCTCCCTCTCCCCGCTCCCCCCCCCCCCAATAAAAACTTCTTGAATGACTATAACTGAGAAATATTTTCAGACTTTCTAGTACACAAATCATCTTCCAAACTTCCTTTTGTAAATGAATTTACAAACATGACAAATAATGTCTGCAACTTTTTTTTTTTAATTTCGTTTTTTATTTTTTTTTTATTTTTTTTTTTACGAAACACGAATAATAATTATGTTTCCTTGGTAATTGTAGATGGAAAAGTTTCCATTGGTGATGTGAGTCGGACCCTGAAGGCACCAGCTAATCCTGAACTGGTCCCCATCAAGCATTGTGAGTTACAAGAGCATGAAGAGTGGAATATTACAATTAACTTTTAGGTTTCACAATCCATAGTTAATAATGTTAATTGTGTGTACAAAGGCCCATAATCAGTAATAATGTTTTTAAAAAATCTTTAAAAAACCTCAGAAATAATAATTAAGATGTTCAGTCCCAATTTAATTGGGTTAACTGTGCTTATGCTGAGTTTGTCAATTACTTTGCAGTATTTCTTGATATGGCATGTATGGAGCTTATTTTGTGTTGTACATTTGATCAAACAATCAATGCGTGATCATTTTGCATTTGCAGTGTCTGATGGTCTACCCCAGTCAGTGATGCGACACCTACGATGGATCATGCAAAAGGTGAGGCAAGACAAAGTGGGCGGGGAAAGCCAGCAGGGAGGGGGAGGCAAATTACTTGAAATACATGACGTTCTCTCTTTTGTCTACTGTCCATGTTTTTTAATCTGCAAAATGGTATTCCTTAAAGTGATAACTTTTAATGTTCAAATATTTTGAGTACTTCTCCCAAAAGTCTTTTTTATTTAATTGACGTGAATGTCATGGATAATATCTCTTCCCAGGATGCACTTGGCCAAGACGTGTTTTTGATTGGACCGCCGGGCCCCCTGCGTAGAGCCATTGCTATGCAGTACTTGGTAAGTTGCATGAACGACTCAAAATTGTCTAGACAGATCAATTCGGCTGGTTACGTCTTACGTGCAAGTTTCGGCAGGTTATATTTTTGTCTTTGTGACATCACATTCTTCAAATGGGCATAATTTTTTTTCAGCAGAAAATCCATTTTCTATGGTTTGATTGAAAACTTTCTAATCTAGGAACTGACAAAGCGGGAAGTGGAATACCTGGCCCTGACGAGGGACACGACCGAGTCGGATCTGAAACAGCGGCGAGAAATCAAGGATGGAACGGCCTTTTATATCGATCAGGTGTGTATAAAGCCAGAGCATTGTGCGATGTGCTGAAACATAACTTTAACTCAAGTCTCCGGGCATTTTGCCAGTTGTTATAATCAAATAACTACTAACATTTTATCTACTCTTTTTTCTCTGTGATTGTGAAATCAGTGCGCAGTCCGAGCGGCAACCCAGGGTCGCATCCTGGTCATTGAGGGTGTCGAGAAAGCCGAGAGGAACGTCCTGCCGGTGCTCAACAACCTCCTGGAGAACAGAGAGATGCAGCTGGAGGACGGACGCTTCCTGGTGGCTGCTGATAGATACGACAAACTACTCAAAGTAAAAAAGATTTGTTAGTCAGCTCAATAATTCACCTTGATTTAATTGTATTTATGGACTGATGAATCTATGAGATTATACAAGTGTTGGGATGGTACAGGGAGTAACACGCAGGACACTTTGGTCTAATTTGCTCTAATTTGCAATCTTTCCTGTTTATTTTTTTCCTTCTGAAGGACCATTCACAGGAGGAGCTAGATGCATGGAAGCTGGTCCGTGTCAGCGAAGATTTCCGGGTCATCGCTCTGGGCCTGCCCGTCCCTCGTTACCGTGGCAACCCCTTAGATCCTCCCTTACGCTCCCGTTTCCAGGCCCGGGATATTAACCCTTTACCGTTCAAGGTACAGGCAAAAGCTATTCATGTAATGAATCACTGAACGGCGCAATCAGTGAACATTGTGTAACACCAGTAAACTTGTATACCGCCCTCTATTGACAGGACCAATAACTAGGTAAATGTTCAATACAGCCATGTACACACATATGGCTTTTTACCACAATTATGCTAATCATGAGTATTTTGGGAGACAAATTTTGACCTTTTTTTTCTTTTTTCCCCTCGATTTTCAGGATCATTTGGAACTCTTAAATGCTCTTGGATCCAGCCTCGCCTCTGATAAGTGAGTCAGTTGTTGTTTTTGTTTCTAATTTTAGGTTATGGTGAATATTCCAGTTATATATATATATATATAGATATCCTACTCTTAAGACTGTTATTACTCCTTCTTTGAAGACTTTAATGAGTTTGAGTTGAAAAGGATTTTACATTTTGCAGTTCCGTACCAGTCAAGCTGTTCACACAGTGAATCATTCATTGCTTCTGCATGCCTGAACTAAAAACTTCTGTGAAATGATTTAGGTTAATAACTCTTTTCTTGTTTGTACGCCTCGCTGCTCGCAGAGTGCCCCAGATGTTATCCTTTGCCACGGCGCTCCGGAGCCAGGAACTAGCCACCCTCAGTCTGCCGGACTTCCCCATTGATAACCTGGCCAGCATCGTCAAAATCATGGTAAGCAAGTATGGTTTTTCCCATCAAAAATTGTGTGGTGTAAAGATTAAGGTTCAATTTGCACCGGAGCCTTCATGTAGCCTGTTAACAGAAAATAACTGCTTACTAATTTTTTTATGCTTAGCAGAAATCAGCTGGGGACCAGTCACGAGCAATATACATTGCATGACCTTTTGGCTGGTAACCCATTTTTGCTAAGCACATTATATTCTGTGCTTAGAAAGATTCCGTAATGAAGCACCTTTATGAAATTTGATCCTGATTGTAAATAAGTGATTTGGTTTCTAAATTAATGTTATCTTTTTTTAACTCCTAGGATTCAGTTCCCAACATGTCAGCTCAGAAACTGCTCTATCACCTGTATCCTTATTCGGTCTTTCTACCGAAGGAGGCACGAAGCGTGGTCCTCGATGCTTTAAGGGTAAATCCAAAAGTACTTTGAATTTGCAATTTTTGTTTTTGGTGTTTTTTTTTCATCGAAGGGCCTGCCTTCTGTCCTTTGACTGACTGGCTAACTTACTCCCCGACTGACTCCCCCGACTCCCCGATTCCCCGACTGACTGACCAAATGACTGACTGAGAGAGTAATAAATCATGTCCTGCACTCGGGCTTTTGACCACAATAAAAGACAAGCCTAGATTTATAAATTGAATAAGCCAGACCTTAAATTAATAGAACTTTTATAACTTGAAATGTTCCATGTCTATTTTCTTTTCTTTTTGTCGACAGAGATTTGAATTGCTGGAAGCCAAGGACGGGAATCTGCCCAATCAGAGGGCAGTCTCAGTCCAACCAACCAATCACAACGATGCACCCATGGCAACGGTTACCGTCGGAAGCAAGGGTGAAAGCTTCCAAGTTCAGGTAAGGTTGAGATTGAAGAAACGATGTCATTACTTTTTAAAAAGTTTGTTTTTTACGTTTTTTTTGTTTTTTTAGAGAAACCAAAATTGAGAATTGTGGTGGGATATTTGCGAAGTTGTTTTATTACATAGTTCAGTTCTGGAGTTGTCTAACGTTGTTTTAATAGTTTACAGAGATATAGAGTCAGAAATGGAGCAGCATGTAGTAGTCTTAATGACCCTTTGACATGTTTGTCAAAATGTATACATGTTCCGATAGACATTGCATTGCACATACGAATACTGGCATACCAGGCCTGTCGACTATTTAGGAAATATTTAAAATTTGATAATTTTTATTTACAGGTTCCCGCTGGTACAACGGAACCGAGACCCCACCACGAGCATCAACGATTTATCACCACACCGTCACACGAGGGCGTCCTTGCTGATTTGCTGCTCTCGCACTCGGTCCAAGACTTCTGTATTATTGGCCCCAAGGTGAATCACAATTTGGAACGATGCAGAAATATATGGGGAGAAGATGAAGAAATTTGTCTGTCCAAAGGGTTGTAAAGTTGCACATGTAGAGGTTGCACTATGGGATGTAAAGCTCAGATTATCAGTCAGGTTTTAAACAATTTATACAAACTTCCCTGAATTAGGTTTTGTTTTGGTTTTTTTTCTCAGGGATGTGGAAAAAGCGTTCTGACCAGGAAGTTTGCTGACATTATGGGATACAAGATGGAACCAGTCATGCTTTATCAGGTAATACAAACAAATATTCTTATAAAAATTATTGTTATTAAAATTACTCAAATTATAACTATTATTGTAGATAAGATTATTTACACTAGTGATTTGTTTCCGTCTTAACTTAGATATTATGAATTCTGTCATTGCACATGAAATAATTGAGCCATATCATACAACTATATTTTTCCCCCATTTTACCTTCTGTTACACTTCTCGTGAACATTTTTCCGTTTTCATGTTGTTCCTTCAGGACATGACCTCCCGTGACCTTTTACAGCAGCGAGGGACGCTGCCTAACGGTGACACCACGTGGCGCCTGGCGCCTCTCATTACTGCGGCACTAGAGGGCAGTATTGCTCTGCTGGACGGTCTACACAGGGTTAATCCCAGCACACTGGCCGTGTTACACAGGTACGGCCGAATGACGGTTATTGCAAATCCAAATCTGTATCGGAATATTTGTAATTTTTGAGCATTTTTGTCTGATGACGGACTCACCTCATCTCTGTGTTTCCTATAGGTTGGTTCATGACCGTGAGATCAGCTTGTTTGACGGCACCAGACTGCTGAGGAATGATCGTTACCAGGCACTCAAAGAACAGTCGGGACTGACTGATGAACAAATGCAAGAAAGGTCAGTGGCATTCTGGAACAAAGAGGACAATAATACTTTTTCAAAATAACCCCTAAGAAATTTGAAAAATGGAAGAATTAATACAAAGGTTCGCCTGTCTGAAACCAAAATATAGTTGGGTAGACATGAGTTGCTCCTAATATGTTTGCTAAGGGACCGTGACCATTCAGCCCTGGTATGAAAAGGGCCCCCCGGTACCTCATCCGGTCCAGAGCCAGTCCGGTCTTCAGCCCAGTCTCGTCCGGTACATGGTCCTGTCTGACCAGAAGTTTTGAAGTCAGTCAGGCGATCAATTTATTGCCCTTCAGAGAACATCCAGAGCAGAACAATAGCGGACTTACCGGATTAAGAATAAAATCCTTCCAAACTCTTTGGTAATTTACGGACCCATTGTGCGCGAAACCGCAAGGCAGTAGTTTTGATCTGTGCCGACGAAAGTGTTCTACTGTTTCGCGCTGAAGGATGAAAACCACAAGCAGGTTTCTTCAGGGATATATTATGTGTGTCAATACTTGCAAACAATAGACCCCAGGATAGAAGAGTTCTTGATTAGCAACCGATACTGAAGCAGTGTTTGGACTAACGTTATATTATCTCTGTATCCTAGGTTCATCTTCCCGATCCATCCTTCCTTCCGCATCGTCGCCCTCGCTGAGCCCCCGGTCATCGGCAGCAGCACCCAGCAATGGCTCAACCCTGAGCTCCTGACGCTGTTCCTGTATCATCACTTACGCCCTCTGTCCATGGCTGAGGAGATGGATGTCATACAGGGCATGGTGAGTTACGCATGGCTGTTCTTTTGATTGAACCTACACCTCTGGATTGATGCATAATCCACAAGGATTTGGTCTGGATGTGATAAATCAGTATTACCCCTGCTCATCACGCCTATATAAAATTCCTAGGCCTGTCTCAAACTGCTAAGTGATGATACAAGTTCTCCTCCATGCAAAGCCTGGAATTATTCGTATTGACATTTTTGGAAAGGTACTTCTGATATTTGTATTTTAGTTCATGTTTTTCTTGTTTTCCTCAGGTACCTAACACTAACCTGGCCACTCTTGAGTCCCTTCTCAAGCTGACACACTTGCTGAGAAATTCTGGCGACACGACAGTAAGTTGGTGTTCTGTCATTCAATTCCGTTGTCATCTGTTTGTGTAGATTTTGCACTTATCAAAAAAAATGTCCATGTAGATTTGTCTAAGTCATAATAACCACTGTTATTTCAACCCATACTTTGCAGATATTATGACTAGGGGCCCTTCCTAATCTTCCAGCATCCTTAACTTTGCAAAATATTTTTTAAAAGAGGCACCAAAATCATGTAAAGTAATGGTGGATAATCCTTTACAGTCATCTACAAAATCCTCCCAAATCGCCAGGTAGCTTCTGGAAGTATCTCGGAAGATTCATTGCCAAAAGTCATGATTTTGAATTGTTTTTGTCCTTGTAGCTCCAGTCATTATCCTCATCACTTTCGACTCGTAACCTGCTTCGGATTGCACGACGGTTGTCCAGCTATCCTGAGGAAGGCCTTCATGAGGCTATCAACAAGGCCTGCTTGTCTAGGTGAGGATTACAGAAACACAAGTTATGTCTGTTGCCCCCCCCCCCTCCCACTTTTGAAACCCAGATACAGAAACTGAATTGTGCCTTCCTTCACTTTCAGCAATTTTCTTCTGACATAGAATATTTGTTTACAATAAAACTTTTTCCTGTTTTTCCTAGATTCTTGCCGGCACTTGCTCGTCAAGCTTTAGACAAGGCGCTGAAGGATAATGGAATAGAGCCCCAACTAGCAGCGGAGGATGTCGACATTGAACGAGCTCTTTCTTGTAAGAAACTACAGACTAACTCTACTTTCAAATCAAACTTTTGAATTTTTTAAAGATATTATTTTATTGAAGAATTCTTTGATCCTTGTATGAGTTGCAATTGTTTACGTATAATATATTATGATAAATAAAAGGAAGGGCTGAAGAATTTCTTGTATGGTAACTCAACCTTGACCTTTGACACCTGCAGGTGAGGTCAAGAATGGCAAGCTGCGCATCGGCGACACGGAGATGGCAGTCTTTAACCCAGACAACATGATGATGGTACCTGACACCCTGTTCTATGACAATGTACAGGTATGTGCGGTAACCAGTGAAAAAAATTCCCATCATTCACTCTTCTTTCCTGTTTGCGTTATTTTAAACCTCGCAAGTTGCAAATTTGAAAAAATGTTTAGGTTAAATTGTTGAAACCATATTTTCATGCCACAGCATCTGAACATCATGGCGGCCATGTTGAAAGATTTCATCCTCGGGGAGCATCTGTTGCTAGTCGGTAACCAAGGCGTCGGCAAGAACAAGATTGTGGATCGTTTCCTGCATCTGCTCAACAAGCCACGGCAGTACATCCAGCTTCACAGGTGAACAGCGTAACCAATTATGGCTGAGCTACTAAGCCGGAAAAAATTGCTAAGTAGATTTATGCACTAAGCAACAATCAGCGGAGAACCAGTCACAAGCTTATAATAAACATTGCATTACATTTTGGCCGGTAACCTGTTTTTGCTAAGCAGATATTTTCAGTGCTTAGCAGATTTCTGTGCCCACTGCTCATTCATATACATTGTAATGATAAAAAAAAAATCCCTTTGCATTACTGGTACTACGTGATATAGCTTGACCACGTGATCTGTTATGCTTGAATTACAAAAACAAAAATGAACTTGAAATATTTTCGATTTTTTTTTTTCTCTCAGAGATACAACAGTACAGTCCTTAACCCTGCAGCCAAATGTTCAAGACGGAATCATCATATACGAAGATTCACCTTTGGTAAGAGGAATCAACCTAGACATTTCATTAAATGTATGTTTGGTCAACATCTGTTGCTGGAAATTACTAGGTGGATTTGTTACAAGTGCTGTATATTGATTGGTGTTTTTCCTCTGATGTTGAAGGTTCGAGCAGTGAAGCAAGGCCAGGTTTTGATCATCGATGAGGCCGATAAGGCTCCTACTAACGTGACCTGCATCTTGAAGTCGCTGGTAGAGAGTGGAGAGATGGTGCTAGCTGACGGAAGGAAGATTGTTGCCGGTAGGTCCTACAATCAGCTCAAAACTCTGTTACAACCATTGAAGTTTCAAAATCCTTTTTTCAAATATTGAGACCAATATGGTTCAGATCTGATTTCTAAAGCGGGTGTTACTCCTTTTCTGTGGTTTCCTTTGGTGAAATACACGCAGCACAAAATATGTTGGTATTAAGGGGTTGTTAAGATACTGTAATATTTATTGTGTTTTACGAGTGATTTATACTTTTGGGAGTTTTTAATCGCCCTGAAACCATTTGAACATTTCAGTCAGTATACCGAATGTAAGTGGAGTATTAAAACCTTATCAGGAAATAGCCAGAATTCACCAATGTATATTTTTTTCATTTGCTTGTCAACAGAGGGAGCCCTAGCATCGTCCACAGAGAACACCATTTTCACCCATCCAGACTTCAGGATGATTGTTCTAGCCAACAGACCCGGGTTTCCCTTCCTTGGAAACGATTTCTTCGGAGCTCTAGGTGAGTTATTTTTTGTATTTAATTATTGTATTTATTTATTTATTTAATTTGTTTGGGTGTCAGGACTTGCCAACAATTTTATTCTTTCAGGATTTTCATTTGGGATGCCTGCATGAAAGTGTTCCATTTTTAATTGTTTATTTATTTTAAAGTTGAACAAAGAAATTGACTGAAGTAGGGCTGGAACCTGCGACCACCTGATTTCTATTCCGGTGCTCAACCAAATTTTTTTGGTTAGTCAATTAAAGAAGGCTTACTAATTCGTGAAATATATGACTAAGTAGTTACTGCAGAACTAAATTTGCGCAGTTTTTTTTTGTCATGTGATGTCGCATTCAAAAGAGATTAACTTTTCTAGTGCTAGGATTTTTTTGTGGTGAAACTCGAAAAATAACTTTGGGAGAGTGACTTTAAATGTTATGAAATCTTGATTTGCATATCAATGCACACAGGTGATATATTCAGCTGTCATGCCGTGGACAACCCCAGTATGGAATCAGAGATGACCATGCTTCGACGCTACGGCCCGGACGTTCCCGAGACTACGCTGCGCAAGCTGGTGTCAGCGTTCAGCGAGCTGCGCGAAATGGCCGACCAGGGTCTGATCACGTATCCCTACTCCACCAGGGAGGTCGTCAACATGGTCAAACACCTGCAGGTTGGTGTCTCTTTAAGCCCCTCCCCTTAAACTTTCGACCAATCACAGCCGAGTATAAGCTAGATATATATTCTAAGTTTCTTTATCTTATCATTTTTTTTTCCGTAGAAATTTCCGCAGGAAGGCCTGGCCAGTGTGGTCAACAACGTCTTTGACTTTGATGTTTACAACAAGGAGATGCGGGAGCAGGTCATCCAGGCACTGCACAAGCACGGGATACCAGTGGGCGCCGACCCAGGCAACGTACAGCTGGCTAAAGAGTAAGGCTTAGAAGGGGTTGGTCTTAAGAGCGCTTAAACGGGCCTTTGATATTGATTGTACTCAGTTCCAGTGTCATGAAACAATTGAGAGTATTTCTACTCCCCCTGAATGAGATGCTAGTCCATCAAAGTTACTCCCTAGCTAATGTCGGTACCCATTTATACTCCTGGGTGGAGAGAGGCAAGTGGGGTGAAGTGGCTTGCTCATGGACACAACATATGACCAGCAGCTGGATTCAAACCCCTGACCCTCTGATTGTGAGTCGCAAACCCCAACCACTAGGCCACAACTCCCCCTCGAAAGTGAGATTGATTATGCTCCAACCTTGAACACAGACTGCAAGCAAAACCTTTGCAGAAATCCTGTTTTGAAACAAAGTTTATCAGTGGGGCTCTGTTTCTATTTTCTTCAGACACCAGATATTTTTCTACACATTACATTTGCTTGTGTCTTATTTTCTAGCTTTAAATTCACGTTGCCATTTCAACCTAGAACCCTCTTTAAAAATCAGTCATTTATGTTTTCTTCCATAATATAAAATGTGACTGTACAACATATTTAAATAACAATTCAATCGTGATCGAAGACAATATTTGTAATTCTGTTTACAACGTACACCAGTTTCCCTCAGGAAATTTTCAGCCATAAATTTAAGTTTTAGGGCTATTATGTAATAAACTTAGTAGTTGAAGGATAATGTGTAAGGAGTTTAAGGATATGTCTCATGTATTTTCGGGGATTTACAACTATTTAGATACTGTATTTAAACGCAATTGTATTGTTTCTATAGATTAATACTGTATTTTTAAGTCCAAATTTTTTTTGGCAATGCAACTATTAGAATGTGTGGAAATAACATTGTGAATATAATGCAAGAAACCACTTTGCTTTTGGAAAGGGTCATGAAATAAACAAGTCACGAAGAGAACAACGCAATATTTGTCGCTTGTCAATTCTTCTGTACTTTGTGTGATAAAATGTCAGTTTTTGGAAATGAAATTAAACATAAAATTGGTGTGGAGTTTCCCTTTCCAAGAGTAAAGTGATGTGATCATAAATGGTGTCACTGTTCAAGATTTTAAGCTATTATTTTTGATATTTACGACAGATGCAAGCATTCATTTTTAGGGGGGAAGACATGAGGCATGTACAAAAAGAGGGACAAAAAATGAGGGATTTTAACCAAGGCTTAAACTGGCAATTTGCCAACTTGGAACTTAAAATCTACTATCTACTTCAAGCTGACGGTAGAATTGTAAACTTCTGATACCGAGTGAGTAGCTCAAGAATGTTGTGGAGAATTTGGCCCACTAAAAAGCACAGAAAAATCACATCTATAGACAATTTAATTTTGTGTTAATCATTATTAATATTAAAAAAAAATTGACAAACTGTTCAATGTGATGTCACAATCACTGAATTCCACCCAATTTTTGTATTATCAATATTTTGTTATCATCTTTATTTTGGTTTTGGTCAGGTTTCCACTGCCCGCTGCCCAGCTGACCAGTCAGTGGCACTTTGGAAGCCAAGGGTCAAGCCATCGCAAGATGCTGTGTCCAGTCGAAGAGAGGAAACTAAGAGTAAAGGTAAGACACGTATGCACTTTGTTCCAAGTCGGCCCTCCCCTCTCCCTCCACTCCGTCAGATTTTGACTTTGTAAAATTTGGTTAGATGCATTACATGAATGTATTTTGATGAATTTATTGTTCTCAGGGTCCAGTGCAGCTCGGTGTGAGGGAGTTTCCATTGGAGAGGGTTGAGGCCAGGTCACTAGGCTTCTCGGAGCTCGTCGCATCTTGGCAAATACCTCTGAGCGAGACGACCAGAGTGTGTGACGTGGTCGCCTCAAAATGTGAGTCGGAAAACTCATAGATACTAAAGCAGATACTTTCTGCGCTTAGCAGATTTCTGTGCCTATCAGCTCCATAAAATGAGTCCCTGTTTTCAATCTTTGACAAAATTTGCTAAACGCAAACAATTATTGCTTTTTCAGACTCAACTGTGGGCCCAATTCATGTCCTGACCTCTAACCCCATCTGCCTGTACTCAATGAAGCCACACGGGAAAACCATACGCTTTCTGGACCTGTACGACATCTTCCCTGGCCTGGGTCCCAAGCCCATAGCCATAGCCGCCCTGGGGGAACAGCTAGCTGGCCACGTCCTACTCCACGAACAGATTGTGAGTGTACCTGCAAAATTTTTATTTCTGAGAGTTTTTTTAGGACCTATCCGATCTGCAGGCTGTAACGAAGTTTATGTCACTTGCTACTGATGTGCACATTTTGAAAGACTATTCCACACCATGAATATAATTACTCCACATAACGCAAGCAATGCTCATTTAACCAATAGTTTAATGCCTGTTATCTCATGTTGCCAAGTCTCTTGAAATTTTCTTTTGGTGGTGCAATTTTCAGAATAACAACATCCTCCTGATCAACACCAGCAACGGCGCCACCTCGCGCCTGTACCTGACCTCGCCCCTAGAAACAGCCAAGGATATCATTGGACGTCGCCTGACCAGCAGCAGCGAGGTCAAGGGTCACAGGATGTGCGGCGACCTGGCCGACAAGCACCTGGTGGTGTTCTACCAAGAGGAAGGGTCAGCAAGCTTTGTTGGAAATTATTTCAAATATTTTTGGGCGACTTTAATGTGCATTGGTCACTCCCAACCTATCGTCCGCATTGCCAGTATTTATGAGAATGAGATATATGCACAACGGATGAATTCATCACTTGCAATAACCCTGTTTTTATCCATTGCATTTTTTTTTTAATTCAGTGATCGTCTAGATGTTGTGGATCTACTGAATGGCAACGCCTACAGTCTGCAGCTGCCGTTCCATCTAGACACCATGTTTATGCCATCACCCGATAACTGGCTACTCACAGAGGCAAAAACGCAGAAGTACGTTTGATACTAGACCACTTCTCTCTTGCACAGTTCTGAGAAAAATCTTGAAAAACATCTTTCACATTTCGTGCTTGGTAGTTCTTTGTAGTAAACATTTAGATGATGATTTTTTATTCTGTTTTGCCTTGTTGTGATTGCTTTGTTGGAAGATCTTTTTTGTTCCTTTTTTTTTGCCGATCAGGAAATTCCTCCTCAGCAGACTGAGCCCTGATTCCCCTGTCAACCAGCTCAGCTCCATATTTGAAACCAAACCGACAAGCGCAGGTAGCTTTTGTTTAAAAATAAACTTTTTATAAGTATAACTTTTCAGAAAATATTATTTTTATAATATAAATATGTTGTTTTGGAATTTTAAATCGTTGTTTCTCAACGTCTGCTTTACAGCAACTGATTCAGACTCCTTCGGCACAAGTGATGACAGCTCATTGGTGATTTCCAGCGAGGGTTTGACCTCTAGCGACCTTTCAGCCGCCGTTGGACAAACCATAGACTCACCAAACAGAGTTCTCGCTGACAAGAGCAACTACGGAGCAGTGGCGGTCGGTTTTCCTGAACTGACGGTAAGTCTTCTTGATTTATAATCAACGGATGCATTTTACAGAGAGAGAGAGAGAGAAGAGGTTATGATAATAATATGACAATGACTGTCACGGCTGAAAAGTTCAGTGAAAACCCCTGTTTCTTCTCAAAACCACACTTCTCTTTAGGTGTTCGTCACTTTTCACAGTGTATCTGCAAACTCAGGGTGTATCTGCAAACTTCTCCAAACATTTTATATGACTGAAATTTGTTTGTACCGTTTCTATCGACAGTCTACCATTGATGTGTACACCGTACCTCGAGGCCCAACACCAGCTGATGAAGAATCTCATAAAGGCGACACCTTCCTAAACGCGATGAAAATTAGTAGGTCAAAGGTCGAGACAGAAGCTCCAGCTAGCCTCCTACCGGAGGTCAGCCAAGTCGCGAGGATCGTGCCATCGCAGAGGGCACCAGAGGAGGTCTTTCCTGATGGTAAGGGTAAATATATAACAGGATAAACATGCGTTTTAACCAGTGTGTTAGTGTTTGGTTCATGGAGGCCATCTTGGTCTAGTTCCAGGAAGTTCAACCACTGAATTTATGTAAAACGGTCACCATGTTGTAGGTACCAGCCACAGCCAGGCAAGAATGCATGATTTTCAATGTGGGATGAATGAACTTTTGTGTTGGAAAATCTTGGTACAGGATGCGCATAATAACTGTGAATTTAGGGTTGTTTTCATTCAGTATTTTTTGATATATCTTTCCTCAGGTAAAGTCCCTCCCAATGTTGCTGGATGTATCGAAGTCGCTGACCTGGCCCGACACAAAGTCAAGTATATCCCAGTCCCGAGGTAAGTACAATCCAACAATTTCATCTCTTTTGAGTGTAGTTGCTAGGGCAACAGGCAGACAAATTCTAGAAAATACTGAAAAGTATATGGTTATTTCAAAATGTAGGGAAAATTGAAGTTATGAAGTTTTTTTTTAATATTTTTTTAGTCCCAGCCTATCGGTTCAGGGCTACATGCCATGGGCCTCCACCTCCTCCCAGAAGGTTGCCATGGCAACCAGCGGAGGCAGCCATGTTGTCACCGTGGACACCAGCGGCATGGTGCGAGTGTGGGAGACCGGTTCCTACCAGTTGGGCAAGTCATTGGACGAGTGGTACAAGCTGATTGGCCGAGAAGATAGGCATCTACAAGTACGTGACCTTGAACTCTTAGGAATAGGAGTAACTTGATATATATTATGCGGTATTTTTAAAGCGCTTTATGCCATCTCAAAGTGTTTCATAATTATTACCCCTGTTCATCAGGCCAGGAGACCAGTTTTCTGCAGCAGCTCGAGATCAGTTCATTGTGGTCCTTACCCTCACAAGTACCCACTTATACTTGTCGGTAGAGAAAGGCAATTGCAGTAAAGCATCTTGCCCAAGAACACAACTTAAAATGATAAATTTTCATACCTATGCCATACACTTCAGATTAAACATCCTGTTCGAGTAAATGAGGAAATTATCAGTTAAACAAGAGGTTCCATCATAAAATTTGAAAATACGATTATTTTGCACAGATTACGACAGAGAAGGAGACAACCCAAGATTTACAGAACATCACGCCCAAACACGGCAAAGTTGACCCCACCAGTCAGCCGCATGTTGGCGGAGGCACATGGGCAGGTGGCAGCGGTAAGGAAATAAACGGAAATTATTTTTGTTTTATAATAGAAAACAAATTCTCATTCTCATTCGATATCAAAGCTTGGAAGACTATTTATTTTTAACAGCTTTTTACGGAGGTCGAAAATACTGACTGTCTGTAGTCTCTTTGGTATATTAGTTCCAACTGCCGAGGCAAGGGTTAATGAACAGTTTCATTTCAATAGGTTGATTTGTAAAATGTTGTCTCTTTTTAGGTGGCGTCGGCACAGCTGGTATGGGAGGGGCAGGAGGCCCCTATAGGCTGGATGGGGGTCATGATGTGACCCAGGTCACACAGGTGCAGAAAGATATGGTGCCACCAGAGGTAAGCTTATTACAGATCTCAGTGAAATAAGCTGTTATAAAAATAGGAATTTGTGATGAAAGGCTTAGGGGTTCGAATCCAACTGCAGGCACGGTGTTGTGTCCTTAAGCAGGGTATTTTACTCCCACCCTTTTCTCCTTGCTAAGGAGTATAAATGGGTTCAGTGTAGCTTGTGATCAAAGGCTCAGGGGTTCGAATCCAACTGCAGGCGCTGTGTTGTGTCCCTAAGCAGGGTATTTTACTCCCACTAAATTGTCTTCAATAATGGCAGTATTTGTTGCTGACTGCTAAGTACGGAAATCTGGTTAGCATAGAAAATAAGTGCTTAGCAAATGCAGGTTACCGGCCAAAACGTCATGTGATGTACATTGCCTGTACATTCTCTGCTAATTTTTTCTTAGCACGTAAATGTACTAAGCAGTAATTTCTGTTTAGCAGCTTTGTGACAAGTAATGTTTCTGGCTTAAATTTTGAGTTCTGTCTGTCGGCCTGTTTTTGTTCTCAGGTTCTGCTTGCAGCTCGTGAGATGGCCCAGAAAGCTTTCAAAGACCGACTCAAGGAGATCCAGATGTCTGAATTTGACGCTGAAATGTACGAGCGTTTCTCGTCTGGCGTCAGGCGTCAGGTTACCTCGCTCCGAGTTGTACTGGACAGCTTACAGGTAGGGGTGTTTCACCTGTGTCGTGTCGGACGACGTTTCAGAGTCATGCAAAATCAAAAATGATTAAGAGCAAACTTCACTCTTTATTTTCCGTTGACTTCCTTATTTTGTCGTTTTTTTAGGCTAAGGGTAAAGAACGCCAGTGGATGAAGCATCAAACAGCCGGGGACCTTGACGAGGCCAAACTGATTGAAGGCTTGACCGGTGAGAGGGCCATCTACAAGAGACGCGGGGAACAAGACCCAGAGGTAAAAATAGTACAACATTGAACCGGGGAAGGCTTTTTTGTTTCTGTGATTATGGAAGATAATTTTCTTTAATTAACACAAACTATGGATGAAGTCATTCTTAGATAACAGAGCTTTGGTGTATTAAAGAGATTCTGTTTAATGATTTGACCCTTTGCAGCTTGTGTGGCTTTTTCCCCCAGGAAACTGTTTTGAAACACTCTGACAAAACAATTCTCATTTTGTATTGCATTCAGCTTGGCAGCCCACAGCTGAAACCCAAGAGGCTGCGACTGATCGTGGACGTGAGCGGCAGTATGTACCGCTTCAACGGTTACGACGGACGTCTAGAGAGGGTCATGGAAAGCGCCCTCATGCTCATGGAGGCCTTTGAAGGCTACGAAAAGAAATTTGCCGTAAGTTGGTGAAAGCCCTGCTTTAAAAACTTTTCCCAAAAGGCCTGGAACTTTTATATTTATGATAATTCATACCAACGCCAATGCAAACAAGCAAATTTGATGTCATGAAAACAATTTTGGCAAACTCATAGTGCGAATATTTGCTGTCTGCATCGCAAAGTTGCCTGGTATATTCATTCCTGTGTAGTATCAATTTAATCTGACAAGAGAATTTTCCTTCTTTTTGTTCATTTTCAAAGTATGAAATCTACGGACACTCGGGTGACGACTATGAGACTCCGTTTGTGTTGAGTAAGAAACTACCGTCGAACAACAAGGAACGTCTGGATGTTATCAAAGTAGGTACCATGTACATGTTAACTCTTTCATTTCAAAAGTATTTTGTTTTTGAGGACAAAAATTACTGGTCAATTTCATCTGCAATTTTCACAGAGAAAGTCCAAAATGTAAAATCTAGTTTTTGTTGAAACATTTTTAAAAAATCCCTATAGATATCAATGTAGTTAATCTTTTAAAATCTCAGTCTTAAACCAGAGTTTTTGCAAGTCAGTGATCACAAGTCAATTCTGAAGTGAACCTGAAATCTGGGAAAATAAAACAAAAAAACCCCTAAACTCTGACCCACAGACCATGAATGCCCACGCCCAGTTCTGCATGAGTGGAGACAACACCCTGGAAGCCACCAAGCATGCCATCGAAACCATCACTAAAGACGAAGGGGACGAGTATTTCGTGATCGTGCTCAGTGACGCCAACTTTGACCGCTATGGCATCAGCCCCGCCCTCTTTGGACGGACGCTGACCGCGGACGAGGAGGTCAACGCCTACGCAATATTCATCGGGTCGCTAGGCAACCAGGCAGATGTGTGAGTTACCGTTCACTGGGTTTATAGTTGAGAAGTTAATCACAGGTCAAATGAACAGTCTTATCACAAAATCAAAAGTGAAGAAGTACAAAGGAATGCCTTCAGCTATAGCTCATTTGAGTAGCTTGTGATTTACCTAAAGACATGACATATCCATAATCTTCAGTTCTTATATCATTTTCTTTTTTCTTGCATTTTATGACAAGTTTCCATACGTCATCGTACTAACAAATTAAAAAAAGTTTCAGAATTTTGATTGACAAAATATGCATACTATCAGTATTCATGTATCAAACTTTGTGTGTTGTACAAGATAAAAACCATGTATTTGAAGACAATATTGCAAATTGTAATACTGCTTAAATATGATGTCAATTATGCACAATTTATTAACCGTGAGGAATTCATATAGACATTTCTTAAACAAGATAAGTCTCATTACCAGCCTTAATGCCCATTTTCATTTGTGAGCCACGGGCGAGAACCAAGTTACCTTATATGGTATTATTTCACATATCCAACGACATGATCATGTGAAATAGAAAGTTCTCAATTGTTTTTAATGATTTGTAGGTGCGACGTGTGACTAATAACGAAACTAAAACTTGATGAAGGGTTTTATGGTAAACATAACCACCATAACACATGTGCTTCCACTTTCCAAATCCCACATGCACATTCTTTTTCTTTGGGCCTTTCCCTATTCAGCTACATTTATTTTTTTTGAACACTTAAAAAAATGACACAAGAAACAGATAAATACTATTCTATTTTTTTATTGCGCAAGTTTTCCTAGTATCCTAAGCAAATTGAACTAGTGTTAGCGATAACACTACTAAGCTTTAAAAATATCAATTCTAAAAATATTCTGCAGTCCATTTCCAAATTTATCAATTTTAAAAATGTACATGATTTTTACAAAATTGTACAGGTAGTTTCGTATGATGTTCCATTTCATCAAAATTATGCTTGTGAAAATATCAACTCATCTTGGTTTATATTGTAATTTAACTAATTTGGGTTTTTTTCTCTTTTTTTCTAATTTCTTCTTGTAATAGACTTGTTCGCAATCTCCCGGCTGGCAGGGGCTTTGTGTGTCTGGACACTAAGAACATACCACAGATACTGCAGCAGATCTTCACATCAACTTTGTTGTCCACAAGGTAATAACGGACGGACTTGTGTCAAGGTAATAACGGACGGACTTGTGTCAAGTCTAATCTTGACTACTCCCTCTGTCTAATTTATGGCAAAATTGTTCAAGGAAACTTTTATCTCTAAAAATCAATGTACATTTTCCAATGCAAGCAACAGAACCATTTTTGGAAAATTTGGCAAACTTAATATATTGTTTATACTGCCAACTATAATTTTCCCCCCTTTTTATGCACTGGTAAAATAAAAGAGTTATGTAGTCATAAATTTGGTATTCCAAACGGACTTTGAGTTGTAATTTAATTCTTCGAATGGTGCAAAATTTAATCTAAAAAAAATCGGCTTATAGTAAATTGTCTAGGACAAATGTATCTCTGCTTATTTAAGTATCGATGCTATACTGTGTATGTTTTCAAATGTATACCTAACCATTATCATTAATATCAATGATGTCTGAGGTTTTATAGGATTCATCACGGGTACGTTGGGGATCTTAAATAATTTGTTTTTACTCCCAAAAGTTGTTCTATTTTCACAGTTATAGCTTATCTCCCGCGGAGACAAAGACACACAAATAAAAAACATATACAATTCAAATATTTTTAAATCAAATATCATTTTAGAAAAATAGAGTTTTACATTTGATTTAAAAATAAAATCATGACTTGAAGCCAATGTGTCGCTGGGATTTTTGTTAAAAAGTTTTTTTTAATTTTTTTTTACAGCTCTAATCTTTTCGCATAATTTTACAAAGCAATAGTAATAAAATATCCTTAAAATCCCTAATTGTATACTCAATCACAGCACTACATCTACACTAGGCAAGGAAGCTTATGTTACCATAGTGACCAGGGGTCAAATGACTGGTGGCCCGAGGTCATATGGTTGGTAACCGTTTACATTAAATGTTCACAATACTTGACAACTAGCTACAAAAATGACATTGACGTGGCTAAAAAACTACTTTGGATTCTAACAAGGTAAAATACAAAATGGCCATGAACATGTCTTTATAAAAGACAACATCGTTTGTACTTTCTTAGAAAATACATTCATATGGAGTCTGCAAGTGAAACAACATTGTGTGGATAATTATCACACAGCATGCGCTAAGCCCCGTGTTTTCCCTTTTTACACAAAATCCCAAAGGAAACCAATGTCAATATTGGTTACACATACATTTCGGTTTCAGTATTCGGTGTAAAAAAAAAGGAAACCTCGACATTCAATGCGTCTGTGGTTGCTGGCACGCGTGCCGAAACATATCGAGTTTCATTTTCCAATAAGTTCACCAGGCATTTAACAAATGGAAAGTTTCAATCCGAACATTTTCTAAATTTGGTGAATATCAAATTAAATTTTCTCACGCAGCACCTTCAAAAGTAAAAGTGGCATTTTTTTTTAAATCTACATTTTTGTGGGGGCTTGCACAACTTGGAACATGTATGTGGTCTAATAACCTCAATGCTTTAACACTACAGACTTGTTTAAATTAAGTTGAATATTTTTTTTACATCATATGCACATATAACTGTACAGCATTTTTTCATAGCTTTTTTATATTTACATGCAATGTAATGACAGTCACAATAGGTTCCCCCACTGCACGCTTGGGCAACAATGCACAACAATGCGTAGCCACTGCGACGCCACACTGTACGGTCTGAATAGACACATCGACTTACATGAATGTTGGAGTTCTGTCAGATATTGGGTTTTTCAATAAAAATCGTGATTGTTTAAAAAAAACATCAAGGATGGAGCCTTCATAGATCAATTTATCAAAAAATGAATCGCCAAAAAGCTTGTGGAGCTTGTTTCCAATTTAGTTTGACACTTAACTTGGGGTGGGTTTGTCATCGGGAAAGAACAAAGCAAAAACAAATTCTTCCATGGACATAATCAGCAAAGCACCAATATAAAACATTTACACTTTTGTTTTGACTCGACATAAGTACTGTCCAGTGGCTATGTCACAAGCCTAGTTTCTGTCAACCGGTGATGAAAAAAACTATGGACAATTAAATTCACTAAATATTCTACAACAGCCAAATCAGTGGCTACCAAAATGGAAAAAACCTCCATCTAAAATAACAAAGGCAAAAATGTTACTTCTTTTTTCAGGAAAAGCCGTTTTCAATGACGACAGGACTTATGTATGCTGAACGTTGTTTACAGCTTTACAAAACTGTGGTTTTTCTTTCTTCTTTTTACTGGCTTCTCCATTTACTGCTCCATGCAAATATAACTCATAGTTAATTACTAAATCTCCAATCGGTCTCAAAAAATCTCAGCATCCATACCCCACATGCTCAGAACAATCTTGAAAAACAGAAACATCTTTACACTTCTCCATTTGTTCTCTTCAAATCGACGCGCTGTTCATTGGGATTCTCCACCTCATCATACATGTAGAACAGTGTGAAGGGGTTGGTGCAGTAGCCGGGGAAGTTGGACTTGTGGAAAAGGCTCACTTCACCGTCCCCGTCGGCCCCCCACAACATCCCGTCCGTGGTCCGACTGGGGCAGCTGTTGGCCTGCAGCGTAACCTTACCCCCCTTGGAGGTGTGGTAGCACACACTGATGAGGGCGTCGGGGTCGTCATTAAATGGTGGGGTAGCGCACACCTGGATTCATTTGAAGAAGACACAGGCTTGTTATTCCGTTAGCTTCTGCATTTTTACATTATTTATTTTTTCCCCCTTAGCGATAATAGGCTGCAAACCAGTCACATACGATGTACTTGACACGACATTCTGGCCGGTAAGCTGATTTTTGCCGTTAAGCAGATATGACCTGTTCTGAGCAAATGTCCATGCTTGCCAGCTCCATGATTTTCGCTCATCTCATGAATAGTTTCATTGCAGTACCCACTGCTATTTCTGATTTAAACCAGCCAGATAACCATGGCAAGCTCAGTTGTGGAATGGTAAGATGTCTGCGCTAATAAACAGGAGATCGTGGGTTTGTGTCCGACCCAAAATGAATTTCTTCCCACAATCACTCGGGGGACAACACTGATTATCCATAATTTATATTAATATTTATATTTAAAAATACATGTATTTCAAAGATGATGGAATCCATTGAAGCTGACATTTTTTTTGACTAAATAACAATGTTGGAGAAGTAACTCACCGCTTTGTGTGCCGCAAGGACGCAACTGCCGTCTTTTTTTTTGAAGAGGCAAAGTCTGTGCGTGTACTCCTCCAATGGTACGCCTTCTGTAGCAGCTTGTGGGTAGGACTTCGTTGGGTCTAGCACGTGGAAGAAACACTGTGTGTCGCCCAAAAAGTAGAAGGCAATGTTCGCTGTGTGAGAAGAAGGATATTTTTTTACTTAATTAATATCATTATTATTTACTCCACCTGAACGAAACAATGTCCGAGTTGCCAAAGCAAATACCATAAATATACAAAAGTACTAACAAAAGAAATAGAGTGACAAATATAATAGATTCATACAAAAAAGACATTACATGAGGGCGGGAAAATTATGTCATCAACCTTAAAATTTGATTGTGGATGAAAAAGGGAACACAATTTGGAGAAAAAAAGGGAAAACTGCTGTTGTTGGACAGAATGGTGATCCCAAGTGCAGAAATCAAGGGTAGCACAGCCACAAAATGAACCCTTCTCGTCTGTCAATCAAAACAAGTGCAAAAAAAATAACCAATCAGTTCACGTCTTTAGGTCAGGTGGCTAGGGTAGCCCATATCAAGGGTGGGCGGGGCAACTGGGCAAATCAGAAATGAAACATTGGGTCCAGAGCTGACAATAAAAGTAACAAGCAAGGAATCTTACTGTTTAGATTGCCGACTTTTCCCTTGCAGTCCACTTTGTAGACTGGATTGCCAGTCTCGACGGGGGTGTCGGTGACCCTCAGAAGTCCAAGTTGTGGTGACACAATGTGGACGATGGTTTTATCTGCTGGTTTCTTTATGAAACAAAAAAAACAAAGAATTTTCAATGCTACATAGCAATTACAAAAAATCATATTAGAACTTCATTTCTAAATATGTGGTGTACACCATGGGCCGGGTCTAGCCCATTTATTGTCATTATGGGGTTGTTAACAATTGTTGACTGCTGTGATGTGGGATATGATGTTTTTAACACCTGAGGGGTAAAACATGGCATATCCCACATCACACCAGTTGTTTTGTTACATCGTGCCAATAACTCAAAAAGATAAACTAACTGCGCAAAGCTAGCGCGCCGGCAGGTTCTACACATGCGCAACGAACGCAGTGTGATATCACACGTGTTTGCCTTTTTATAAACCAGACAGTGGCCATTCTAGACCAATGAAATGACAGTATCCAAGCACACGATATAACAATCTTATTTCAAACTTTTAGTGGGCCAAGGTGATGCACAAGTCAGTCGGTCGGTCAGTCAGTCAGTCAGGGGACCAGCAAAAGTAATATTTACGACATGAGCTTAACACACGGCTGTACCTTATCCGAATCTTTGTCACATTGGCTGGTAGCTGACATGGTACAACTCGTACAGTAAGCCATGGCTGTCATCTCTAGGCCTCCTTCCATCTCTGACAACTGCAAAGAAAAATCAAATCATTTTTTTTATCCATACCCTGTCAAAGTTGGAATGTGGCCTAGTGGTTAGGATTCTTGACTCATGATAAGAGGGTCAGGGTTCTAATCCAGCTGCTGGCTTTATGCTGTGTCCTTGGGCAAGCCACTTCACCCAATCTCTCCACCAAGGAGTAAAAATGGGTAACGGCAGCTGGGGAGTAACCTGCAATGATCTGGCATTCCATCCAAGAGGAATCAAAAAATGTTCAGTCTTCCAGAAAACCGGAGATAAACACCGGCCTGATGGGACATAATTGGCTTGTGACAGACTCTGCTAATACTGTCAAATCAAGCATACCTCCTCAGAAAAATTTGGCAACTGCTCACACAAACAAGCCAAATCAGAGCCGAGCTTAGGCCTACATGTACTTACACTAGTAATGCTTTGAACTCCTCACCCTAAAAAAAATGAATCGATATTCAATGCCACTTCAGAAGGAACTCAATCTAAAAAGTGGTCCAGCCTCGCATGCATCAAAATGTGTAACTGGCCCAACTGAAGAATGTCCAGGTATTTATACACTAAGCTTTAGTCTTCCCCAGTTGTTAAAATGAAGCGCAGTAACAGGAAGCATGTGCCATAAGCCTCGGTTATGGTTATGGTGTGCTCTTGATGTCACTTCCTTTTTGACAGTATGGGATTTCACCTGTTTTTACTTTTGCTTTCAATACTCCTGAGGTAGGCCTAATGTTCAAATAGAAATGGTCTGGTAGTTTCTTTTTCGATCGCATGTCATTATCAGAAATCACAAGACCACTGAAAAAAAAAAGGTTTCCATCCCCCGCCCACGAGAAGTGGATGGTAAAGTGCAGATATGTGCACTTTATACCGCTCCTATGCATATACCATGAATTAACGTTTAAAAAAGTTAATGGTACCTGACACAACGTTGTATTAAAAAGGCTTTAATTTTCCTTGAAGCCTAAATTGAAAAAACCCAGGTTCATGCACATAATTTTTTTCCCTTCGAGATTCGAGATTCCGTATGTACATGAGTGGATGCATTGGCATTGTGTTTTATAAAACAAACTGTAGAAAATAAACCAACCATTATGTACTTTTGGTTTTACCAGTTCAAAGTCTATGCGATTATAAACACTGTCCAGTGTTTAGGATTACAATAAAAATCTGATAATCTTCTTGTTGTTTGGAGATGCCCACCAACGGGCGCTCAACTGTTGAAACTTTGAACAAAGAACCTTGTTTCGGGAAATCCCAAATATACTGATTCACTTCCTGGGCTCTGTCTGTGGTTGGGGCACAGGTGGTGGGGCACACACAGCACTACACAATTTATGTGTGTCACACTAAACCACAGTCATTCCTTTTTTTCCCTGGTTTTTTTTTTTCATCCATTTCACAATATGAAATTACACTGGTTTTTTTTTTTCAGGACAGAAAATATATCCTTGGTTGTAAAAGTTAATGAAAATGTTTTTATTTATTTATTTATATATTATTATTATTTATGCCTGGCATGATTCAAACCTGCAAGGTGGCTTGGAGGAATTTGTGGAATTGAGAAAGGTTATTCTCATGCTCACACACCCACACAGGATTCATGTAAAAAAATAGATAAAACTCGAAAATGATATTTTGTTTAAAAAAATGGGTTAAAGTGGTCAGAAATTGCCTCAGATTGCACCACAGAGCATCTAAAATCCAACATTTGTTGGCGCCCTTATAATTAACCGGGCATGAACCCCACTGCTCGCATTAGTTCTGATCGAGTTCCGTCACCAAATTCCCACTCTGACTCTCAGCTCTTACTCAAAGTTGGCAGCCCTGTGTTACTTTACATCCTAGAGCTTGATGCCCACGGAATGATGACATGAAAGTACTACAGAATTACATCTTATCTTTTGTAATAGATTCTCAACAAAGTTGGGATTGCAATCACAAAACCCCAACTACCTCATCATATCCTCAATATGATGTGGTAGTTGTGGTTTTGCACCAGAAGTGAATCCTGGAGTCTACTGTGGTCAGAATCAGAATCATGATTCATCATGTTTGCTTTATTACGTGACTTTGAAGACCCTGTACAAGTCATTTACAAGTCAACAAACTTTCAAAAATGAAACACAATATTTTGCTGAATGGTGGCCTGAAATTTCATCATCCAATTGCCAAATAATCCACTTGAGTGCCGGTAGATCGCTGATAACAAAATCAATCTGGGGCTTTTGGAATTCCCACTAACGATAAACACCCACCCACGCAAAATAACTAGAGAGTTTAAGGTGCATATGTATACATATTCAAAAGTAAGGCCGAAACTTGTAGACTGGTACCTGGCAGCCCTGGCCTGCAGTAGTGCATGTAGTAGTCCAGGAACTGGTATGTATAGTACAGGGGTGGGCCATGGCGTTGCCTATAAAATTGTTTTCTTCAAATGCACCTAGAACGGATACTGCGAAATGTTGCATGTACTTCCATTTCAATGAGGAAGCCGTATGTACATGTACATGTGCTTGAAAAACAGGAAACCATACATCGCTCAAAATCCGGATGCATTGCCAATATTGTGCACGATATCCTCGGAAAACAAGTCACTAAGTCATGGTCCTACCAGTAACTCCTTATACTTCCTTTACTATTTTGGAAATGGGGTTAAGAAAAATTAACTTTGTGGATAAGGCCAAGTGAAAAAAAATTGCTTCTGGTCCAGACTTTTTTAAAAAGGAAAGAGGCGACTTTTTTTCTCAAGAAGATGAATGTTTTTCTGTTCAAAGGAGCCGTTGTCATATGAAAATCAGACTCCTATCAAATCTGGACTCCTTTACCCTATTAACAGTATTATTGGTTAAACCTTCTCACGTGACTGGTCACTCTCCTAATATCTTCACTTAGGCATTCGCAATGAGTCTGTATTTTGTAGTGTCCTAAATTCTCACTACATCGTCACACATGTCCACCAGATTTTAAACTTGCATGATATGCATATGCAGATTTGCTGGAAACACATAAAAGACAACATATTGCAAATGTCTGATTTTAAAAATGGGGGGAAAAAGGAGGCAGGCAGGAAAAAGCAAGCGGGCAGGAACAAGAAATTTGTTAATTTTTTTATTTGGCCAAATGAAAAAAAATCCAAACACTAGGCTTACTGTGTATATTGACCTTCACAGAGAATTAAATTTGGGAAAAAATACTCCAAACTTGTTTCCACAATACGAACCCAAAACCCCTGTTAGTGTAAGCAATTCAATGGAATGTGAATGATGCAATCCTAGGCACTCCAGAACTGATCTGAACCCAACAATTAAGCCACGTGCTACATGTGACTGCAACAGCGGGGAAAACCCAGCATACTTTGGCCCTGTTGGAATTGCCACAATCCACTTAGTCTCCACCTCCCCCCACGCCTTTTTATGGACACCCACGCACATCAAGGCACGTGCATAGTTCATATTTTGTTCCCATCACAAGCCTAGTCACAAGACAGGTTGTGAAATCACCCAAAATACCTGGGGCCGATTTTTGTGTGAAGACCCATGGACCTAGGTTCCTCTATGCGCAACAGAAATTTGTGAAGCAAAAGCAAAACTTGCCTTCATGCAAAAGTTCAGGTGTCTGCAACTGACTTTTAGTGAACTTAATTTAGCCATAGCACAAGTTTGCTAAATAATATTTTCAACTAAGAAAGTCTGTGCACAATTTGGTTTAACTCACACGTGGTCCTTGCTTGTCTGTAAAAAGAAAAGTCAAAGTTCTGAGTTTTCTAATCCTTGTAAAACTTCTAAACAATCGCCCCAAAACTGTGTGCAAGAACTGTTCATGTACATGAAAGTATCGTTTAAAAAAATGAGCGTTTACAATGGCTTTATAGCGGTACAATTTAAAAACTAGTGTTGTTTTACAATTTCACTTCAAAAAATCACAGCATGCATGTAATTCTATTTTTTGGGGGGTGAACTCAGTGATTCTCTGTTTTTCCTTTACCCACCCCACTCCCCAACTACAGACCTCTGAATTCAATGAGGTCACTTAAGTTCATCAAACTTTCAAAATGAAAGAACAAACTACTAGTAGTACTTCCCCATGGAGGGCAAAGATAGATGACATCAACCCACGCATGCCAGACAAAGGGCCATTGGGTCACGTCCTTGAACAACTAAAAGCAAAAGGAAAAAAAAAAAACCCAGATCTAGGGAAATAACAAAGTACTTAAAAAGCCGGAACACATACATGTACTGGTACATGTATCCCGGAACCCCAACAACTGACAGACCAAGTAAGGGCTTAACATGAACCATTTGGAAAAGAGGGTCACCAACAATTAGAGAGAGAGGTGGGGCAGGGGGGGGTGGCAAACTTTCAGCTTGTGGTGTGTGTGTGTGGGGGGGGGGGGGGCAGACCTCAGAATACTCATAGACCCACCCCTCCACCATGCTAAGCCACTGTACAAGTATACTTAATCTGAGAAAAGGTCAATACTTGTTTGCCTCCTTGTCATGCGGTGACAAGCATAAAACGAAGAAATCACATGATGGAAAAATCCCAGGTCACAGTATCTGCAAACTCATTCAGAAAAATATGCACCTTATGAATAGTCACGGCTGACCAACAAAGTGAAAGACACTACTATCTGTAAGTACAAATTGATTTCATCATCAGGGGATTTCCCTAGGTTGCATCACTCAAAACCATAAGAAACACGCCCACCTGCACCTGTAGAGTATACTACCTATGGTTCCTATGAGAGTCCAATACTCTAAAGACATCTGCAATGCCTCAAGGTGCATGATATGACTAACAATTAACTTTCTTTGGTTTGAACAAAATGAGGTACACAAGAATTGTTAAGCCAATCATCTTAACTATGTTCATGTAGTTGTTGATAAGCACCACACAAAAAAAACGTGCAAGATAAGCAATAATATTAAACTTTAATTTCTTATTCTCTGCCCCAATCTGAGTAAAGACTGGTGTTAATGATTTCTTAGTGTTTCCAATAGCAAAAGAATGCTTAGGCCAAAAAAAAAAAAAAATAGTTCTGCATCCGGTTACCCTACCTTTGGTGACCTTAGCATTGCACAATTCGGACATCCAAATTATTCATAAAAATACCTACAATAACAATAGCATTCCAGTAAACTTGTGTATGGTTACGCAATCCAGCTACCGGCGCTTTGGCTCAAAGTGAAATGATGAATCAATCAACAATGACTAAGATATTTGTTGGAATTTGAGGAATTTTGAGAATACCAAGGGCATGGTTTTTGGGTACTGTGTGGGTGAGCAGTCAACATCACATGACTTAGCTCAGGTGCCTTCACAGATGGGGATTCCCCTCATCATGTGATTTGGGAAGTCTCCAGAAAACTTTTCCTAGTATTAAGCATTATCTTTTCCATATGGGGCTTTAATATGGTTACTTAGTGGGAGGGTATAGCAGTGGCATAGCCAGAACTTTGTCAAAAAAACTAATCCCCAAAATTTCAAAATATCGTGCACCACGCGCAAATGGGTCATGTGCAGAGAACATTTCCACTGCATTGATTATTATGCACATCTAAACCCCTAACCCCCCGGCCTCCTCCTCTCCCCCTCCCCCATTTTTTGGTCATGGGGAGGGGGTGGGGTTTCAACTTCCCTAACTTCCAAGGACAAATATGTAAAAACACACGTAAATATGTTAAGTTGTTATTAGTCTGATTGCATCATCACAAACGTGACCCTCAGTGAGTTCCACGTAACAAAAGGACTGTGGTTTTGCAGATTTTAAGAAAACGAAAGGGTAAACAAACTAGGATTTAGTCATATTCATCGGGTACGTCTTTGCCCAACAAAATCTGATTTCAGGTAAAGCGCAGCCTGTGAAAATATTTCAGGGTTTCATCCATTGCTATAGAATTGTGTATATTTAGATTTTCAGATGACGGTGTGTTTTTATATTTTTTTCCTATGTATTAAGTCATTCATTGAACGATTAAAGACACACATTTGGGGGGGGAGCCGTATTGTACTTTGAGTTTCAACTGACATAGATACGTGTATGCCTGTGATGTCGCAATCACCGGTTTTGCTTCACAATACTCCCATTCAAACTGAATTCTTACAATAAAACGTGTTATGAAAACAGTGTTGCCATGAAAACACATAGTAAACATGTAGACGTAGTAAATAATATTGCATCATACAGAGCCCTCTCTGTAATTTTCCATAATGCCAAGCGTCTGAATAGCAATAATACTCTTAGTGCAGAACCCCTCAACCAGAAAAAAGGTAAATATTAGTTCACAAATTTGAATGCAATGCACGGTGCAGGTACGTGTTCACAGAATGACTACAATTGCAGGGATTTAACTTTACAAAATTCAGCTGTGCTTTGTTTTTTATCTATGGTTACAACTTCTTTTTTTTCTGCTGATTTAGGATAATTCATTATTTTGAGTTTATCAACCAGTTACGAAGTTTAATACAAGACAAATCTTTTATTTTGACACTTGTTTCCAATTTTATTTTGAAATTTTGAATAAACCTTTTTAAAATGCATCCAAAAATAAGAAAATAATTTTTTGTCAGTACACATGTAGTTTGATGTCTACATACAGCAATCTTTCATCATAATTTTTAAACTATTAATAAATACCTTCATGTTTGGTGTTGCATTTCTGCACTTCCATGTTTGCCACACACATTTTTCATGAGGTTACCGTTTTGACACCAACCTTTTTCAGTTTTTTTTCCCCTTTTTTTAGAAATGCAGCTAATGCAAGAAGGACATGCAAGAAGGACATTTATTTTTACCTCAGACGAAGTGGAGACCGCACTGTCTCGTTTACTCCCCGGCCCCGCGGACCCGTCTTTGCTTGCTGAGTGAGACTGGTGACCAGGCATTACTCTGCGCAATCTGCGCTGCAGTTTCTGCAGCCGTGAGCTGTTGTGGTTTTTGCCGTCTGTTTCGTCTGGATACTCCCCCAACATTCTGCTCTGTCTGAAAAAAATGAAATAAATAAATCAGAATACAGTCAATACACACAAATAAATAATGCAGAAAAAATGTCTACAATTAATTAGTGCAAAAGTGTTAATTATTGATACAGAAATAAATGCTGGGCGCAATTTGTTGATTTCGGCATCATCAGTCCATCGCGCTGCGCTATCGATCGACTCTGTAAGATATCTCAGATTTTGCTCACCTTTTGGAAAAAAATCCAGAGCAATTAGAAAAAAAAGGTGTTCAGCTGGTGGCAGCGCAATCAACCAATAGCACAGCACGATGGATCGATCGCACACACTGACCGATCGCATCCAACATGAACACAAAGAAAGGGGGGGGGGGGCTAAAAACTTAATTCAAATTTATTTTAGGCTGTTTATTTTATTTTATTTTTATCTTGGTCCTATTTCATATTTATTTGTTCATTTGTAAACATAACAAATTCTCATTTTACTCACCTTCCAATTTATTGCTAATATGATGAAGGGATGAAAAGTGCTCGCTGATTTGTAATGCTGTGGTCCGTCAATAGTTTGATGCTGTTTCTCCTGTTCAAGTGAGTGCAGGCTGAATGTTCTGTGCAAAAATTCAAGTTCAACCAGACTCGTTTGGCCAAATTTGGACAACCGTCTGCGAAGAGCGCTGCTTTCGATCTGAAGATTTCCGACTGAAGCCAGCGCTGTCCCTTGATTCTCCAGGAGCGATGCCTCAAATCACGTGAAATGACAACAGTTTCCATTTTTGGAAAGCTGGAAATTCCCCGGGTTTCCGTAGACGTCGAGAGCTTTCGCTTTGACGATACAGTCGTTTGACCGGTTCCGCAATCGCAAATCGTCTGAAGCGTCTTGTGGCGAAAAAACGCGCTTTCACAGGAAGCTACCTATCTATAAATATGCGCAAATTACTCACCTACTTCATGATATGAATAGTTTTCTGTGATCGTTTGAAAGAGAAATTTGCCAGGACATTTTGTAGAGGTCGGTGCTTTGACCGGTTCCGCAAATGTTTTCCGGTTTCGCAAACGGCGCCCTCTGCGAGACTGGACTGAAAATATTCCTTGTTTACTGGCCAAATCTAGATCGTTTTTGCCCCCAAACCAGCCAAGAAAAGATGTGGATTATATTTCCCTGTACATGAGCCAAGGTCTGCACATTATAATGCGTCCAAATTTACAAAATGTAACTCCATGAAAATGTTATGGTTCGTTGGATTTTTTTAACGTTATAATTATTTGACTTGCTTCAATCCAATTAAATGACTTTCTTGCTTTTTGTGCATTCTGTCTATCATCTTGCAATCACTAATATTTTGCTTTTTTGTTGTCTTATTTTTATTTAGACACACTCTGACGTTGGATAGAACCAGACACAAACCTTGTACCGAATTGCTCCAGTTGGTTGTTTTTTTCTCACATAAGCACAGACCAGCTATTTATGAATTTGAGTTAATATTTTCTCCAGGATCATTTTTAATTCCTATGAAGCTTAAGGAAGTAACTGCATGGCTGGATGAATTGGAACTGAATCATTGTCTGCAGGGGCGCACTGTTTATTAATATTATTTGTTTATTTAATTATTATTATTTATTTACTTTTGTTTATTCCCTCCTTTTTTTTCATTTTACTTTTTTTTGTGGGGGGGGGGGGGAGTGTTTCAATTTTGTTCAGGGTCAAAACACAATATGCTTAATTTTGTGTGCACCAACATCCAGTAGGGGGAACCTGGGGCCGGGAGGGGAGGAGGAACAGGCCTCAGCAGGCCAGATACATACAGGCCACATACATGTACATATTTCACATTCAAATTAAATTTCACAAACAAATTAAAACAAATTGTTAAAAATGTCATAAATCCTATGGCTGTTTCATAGCAATGGTAATTTCTAATTATAATGTTCAGTTACTCCTCATACGTTGTTGCACATATTAACTATGTACATGTATCATGCTTGGGCAACTGTATTAGCAAACCTCATCTACCGTTCGGTGATGCTCTTAAAAGAAAATGTCAACACATTCATCACGTATATCCCGATAACCCTTTCAATATATTGACATGTGATACCTGCATGTGTAAATGTAATACAAAACTAAAGCACTCAAGAAGCTACCCCTTTTAAATCCAAAAATATACCTGTCATATAAATAAATGGTGATGAATCACAGAAATAGACATGTTCTGTGAGTTTTTCATGCAAAGTAGCATAGTTTTTAAAACACCTCACTTCTCTTTCACATGTACTGGTTAATAAAAATGTATGTAACGCCTTTAAATTTATTGCCTTTATGTCTGTTTAATTGTTATACACAAATAATTTAAGCACTTCAGAAGCTAGCACTATACAAAAAAAGAACTTGTCACATAAATAAATTAATTCAAAGGAATGGTGATGAAGACACACAGCTACATGTACTTTCACTATAATATTCAACTTCTTCTTGACCTTCACAGGTAAAACTGAAAAAGATGTGCTGATGGCCTCTTATGCCTATGGCCTATCAGGAGGCTGGCGTAATCTTCTTCTTTGATTTTGGCATTGTCTGTATGAAAAAGAAATTTTATATAAAACGTTTAGTTTATGACCAATTGAGACAAAAATGAGAAATGGTTTATAGTATTTGACACATTTTGTGCTCCAAGAAAACAATCAAAATTTGTGTCTCTGTACTGACGAGAGACTGGTCTTCATTATGAAATATTAGTGGACCTATTTTTCTTTTTGTTTAAAAGGGTAAAGAGTAAGGTTAGAACCCACCGAAAAAGGATAATTTTAAATTTACTAAATTACTGGAAATGTCCTTTGGGTTGGAAACATATTATTATGCACTATTCTTAATTGGTCCCCACAAACCTCACCTCCTAGCCTGGGCTGACTCATGCACCCTGGATGTGGAGAGTTGTAACTCTAAAATGAATCCAACCCCTGAGGCACAACCGCCTCAACATCAAGTATGGGGTGAATTTTTTAGAGCAAAGGAAAAGCGTTTAGTGGGAAGTATTAAGAAAGATTTTTGTATTTTAAATTTTGAAGTCCAAATTTTTTTAATCCAAAACCTACAGTGCTGTCCGGAAGCTGGACAGAAACAAAATCATTTTGTTTCAATTTAGTTTCCAATTTTTTGCACTGAACACCCAGAAATGATCATCAAATTCGACATTTTTAAACAAGGATTAATAGAAATTCTCAATTTCTTTGTAAGTTGTAAAAAAAAAAAAGATTCATGCCAAAATAAATAAAGTGCGCCGCGCTAGGGGGCCGTCATCAACAATACTTGTCAATAGCAGCACTGGTTAATACAGTCACACCATGGCCAGTGTATTGTATAGGCAGTATGAATGCGTTTGCGGAACCGGCCAAACGACCAGCAGTTACTCTGGTGGGTATAGAAAAAAAAATTCAAAGACTTCAAATCTTATATTTGTATGGTGGAATAATGAATAATTTCCGAACAAGTAGCATCTATTGCCATGATTTAATTCCCCTGAACAATCGTGTAGCAGGCCGACAAACATGAAATCACGCTTCCGTGCGCGTTCCATTTCGGCAGTTCGTTAACGGCAAGTGACGGTCGTAGGGGATTTATTTTTAAATGTAAGTGAGTATCCTAAAACTAAAACCATTTTTGAAAAGTACATTGAATAACCTTTCCATCAGTACCAAAGTTTAAGTCCTTGGCGTTTTCGTCTTCCTGAAAACGAGAGCTAGTTTTCCGAAATTGCGGAACTGGTCAAATTGCGGAACCGGTCAATTGACTGTATTTGATCGTCGCGATGTAATGATTTTGGACATTCAGACTGGTTAGAACCAAGTGCACGATAAATGGGCGGTCAGTACTTCAGAGAATACGTGGAACTAGACTTGTGACCACCCCCACAAAACTTTTGCCATTTGTCAAACCTCGGCTTTGTTACAACTTTGATTCAGACTGTGGATTCATGATTATAATGGATTATTTACCGTGTACATACTTTCCATCCATTCGGCGGCATACTTATTTATTTCGGTGATTAACATTTCGGTAGACCTCCCTTCTATATTTATTCCTTTTTAAGCCAGTCATAATCATTCCAGTAATGTAGTATGGTCAAATATAAATTGTATCTTTAAAATTAAAAACCATCATTATTTTAATAAACAGACAAATGTGAAATCCACAAGTTAAACATGGTATGATAATAATAAAGTTTCCGAAACCCTGTCATCATATTAATAGAAATTTCTTTAATACTCACTTTTAAGTTAATTGTCATGTGCATCGTCTTTGTTTAGTTTACTTCTGGCATCTAGCATTGCTGTAGGCCATGCCATTTTCTTTAATCCCATTTTCTTTAATAGTATCATTGTCTATTATGAGACCTGTACCTTGATATTGATTAAATTTCTGTAATACTCACTTCTACGTTACGTCATGTTCATCGTCTTTGTCATTTACATTCTTGTAATGTCATGTTTCTACATATATTGTTTAATGAATGGGAGGTTTGCGGCAACCCTATGTGAATGAAAGATATCTCTCAGTGAGTTTCTTTTTTGTTTGTTATTATGTACCTTGTTAAAAGTGTTATTTTTATGAAGTTGATGGGGAAAAAAATACACATAAGTTGATTTTGAGACGTTGCGCGTGCCATAGGTTTCTCAATGCGAAAGTAAACCCGCACGATTTTGAACAAAAGTTTCGACACGCTTCAGTGATCCCGGGGTACATGTACTGTGTGTACGTGTACTTGCGTATGCGCTATGCATAGCTATATATGCACGCTTGAATGATTTCAAAAAAGGCAACTCCTAGTTTATGTTTTTCCAATTCATTCAGGGAGGAGGCTGTGTGTTTTCGGCGTGACAATCTTTGCTTCAGTGTAGTCTTCTGTAGTGTGACATCCAGCTAGTGAATCACATGAACTTCTGCCTGTTTTAATACGCGAGTTTCGGGGCAATTTTGGCCGAAAGTCATCATGATCGCCTCACGGATATTGGTGCTGGCTATCGCCGTTGTGGCACTTACCCCTGTTGTGCACTGCCAAAGTGAGTATGTAGTTGATTTTCCCAAAACATGAAGGTAGTTGCGCTGTTCTTATCAGATAATAATTATTTCCATATCTGGCCATCACTTTTCACCCTGTGCACAAACCGTATGAGACTGGCCTGAAAACTTCTTAGTGTTTCTCAGTAACTTCAATTTTTTTCCCTGCTAAACTTGACTTTTTTGGACATACATGTATATAACTTTCTGATGTCAGATGGGTCACTGAAGGGAACAATTAGTGATATGGCCAGATATGCCTGGGAATCTTTCCGACAGGATACTCAGAAGAAAACCAGTTGGAGGTTCAATAGGCCTATCATTGCAAAAAGAGGTATTTCCCTGAAATTGTATCTCGAAAAGACAAATTTCCTGATTCATAAATCTTTGAAAGTCGTCTCGGTTGGCACAATGACCGAGTGAAGTGAGAAATTTTAGTTTTTGAACTCATTAATTAAATCATGTTAAAATGGAGCATAATTTATACTTTTTATTTAGCAACTATAAATTGCGTTGATTTTTTGGGATCATATCGAATCAAATAAGCTGTGCATGCATCATCCTAATATTTCAGTAAAGTTATATATAACTGAAATGCTTAAAATGGTTAATTAGATCAGTCTGTAATTCTTCTATACACAGTTTTTTACACACAAAGTTCCAGAGGGTTTCCCTAAATGAATAGAAAATTCACAAAGGTTTATCTATTTAAGGCGCTTGCCCTGTTGCTCGTAAAACAAAAACAAAGTTATTTTTCTCATGATCGGACTTTACTCACTACGATATACAGTGTTACATCCCCTAATGACCTTCACGGAAAAAGAAATATAATTGCTAGGGCCTCCCATATTTCAGTATTTTGACCTACACCTGTTGTTCCGGAATGGTTTTAATAAAACCCACCATACCTTTGAACAGCTCAGTACCAAAAGGCATTGGTACAAAGGAACCATTCAAATTGCATTGTTGACTTTTCATGCAACCATGGCAGGATACCTACGCACATTGTGGTGCGCTTTTGGTGCCCACAAGTTGTTGTTCAGGGCCATTCTTTGCGGTTCAGTTGAGATTCTGAAAGAAGCAGAAAAATACTGCGTTGAATAAAACTGGGAGTGGTGTCGGCTATGTGTCATACTTGTATGTATGGCCTCCAAAAAATAATAATAATTTACAAACTTTTACTTTTATGTATTGATAAAGTTTGGCTTTAATTATTAAGATTGTATACATGTATTTGGGATTGTATGTCCTATGTAGTTGAATAGAATAACTATTGAAGCGGGAAAAAAAATTGAATTTATCTTTAAAATGGTCAAATTAACTCTAAAAGAACACTTGAATGTAAAAAGTTTAATTGATACTTTTCATTTTGTTTTGTTAACATTCCAAAAGGCATGCCGAGTCTTGCTTTTTATGAAAACAAACTTTTGCCAACAAATAAATACTTACTATTTGAGCTTAAAACTTCAAATAAATATTGCCCTCACTTATTTTTTTGTTTCATTTGAAAAGGATTTGCAAGAAGGTTTTCAGTATTTAACAGATTGTGTTTTGACATTTTGGTTGGTCTTTAATCCGTAGCGTACAACTTGAAAGAAACGTCTTATACAGTTCTGGAGAACGCGACCCATGTCATTGTTGAGATCACTCGCTCTGGGCCAGTCGATGTAGCGACAAGTGTCTGTAAGTATCATATTGTGGTCCATGGTTCAAACTCCACCATGGTGATTTTCTTATGGCTTAGATTGAAGATAATAATGATAAAAATATAAATCCTTTTTGCACTTTGCATCTTTGACTTCATAAAATACTTGAAGATATGTCATTTCTGGAAAACATGAGTTTTCTTTTCATTGGGAGAGGTGTCACAAGTATTTCTCCCTTTCTCTCATGAACACAAATATTGTCAAGTAAGAAAAAGTACAGGCTTTCTTTGACCCTTTTGCTGTCCATCATCATCAAACCCTGAAGTCAATTTACATTGGACAACCAAGTTGGCAAAACACTGCTACAGTCACAAGCGGATCGAGGGGGTGTAGATCTGCCCCCCCCCCCGGCAGTTACCGCAATTTTGTCAAATGTTTTTCACTTGAGAGAGCCCTTTCGCCCTCCCCCCGCCCCCCCCAGCTTAGCCTCAGCCCCCCAGCACTAAACCATCTCTGGATCGGCCACCCTTGACAGTGTTCTGCAAGTTCCTGGTTCAATTCCCACTCCTGTCAATTGATGTGCTTAATAAAAAAATTCATGAAATGTTCAATTCCTAATTCAAGAAGTGACTGTATGTTGCTTTTCTTTGTGTAGTGGTGACCACCCTGCCCGGCACAGCATCGAGCCCAGGGGATTATACTGTTTTAAACCAGCAACGGGAATTCATCATGAACTCCAGGTCCCTGACTGTCCGGATTGACATCATGGACGATGACCTGCGCGAGCAGGACGAGTATTTCTTTATCCAGATATCCAACCTCTCGAATGCCGACACGATCGGATCTAATTCAATGGCCAATATCACCATTCTGGATGACGATGGTAACTTTCATGACCAATCAGGTTTAGTGGCTTTTAACTCAGTAATGCCTGTGAAAAAAAGATGTTGGGGAACCACCAACATAGGGCTGGATAGCTCTAATGCGGAGATCGCAGGTTCAAATCAAAGCCCACTCACAACAATTATTTCTGTTCAACTTTGTAATTATTATGTACTCAACAAGTCAGTTTTTCTCTGTGGTTTGCATTTGATTATCTTAAAAAAACCTCCAGAGTTCAAACCTCGTGTCAGATTTTGTGTTTTGTTTCTAGCTTTATAACTGTTGCTCCAGCTTGGCAATTTTAGACCCCTACTTCAAATTTCTAGTTTCATCTATGAGAATTAACTTATGCCATGGCTCCTTCCCCCCCCCCTATTATTTTAGTTGTTTGATCATTAAATGCTTATAAATGATTCAATAGCTGAGATGTAGCCAACGCTGAGACAAAGCCAAAGTTTTGCAAATAGCCAAAAACATTAATTTGTCTGTTCATGTTGATTGGAATTCTCCATTGAGAAATTGTCTTCCTGTAGGACAATTAACACATAACGAATTAGGCTGTTATGACAAAAAAATGGTTCAATTCAGCTTCACTTGGCCAAAGCACTGTTCCTCTGTCCTTAAAAAAAACCTGTTCCCCCCTCCTTTAAAAAACCCTGCTTGTATTTTGCAGCTGAGTTCAAATTTGAGAGGAGTTCGTATCCATTAGTCAGTGAGTCCGAAGGCAGCATCACCATTGCCGTTGTTAGGGATGGTTACCTCAACAAAGAAGCCAACGTCTGTGAGTATAGTCTCTCTTATTTTCTGAAATTCTCTTCATTCCATCTTGTCCTCTGTATTTCCCCCTATTAATTCTTTTCCATTTGGTACTTTCAGATGTCTTTTTAAGAATGCAGTATATACTATTTTTTCTTTGTTAAAATATGAAAAATCAAAGACTTGGCTTTTCAGTAACATTGCACTTTCGATCTTTTCCCTTGTTCCAAAATTCCTCATTTTCAAATGATATCATTATCCTGAACAGTCCTGTTTCTCAAATTTGATTTTTTTTTTGGTCACACATAAAAAAACCCAGATTAGAATAAACCTTTGAGCACATTTAAGTTGTACGATTAGTGCTCTTCCATTCATAACCAACCACAATTCAATTTGCTATTTGTTGTCAATTGCCTTTTTGTAGATATTTCTACATCGGAGGGTGACCACAACGACGCTACCAGGGCGACGCCGGGCGTGGACTTCAACCGCCTAGTGGAGACACGACTGCAGTTCCTTGCCAATTTGGCCAGGATCGAAGTGGTGGTGGGGATCATACAGGACCAGACTCCCGAGGAAACGGAATTGCTGGACGTGCAGATCGTGCGGGTTGATGGCGGGCAAGTGGGGAACCCTTCTTCCACCACTCTCTCAATTTCTGACGATGACGGTAAGTTGTAGGAGAAAACAATTCCCGATAAAAAAATTTAAACAATGAAGTAGTTTTTGACCAAAGAACTGGCAATTTCTACCTTTTGTCACACGCAATATTTTGTGTGTGAATAAAAATATTTACGAGGCTTCCCCAAATGCATCTGTTTTGGTTTGATACTCAATGTAAAGCAATGAATAACGGGTGAACATCTGCTGATAACATACACAGAAAGTCCTCCATGAAATCCAAAAGTGGCATCTGTTGAAATAACCCCTTGGTGTGACACTTGATTGTGAATTGTTTGTTTTCTATTCACATCAGTCCATATATTAATTATGTCTCATACTGGTTATTTTGTTGTACTCTCAACAGTGGAATACGCAATAGCACAGGAGTCTTTCTCTACGAAGGAGAGTCCAGGTTCAACACAGATTATTGTGACAATTACCAGGAGAATCAACACAAATGACAGAAGTACCATTTGTGAGTAATTACACCTTTTTCTCAGAAAAGTTAATTCCGCAGTCAGCCAATTTCAAGCCACATTTTGTGTCAATTGCTCAAATTGTGAACATTTCACATCACGCCACATTGCGGCTGTTACACATTTCACAAATATTTTGCAATGTGTGAGACGGTAACCTATATGTGATATATTGTGACGTAATCACATTGTGTTTTTTTCGAACTGAAAACTAAAATTGGCCTGTGGTTTATTTTAATGAAAATTTAGGGGTGTACACAGAAGACGGCACAGCCACCGCAAGCAGCCGGGACTACATTGTGTACAGCAACAGGGTGGAATTCCTCCCGGGTGCGTCCAGCGCGACGGTCACCATCACAGTACTGGATGACAATGAGTACGAGCCTGTACCAGAGGTTTTCTATGTCGGCATCCGAGACCCCGAGCCCAGCGGCTTTGTGCTGGCCGGCGCGAGCAAACGGCCCATCACCATTGAAGACAATGAATGTAAGTTTTGCCTCCGTAAATTTTGGGAAGGGGGAGGATTTATTTTGTTAATTTGTCCAATTTGAGGTGTAGTTGCTGTTTGGATGGCTGTTTTTCCTGTTTGTGTCTAGTGAGACTCAGCTCAAGTTTAGCCATTTGTATATGTTGTTTGTAATTCATGTAACCTTTGCTTTTGGCCATTTATTCCCTATATTAGCTATTTTCTCATTGTTGAAGACCGCATACACTGTCAAAGAATCTGACGAGTCTGTTACTGTTGAGATAAGGCGTACAGGGGATCAGTCTCAGCAGACTAGTGTGCGTAAGTACCAGCTGCGATTGAATGTCTATAAAGCTAAAAATCTATAAAGTTTTTAATTTAAACAGTTGCTGTACTTGCAACCTCACCCGCTTCGTGGGATGATTAATGACAGACATGAACATAAACAAATTAATTACAAATACAACTCTGGAGAAACCTTGATTAAGAACTTTATTTTACAGTCTCACATGCTGCGTCATGAAATCTGGGGCCATTGCAGTGGTATTTGGTTGTGATTGACTGAGAATGAGTGGCACAATCTGGGCAATATTTTGTTGGTGGCTAGGTAGGTTGGATGGTCGGTCATCGTCATTAATGCGTTGTCATGGTCAACTTTGACCATGTGGAGTATCTTAAAGATACTTATCTCCTTGCCGGAGTTTATGATCGTATTAATGAGCACCGTCAGCTGTGAATGTCACCAGAGAATGATATGTTGCAGAGCCATACATTTATTTGACTTAAGAGTTTCTTCATTTTGTTATTTTTTGGAGAGGGCCTCTAGGGTGCAAATATTAAGCAGTGTTCCCCCATCCAATTGTTCGGTTACTTATAAGTAAGTCATTCAGTCAGTAATAACTCAGTCAGTTAGTCAGTGAGATAGGTACAAACAGGACACAATGGCAACCCTCTGTGGACTTGCAAATTTTTTTTAAAACTCTATAAGGACTTGAAATGCAGCTGGACAGCTATTTCATTGACATGTTCCTCTTGTCAGGTGTACGATCCATTGCGGTCAGCGCCACCGCAGGGCAGGACTATGCCAATGTGGATCAGGAGCTCACCTTTGCTGCCAACCAGGTGGGCGTGAACCTAGTGATTTCCATCCTCAACGACGATGTGACCGGGGAGGAAGATGAGGTTTTCATCGTGGAGCTGTACCAGGCGTCAATCAGTATCCTGGACAGCGACAAGTCATCGGCGCGGATCACCATCCAAGACAGCCCCAGTAAGATACCTCAAACAAATCATTCTTTTTTTTATCCCCTTTGCGTTGGAAGAGAGTGATATGACTGTCATCATCAGGTATCTACTGTAAAATTCCGACCATTTGCCATTTTTGTCCGAACAATTTGTTTAACTGGACAAGAATTTTAGGTGCATGTGATAGTTCAAAATCAATTGGTAATTTTTATCATCCCATAAATAAAAAAAATCAATATGAGTTCAGTTTGTGGTTGATTTTCAACTGCCTTTGCAAAACAATTAAGGCTAAAAAATGCTTTAGTTTACGTATAACTGCCTTTGCAAAACAAAGTTTAAAACACCAGCCTTAAAAAAAAGTCAGTTAAATATTAAAAAAAACAGCAAGGAAAAGTTAACAACTCAAAACAAATACAAAGGTTTTTGTTTTTACAATAAAAAAAGGCCTTTCTTGAGTGTCCAGCCACAATGCATGGTACAGTCCCAACTCTGAACCCCCAAAACTTTCTACCATTTGAAAATATGTGGGACGAATTTTGCCACTCTTCTTTTGATGTAGTGAATTGAATGTCTAAGATGCTTGGAATTCTCTTACTTGCAGGGCTGAGTACCCTAGCTATTGTCCTGATCGCTGTCGGCTGTGCCATCTTTGTCATCCTGATCCTCATCATGCTTCTGTGCTGCTGCGCATTCATGAGACCCAGTGGTCCTAGAGGTAAACTCAGCTCCTAAATACTTTCCTTTTTTGGTCCTTTAAGGATCATATTTTTTGTCATTACTGCACTAGAATCAGACTTAAGTTTTATGTCCAACCCAATAATCAAGCGGGTAAGTATAACACACACGGCAAGCCAATCATAGTAGAGTCAAAGTAATTCTATTCCACTGATTCAGAATGGTTATTCACTGGACGTCTTTTCATGCATCTGTGTACATAGTGGGCCGCAATTTAGTCCATTCATTGGTGTTACAGGGTAATCCTATACAATAGAACTGCCCAGCTCACAATTGACTAACAATCGGTGAGTCAGTGAGATGAAAATAGGACTATAAACTGGCCGTCTTTGACACCCGCAAAAAAATTGAAGTTTTACTACACTAAGGAATTAATCCATTATGGAAGATTGTCCATTCAAATGCTGTTCATTGTTTGACCCACCAGAGCCTTTCTACTACGACCGGGGGCGCCGCGGCGTACCAGGGGTGGACTTTCCCCAGGAGCAATCTGCCCGCGGACCGGTGGTCACTCACATTCCGGACGAGCTGGATGACAGACGCCGGGAGCGTCAGGACTGGCCGCACCGTCGCAGTGAAAGACGCATCAACGGTTCCGCCATCCAAAACGTAGGTAGCTCAAAATGAAAAGGGTGGGGTTAAACAAACATGATGGAAGTCCACCATTGCTTCATCCTGTTAACACATTAGTCCCTGAACCGCCCAAACTGCCCTGCCTGTTGCTCCCTGTGCCGCCCGAACACTCCACTATTTTACTGTTTCATCAGGGAATAATTACAATGTCAAACAACAGGTGCTGATAAGTCAGATCTTGACCTCACCTATTCATATTATCAAAATATTTCTTTTCTTTATTGGATCTTTCAAATATTATCAGGGAGGACCACGGATCACTGAGTTGAATGAACGCGACCATGAACCACGCCGGGAATCCAACCGCCATGCGTCCAATGACCAGCCCCCGCCACCGCCCCCTCCCGCTCAGGTTTGTGCGCCCAAAAGCCATACTTTCCCCTTCTCACGAGTTCTTAAACTAATCTTCCTCAGTAAACTGCTCAAATTTAAGCATACAGTCCATTTAGATGAAAATTTTAAATTAAATCGCTGCCTTGATTTCATATCAAACTTCCAAAGCTCTCATTGGTCGATTTCATATTTTTTACTTTCAGGAACGCCTTCCAGAGGGAAGAAACGAACCTGAACCATCCACGGTAATGAGCCGTCTTAAATTCTCTTCATAATGTACAAACTTGTCAACCTCATATTGTTAGGGATATAAAGTAGTATTATAAAGTAATATAAAGACAAATTGAGATATGGCAGACACAATCAGAGGGTGCTGTTTGATTTTAGTGAAGTCTTGTCTTACCCAAACCAAACAGTGCCCTCCTATATTGTCCGCCATACCTCAAATAGACCAATAATGACAGGGCAATTTTTTAAGGGGATACCTCACCTTCAGTTTTTCCACTTAACGTTCTCTTGAAATTAGAAATAATGAGTTATCAGTTGTACCTTTAGTTTCATCAATTCTGCATATTTTGTTTTGTCAATACAGGATCGCCATGGGGAGTCATCTGATCCTCGTCGCACTCGATCCATGTTCAACCCCCAGGGTGAAAGAGAGCCCTACTGGGCAAAGGTGGGTACCTCCAAGAATGGAATTATATTTTGGAATTTAGACAATCTTTGATTATAATCTTTTAAGTGAATAAACATTTTTCTCCTTTTTGTCTTTTCCCCTTAATTACAGGCCCGTCACTCCTACCACTCCTCACCCAACCACTATGGATATTTCTGAGCTGGATTTTCTGCAGGTTTTCATTTCAAATGAAAGCCTTATTTTCTCATTTTGAAGACATCATTTAGTCTATCCATTTCTACAAAGGCAAACATTTTTTTTCTTGTGAGTGCTCCAGTTTACTGAATTTTTTATGGTATGGGAAAAGTATGATTCAATTGAGTGAATTACAGTTCAGACATTTAGGTTGGGGCAGGGAGGATATCAGAACAAATTGTGAAAGAAATGAAATTGTGTTAAAACTTGCATCTCGGGAATCGTCCTTGTTAGGAGGGAATTGAACAAGGAAACGTAAGCATCGATGCAGTCATACAATATGGGATTTTAGTTGCAACTTGAAGGATTGTGAAGACCAATCAAGTCACAAAGTGAAAGCAATCCTTATGTAAAATATTTTTTATTGTGGAAATGGTTATAAAATAGGTGTTTTTGGTAAACAATACTCAGTGTATTATGGAACTTTGTACAGAAGATTTGGAACTGAATTCGAATTGAAGCAAAAGTAGGAACATAGTGGATCAAAGAAGGAATACGGTGTGAGAAATGTTATCCCAATATCTTATTTTGCGGTGTATATATTTTGATTGTTAATGATATTAATTGGGGCAGTAATGATGTGTAATCTTAAGAACCATCATGGTGGATATGTGCACCTTTCAATGTGCACATTGTGATTATAATTATGTATGTTTATATTTTAAATATATATATATAACCAACAGTAAATTATCATTTAGTTGTTAGATGCTGTATAGAATACTGGAATCTGGCGACCAGAATTAGAAGCTTTTTAGTGCGGTGGTGTTACGCTCACGTGCATGCTGCAGGCGTTCTTAAAGATGAGGCGCACGCATGTTGGTATTCCTATTGGTCGTAGGAGCCCGAAGCGCGTGTGCCCTAACTGAGCGCAACTCGCACAAGCCTTGCGCCCCCGCAGAAATGGCTGCCGACGGATTATTCTATAGGACACACTCATTCTTGTAGGCGGACTACTAGGGTCCTGAATACATTTGTACATTCACAGCTTCAGACATCTCTGGTATTTTTGTGGAATTTTCATCAGAGTTATGTCTTTTTCCAATGCAAAACAATAGAACCATTTGTGACCGAACAAGAAATTGCTGCACAAAGCTTTCTTTACCATTTTGTTATATTGGACTGTACCAACTCTTTAGAAATCAGATGTTATTATAAAGAGCAAATTTGAAACCTTGAATACATAAACATTTTGATACAAACAATATGCTAAATGTGGTTGTGGGACAATCATGCAGTAAAACAAAATTGGATTGGTGATGGATTTGGGGAAATTTACAATTCTTGCATTTATTTACTTTTTACTTGTTTTCTATATATTAATTGTACACAAATGTATATTTATGCATGTTTTATTGGAGGAAATTGTAAAAAAAAAAAAATTAATGGGAAATAAAATATGGAATGCCTAGTCTGTGTTAACTACTTTTTGGTTTTTAAATTTAATGGAGTGGTTTAAAAGGTTGATATAATCACAGACTTCAACAATTTTTTTTCTTCCATAACCCACATAAATACATTTACGAAGACAGATTTTCTTGAGCAGAACCGAACAAAAAAACGTGTCATAAACTGCTTAAATATACTCCACAGTGTATGACTTCTTCGGGTGGTACCGGAAATGGTAATTAACATTTTAGATTTTGTTTAGTTGTCGGGTCCGGGAAATTTTGAGAGTTGGGATTTCCTTGCCCGTCCTAAAGAGTTCTTAAACTTATGCTAATTTAAAAACAAACGATACACGATTGGACAAAGCTGTCCACTTACCACACCCCTTCAGGACACATTTGACGCAAGAGGGCGCTCGGCTTAGAATAGCAAATGATGTCAGATGAAAACAATAATCATGTCGATTCCTGCCGAGTGGTCTCAAGGAAATGATCTCAAAAAGTAAGTATTTTGATGTTTTTTGTGTGCAAAATTGAACTTATTTCCAGTAGAAGATAGTAGGGAATTACTTGGGCAAGTATGCGTTGAATAATGTTGAAATATATCTCTCAGTATAAGCCATAAAAACGTCAGTGCTTCCTGTTTTCATGAGTTGCAGTTCAGTCACTGAGTCAGACATGTCAAGACAAGAGTCATGTCAATTGTCATTTTTTGTTAAGAGTTCCGAGACCGAGTCGAGTAACACAATGACGACTACTAATTGGAACGGCAAAAGTGCAATTTCCAATCTCTCTATCTCTTTTAGTTCTAAAATGGTTTTTATTGTTCCAAAATGACTTCTGCAACCTCAAGCAATATTCATATCCCCTAATTTTCAAGGTTTTCAACAGTATTTTTGACACAAAATTTGACTTCCTACCTGTGTTTCCATATTCAGTTTCTGTTGTGAACGACATCAACCATGTATTTACTACTAGCATGAATGTTTCCTTCTGAACAAAGTGTCACTATTTGGCGTAATGATCATGCAGTCTCCTTATCACTGGTTCCTGGCTGTCACACTTGTACTTGGTTATCATGGTGGACTTTCTACTGCGAAATGTAACCGTAAGTTTATTTGCGTCAAACTCTGAAATACAATCTTAATGTTTTTATCATTTTATTGTTTTAATGCAGAGTACATGCTTTTCCTTATGTTAAGCTGAGTAATTGTCCAAAACGTAATTTGTATGATCTCTTAATTGACAGTTTGACTTATTTGACTACAGTAGTCAAACAACCAGCCATTATACTTGAAATTGTATTTTACTTGGAAATTCATTCACACCGTCTTAAGCTTTTTTTAATGTCAGAGCTAGGGGGGGGGGGGGGGGGGGGAGTGTATGAAGTTCATGACCGACAATTGTTTCCTGTTGATTTCAGCTGACGGTTTTCAGCAACTGAAGCCAACATTCATTCAACCGACGTCAGATCGTCTGGAGCTTTTGCCAGGTGATAGTTCGACACTTATATGTGAGGTCCACCGTGAAGTAGATCCAGAGGTAAATTGTAAGGGTTGTGCGAGGGGGGGGGGGGTGAAGGGGGGGGGGTGAAGGGGGGGGGGGGTATGTGTGCATATGATGCGTGTGGCTAGGAAATACAGTGTGACTTAGAAAAGGTGCATGGGGGGGGGGGGGGGCTAGTGGATTGGTCTGACCCAGCTATGTCGTAATTTTGGATTGAAGCAATTCAGTTGTTCATAATTGCCAACCCATCCATTTTAAGAAGTAGGCTATCAATTTCTGAGCTCAATTGATCTTAAATCCCTATCATTCTGCTGTCCAGTTTTGTAAAAAATATACTTTTTACAAAGAAAGGAACGCCTGTGGCCTAGGATACAAGAAAATTTCATCAATGACACCAAGTAATTTTTTTTTGGAAAATGCGAGGGAGTGAAGCTGGCTGATCCCATGTGGCAGACATCACTTTTTCCTTTGTATATTTGTTTTATTGATATTAAGTGTATTTCGTAATTCACTGTAATTCACAACCTACATTTCACGCTATGCCTCATGGATGCTATTCCAATGGTCCTATGAATATAATTTTAGTGCTAATGTAATAAATGTAGTCAGGTAAGTGCTGAGTTGTTGCCACTTGAAAAACTTTGTGGACAATCTTATCAAGAGTTTGTTCTAAAAGAGAAGCGTGATATTTCTGATAAGAATCAGATGTGACAAGTCAACGTTTTGGTCAATATGCTCTGACCATCGTCAGGATTATGCCTAAATCTAGAGAAGGAATTCCTGAAAAATTGAGAGCAGGATTCTTTGCCGATTGGCAAAGTATGAAAGAGTCTTTCCTCCAATGTTGCACTCTCCACCGTGCAGAACCTCCAATCACATCGGTGTTCCTCCCGCCTCACAACCAGGCTTACAGGGTTCACATCCCTTATATGTTGTTCTTGTACTACAGAACCCACCCAGATACGGCCTGCTCATCTGGTGGTGCAACTCTACCCGCCCAGAATGCCACGAGGAAGAACAGTCCATGAACACCCGCAACCCAATCTTCCTTCATGTGGACAAGAGTGTGGCCCAGAATGCATCTGACCTCCGCTCCGAGTTCAGCTTAACGAATGTTGAGGCCAGCCAGGCGGATATGTATTACTGCGTGGCTTTCAGCGAAGATCGTGACGTTTCAAAATGTCCTGGGAGTGTAGCTGTGGACATTGTTATAAAGGGTATATTGTTTATAAGATCACCTGTTTGTTTTAGTATGTTTATGATCCATTACCCTTAAATGTAAACAATCTGTGAATACTTCAAATCATTGTGAATTTAGTACTTGTAAATTAGGCAAGTAGAATTTGACCGTTAAGGGACTTAATTGATGAGGATTTTACGAAAGGGTAATGAAAATTTGGATATTAATTGCATTGTTTACGTTTTGCTTTTCAATGCACTGATCATTTTTTAAGCAGTTTATTGCACTTTTTTTCTGTATGAATTTCTTATACAGTACTATAACTTCACACTCACAAAAATGGGATAAGTAAAATCATTAACCCTTGCCCTCACAGACCCATCAAAATCCACTGGGAGATTGTGGAGGATGTTGTAAGATATAGAAAGGTAGTGCCTGAAGTACATGTGCAGCGCGTATGCCTTTGGTTTCCGGCACAGTAGAGATTTTGGAGGATCCAGGAAGGTTCCATAGCATGATGCATTGGGAGTTAGCATTAACGTGCTTCCCGTTTTCCCCCCTTCTGCTTTTGTAGACAAGTCTAGAGTGAGACTGACAGACCACACCAAGCTGATTGACATCTTGGAAGGAAATCCTTTCAATCTCACGTGCATCGCTGATGGTTACCCCAGCCCGACGTTCAAGTGGAAAAAGGACGAAAAGGCAATCAATGGTGGCAAGGAGGGGACGATTAGAAAGCTCATGGCAGAAGAGAGTGATGCAGGAATCTACAAGTGCCAGGCACAGAACAAGTTTGAGACATCTGCGTGGTCTCCAGATATCAAAGTTGAAGTGGACAGCACAGGACCAAGTGGATGTGAGTGACTATTCATAATCCAAGTACAGACTTTTGGGACCTTTGGATTTTTCTTCTTTAAATTTGGGATCATTTGACTTTCTCTTCTAGAAAAAGAAAAGAACAAATGCGTCACAGTATGGATGCAGGTCCTTGACCTCAAAATGATCCATCATGTCATGATCAATGGGCTTTCCTGTTGAATGTCACTGACTCTGATCTCTGTTTCTTTTGTTGATTTCTTTTGGCAGTGTCTAAGGTGACCTTGGCCCTACTGATCGCCGCTGCAGTTGTTCTCGCTGTTCTACTTGTCTTCATCATCATTCGATTATCAAGTAAGTTTGTTTTACACTGCTGGGGGAGTGAGTTTGTATGTGGAGTTACTATCCCAATGGTTATTTCAAATCTTCATCCTATAACCTACATTTCATTTGTGTTTTGTTTCTTCAGAGTTACGATCACAGATGACTTGCTTCACTATCGAGAGGATTAGCATCAGGGGCGACAACAATGTCGTCCACAGGCATAGCGAACAGCGGCGGGGGAGTCGCCTGTCCCGCGCAGATTGTGAGTCTGATTCATAACGCGGTTTACCACGGCTATTACCATGTCTATTAATGACCATTTCTATTCCTTGTGCACATTAACACATGTCCACACTGGCTCAGTGTTGATATTAACCCTAAATGAATGAATGAAGTGGATATGGCCTGTCGCTGAAATTTAACACTGCTGTAGCCGTACGGCACATTTGTACTTAAAACTTGGGAGTCAACTTTGGACACCATTTGACCGTGGAAAATAGGTGGCTGTACTTCTTGCGACATATCTGATAGACACAACCGTTTTGCGGACAAGAAACGAATAATGGGGTGTGACCCCACCCACCTGCCCATACCTCTCTAGCTACGCCCCTGTTCAGGTTTCAATCCATCAGTTAAAGAATGGTAGCAGTTCTCAACCACTCCAAGCATCTTTACCAAATCCCACTCAAGTTCATTGGGTTATTTCTGTCATCGTCATGAGTCATGACCCCATACGTGTGGATTAAGAGCAATGCTGCTCTTACAGATCTTGAGTATGTATGGAAATTATCCCAGTTAAGGTTTTGTCAGAAGAAAAAGTCATACACTGAATAACTAACTTAAGTGGCTAATAGTCGGTAAAAGAATGACGATTTAGTGAGGCATTCTAAATACAAGCTTGATCTGGAAAATTGACCCAAAGCGTAATGACAATTAACTGCATCATGTGACAAAAGTCCTTGACATAAGCTAATAACAGAATTATATTTTGCTTTCTGTCCTACCCGACCCTTTTCTCACTTTATTCAAAATAACTCCATGCTTATTTTTGTCTGCTTGCTGCATTCTCCTACAATTTTTCTTGTGTGAAACCAATTAATTTTTACTGTGCCATTGCTTCACGCTTACCACTTTATGGGACTGTCCGATGAACCACATCACTCAAATGCTGGTCGTGCGTTGCATCTTTCATTTTCATGTTGTATTTGTTGCCATCTCGTGTATCGTATTGCCTTGCATGTAAACCACCACCATTATCATAACACAGCCTCGCATGAGCGTCAGACATTCCTGCATGACGTATTCATTCACAACCACAGCTCCGACAGCCAGTTTGCTGACATGATTCGCTCCAAGCTCCAGAACCAAGAGTCTCACCTCAAGGTGGGGCTGTGGTCGGAGGTGGAGCGGCCCGACCGCTCCTCCACCCGCAACAAGCTCCTGCGGCTCCGTCTCCTCAATAGCACCCGGATCGTGATCGTCGCCTCGGAGGCCTACCTCAAGCACGACTACCACGCCTTGACCAGTGCCCTGGCCAAGAGCCGTGCCAAGCCGGAGTCCCTCCGCAGTAAGGTCATCGTGGTGCGGGTGATTGAGGAGCCCCACATCCCCAAGGATCTAGTCAAGGATGTCTTGGCATCGTTGGAATACAACGTTGATTCGGACAGCTGCTACTTCTGGCCCCGCTTCCTAAAAGTGGCCATGCCTGATCAAAAAGAACTGCTGTACTGGGTGTAACTCAACGGCAGAAGAAAGGTACTGCATTATGGGGGACAGCAGTCGCTCACAGTCACTGCACAGAAATGACAGTTAACCTTAGTGAACGCTGTGCTTCAGTACTGCCCTTTCTTCTAAGCATAGTGAACAAATTAATCGCAAATTTTGTTAACACTTTTTCTTTAATAGTGCATGGTTACAAACACTCACGCTAATAATAAGGTACACAATTTAAACATGTAATGTGTCAAACTCCATGGCTCAGTGAACGGCATAAATTTTGTGTTCATGGGCCCTATACAGCACTCAACCTTTATAAAGGATACATTTTTGTACATATTCAAGCACACACAAAACCTAAACTTGCCGACCATGAACACATTTCTGCTACAGTTGGCAGAAAAGCAGGGCCATGAGATCTGTCCCATATTTTAATACATGTACAGTCGAGTCTCGTTAATACAAACTCGTTCGGACCTAGCCAAATTGTTTGTTATATCAGAATTTTGTATTAAGAGGAACATCAGTCCCATTCCTTGTGCACATAAATGCACAGTCGGGACCAAGGCTTTGTTTGTTATAACCAGAATTTTGTATTAACGGAGTTTGTACTAACGAGAGTCGACTGTAGTAAGTTGTACACAACTGTTGGACAGTGTCCCATAGTACCTTGACCAGCTCTTGGGTCTGTTGGAGGGGGATTAAGGGGAACTGAAGCACTTTTTATTTTCAAGATTACTATACTTTTTGAGCATAAATGGGAATTATTAAACCATACATTTTCCTTTTAAGTTTTCACATTTGTTTCCGATTTTGCATGTTTGACCTTCATTTAAAAGTATTTTTTCTTCTTTTCAAAAAAGTATAAAGGCACCGTTTGCCTAGTTAATGCATATCCGATGAGAAATAATGAATGTCTGCGTTGTTCATTTTAAAGTTGAACACACTGCCGAGATGCTTGTCTGAAACATTTTTTTTTTATAGAGCCCTGTGTTTGATAAAACTGTGAAAAAATTAATAATAAATGTAACCTATATATCTGCCGTCTTATCTTAGCATGCACCAGGCCGGACCAGTACACCAGCTTGCCATAGGGAGAGTTGTACCATCTAGAAAACGGCGAGTTGCAATAGTTTGCTTTTCATTCCCAAGGATTGAGGAAGCACTTTTGCCAATTGGTCACATTTGTCTTCTTTTCTTTTTGAATTTAACTGTAATGGCAACAGCTTAATGTAAGCACATGTAACGTTAAATTAATCGATTGCTGATATTTACCCATTAGCACTTGTATCATACTGTACTGCACTGTAATACTGTCTAATAAATTCATAAAACCATAAGAGTGTTGCCCAGGGCGGTTTGGGGCAGTACAAGGCGCAACAGGCAGGGCAGTTTGGGATGGTATACGGACTTCTGGGTTACTGGTACACTGTTAATTTAGTTGAGTTCAGTTTGTATATACATTGTAAATTTGCAGATGGTCAAGTGTGTAAATCTTTGTTTTTCATCGTAATGTCAGGTGTCGAGGAAGTTTTTTTTTGAAGAGAATTGATGGAATTTAAACTGCTTGTGAAAACTGTTGCTTTTCTATATTGGTAATGTGTTCTATATTAGCAGTGTGTTTGTATGTATTAGCAAGTGTATGCTTGGTCAAGTTGGCTGTTGATTTTTGTGGTGTACTGTATGACCTTTTATTTTCATGCTGCTCAAGAAAGTGCAAGCGTCTATGGTGCATTTTTTGTGTATTTTTATGTCAAACATATCTTTGTACTGTATTGTAAATGCATTGCTTGCGTGCCATATAACTGAGTGTTAACCAACTTAATTGATGTATCAATCATGTATTGTATTTTGTAATGGTTTATAATGAAGATAGTGAAAAAATATAAATTTTGGAATGACAAGTGTGATGAACAAGAAAGTGCCTGAAATGTAACATATTTCTTTTTAATTTTGTTTCCAGCATTATATAATAAAAATGTTCACCAGCCTTTCATCCATTCATATTTTAAAAAGACTTTTGAAGTGTTTAGACGGGTCACAAGGTCTGAAGGTACAAGGGGTCACATTACCAGTTGAATTTGTTTGGTCAATTTTTTTTTGGAAAAAAAATAAGTTTATAAACAATTCATGTTGATAATTTTTATGGAAATAAGACACGGAAGTGGTTACCTGCGTAGACTGATGGCTGTATAATCGAGGCCAAAACCTGTACAAACTTGTAAGGAAGATGTAGACACTAAACGACTGCCACATGTTGTGATAAAATATCATCTCAAAAATATCTTTTATTTAAAACAAATGTTTGTAAATATAAGGACGAACATCTCCAATTTTCTTTCACATTTTGGCTGATATTGGTTGACCAAAGAACATGTGTTGTTGAAAATTATGGGATTACGTCAGACACTTTTCCATTTGAAGTAATTGCCAAAAAAGAAATGTGCCCAGTCCAATTTTTGTACTGGTGCATTCTTAATTAGCGACACAAGTTTGTCAGAGAATGTTAAAGCTCAACACACATCGTGCTTTCTCAGACACATGGCGATTTAAGTATGTTGAGTCAGGGTTCGACCTTAACTTTTTTGTTCACTAGCCAGCTGGGCTACATGAGACAGACTATTAACTAGCCTGCGGGCATTTTTTCTTATCTCAAATACAAAATGGTGTATTTTCAGGCTCAATTCTGAGGCAATTTTGTCAGTGTTTTTAATAAACAGATCTAATAATTTAACCTTTTAAAACAGTTGATAGAATCAGACACAAATTGATGGGGTTTTCTTTCTGAATTTCATGATTTATTTCTTCCTGTCCTTTCATCTTTGCCGTATCCCAATAATCTTTCACTCGACAGCCAGGCTACTTAAGAAATAGTTTGACTAGCCCGCGGCTGTTTTGACTAGCATTTGGCTAGCGGGCTACAGCTAATTTCGAACCCTGTAAGTGGAATTGGAGGTGATTTAATTTTTACTATGAAGGTAAATTATATACTCAGATATCATGCTTTCATTGCGAGGTACATGATAAATGTTATCAAATATGTTGTATAAAATCTGTATGTAAATTTTATGCTGAAAATACAGCTAAAACAATGGAAACTGATTTTGATGCAGTTGTGTTTGTTTCTCATATGGTTTTATAAGAGTGTTTGTAAAACTTGCTATACGAACACACAGAACTGCAAAATAATGGACAAGTGGGAAACAAGTTTTTACTTATCTATTTTCTTGCCTCTTTATTTTATTAACAACCTTAACAACTTCATCTTGTACTCTGGAACAACAGGGCTCATCCAGTGACCAACACATCTCAAATACGAGAGGGGTACATCATCTGAACACAAAAGAAAAGAGGAAACAAAGTTGTTACAATAAACTGAAAAGTCTGAAAATGCCAGCAATTTCTTGATGTCATTTGTGAAAAGCAAACATCAGGGGCCGATCACAGAGCTGCTAGCACAAACAAAAATTGCTAAGCAAAAACAGTTTACCAACCAAAATGTCATGCAATTTTTATTGGAACTGACTGGTACTCGGCTAATTTTAAGCTTAGCGTCAAGTTTGCTAAGCAGAAATGCTTAGCAGCTCCATGGAATTGGGCCCAGGTTGATATTTTAGTATTCCTTTGCTCAGAAACAGCCTCTAGTTTGGCAGTCAGTGTGTCTGTGAGACACGTCAGTTTCTGGTCTCTAGTGGTTATCATCACAGCAAAGGTATTTTGAGTTAAAACGTGTACTTATACAGTGAGCATGTTTACACCGGAGATGCTACCATTTATCCCTGCTCATCAGGCCAATGAGTCAGAATGGTGGCATGACTGGCAGCAATGTGTATTGTTGTAAGCATAGTTTCTGTTGTACTCGTAGCCAACAGTCCCTCTTTTGTCACCATTTCAATATTGATCTTCAACAAATTTGCCCAGAATTATGCACGTGACATCCAAAAGATGCTCAGATACTGCTCTGGCTAAAACCTCAATTCCTGTTTTGGGGATCATCCATGGCCGACATGTTGCCTTTTTGTCAAGCAAGGGTGTCTGGTATAATGCCTCGCATCCTTTTCAGATAGGCATTCCAAGGTCATCCTGAACCAAAATAGTAGGAGTGTAGGACTCAAGTTGACCCGAACAGAATATGATTTTCAAACACCGTCAATGTTATGTACTTATTTGGACTCTGTAGTTGTTTTGATTTGAACAGTCCACCTTTTGCACAAAGTCCGTCTTAAGTTTTCAAACATAAGGAATAGTTCTAATTTTCGGATTTATTAAGTTTGGTGCAACTCAGTCCAAAATAGGTGTCAGTATTTTCCCCAAAGTCTACAGGCAACTCACCACTCGGATCCTTTTGCCCATGGCCTGTGGGGGGAGATTGGCCTTGAAGTGGGCCCTGACGGCGCCACTCTTGCCATGGGGTCGGGTCACTTTGCCCCAGATGATGCGCGTCTTGGTGGCTTTGGTGTAGCCAGCTGGCCTCTTCTTGCTGCAGCGGGGAAGAAAAGAACAATCACTGATGAATCATTATGAACCATGTCAATTTCAACCAGACACTCATTTCTGTAACAGATGGGTTGGAATTCCATTTTGAAACGGTATTGCCCAAGAGGAAAGTCTGGGTTACTGTGTCACCAGTGTTGGATGTCAAAATAAAGGATACAAAAAATCTGTAGCTCATGAAAGGGGACCTGGGTACAACAGTGGCTAATGGCATAAACCTACACAGGAAATCAAAAAAAAATCAAGGAAAAGCTTTTAGCCCGTTCACTCACTTCTTGGCCTTGTAGACGTACGCACATTTCTTGCCCAGATACCAGTCAGCATCTTTGCGGTTCTCCACGCCCTCGATTCTCAGCAGCGCTGTGTTCTCATGCTGGTTGCGCAGGCCACGCTTGTAGCCTGTGAACACCGCTCTTATGTAAAGTCTTTGAGGAGAAAAGTGAAGAAGAAAACGGTTACACCAATATCATTCTGCAAAGGGCCATAGTACTGAAGTTATTAACTTTAATTCATGTAATCTGTCATTATGTAATAATATACCTACCTGGTTGTGGCAACCATGATGTTGCAGCCTCAAGTCCCTGAAAAAAATAAAATGAAATAACTGTTAAAGTGTTATATAGGCTAATGTTGTTTTAAAAAATTGCCCTTCACTTCAGATCCTTCCAAGTTCCAACTCCCTCCTCTCGCTCTCCCCCAACCTCGCTCCCCCCCCCCCAAAAAAAAAAGGGGGGAAGAAATTTGACAAATCCTATTATTTAACAATAAATGGCGCAAAAAAGAGATTAACAAGTCTACTTAATGACTATTAAAGTGCTTCTCATGGGCCCTACCACACTTAATACATTGGCCGCGCCGGTTTAGAAACGAAATGGGCCCAGCTACATGCCCAGTTTCCGGACAACTTTTTATTATTGGAAATGGAACTATGGAAGCCATCTGGTTTTCCCTTTTTTTCATAGGGACGATAAGGAATTCGATTAGTGGGATTTATAATTGAACGATCCTTTCAGTTTGTTTTAAGAAATAACGTTTGTTTTAGGCCTAACTCATAATTTCGTGATTTATTTTCTCTCATCACACCGACACATGACCGATCACGATTAATCACGGACTTGTACTGAGTGAATTCCATCGTTCAAAATCCCTCTAAAATGAAACCATCATCCTCTCTTTAGTTCATCAAAATAAAGAAAAATAAGTAATAAACACGAACAACGTCTTATTTTTCACGTATGTGTCCATTTAATGCTATTAGTTGCCTTAACATTCTGGCTTGTTTTGTACCTTTTGCTGGACTTCTATGGCCAAAATCGAAAAGGCAGAACATTTGTTTGATAGTTGGGAAATTATTTTCTCCAATAAATTCAAAGTATAACTTTTTTTAACCCAAATATAGAATAGATTCAATTTACTAAAGACTTATTTGTACATTCGAAAAATATATTTAGGTCATACAAATTTATTAATTTAATTTTTTGATGTGTGAAAATTTATTTTTTCTTGAAGATAGCATGTAAAAGAAATTTTACAATGTGATGAAGCCTAACATTTGACCTGTACATGACATTATGCGAAGCAGCGCAGAAGCTTGGAAACGAATAAACAACACTGCATTGCACTGTGCGGGACGGACCGGACCGCAGTATCACAACACAACAGGGTGCCAATATTTAAGCAGATATTCGTTCTCGGAAAATTTCCTCAAGGAAAGAAGATGTTTGTCTAGTTTGTTGAGGTAATTTACTGTCAATGTCAATGACTGTTTAAAAATGTGTTGTTCCGAAATTGTTTCTAAAGGCCGGCTATAGCATAGGCTATAGCCTCAGGAGTCCGGGCCTAGGCCTATCTTTTTTTTAAATAAAAATTATAGTTTTATTTAACATGTTTAATCAAAATATTTATCTTACCTTAAACCTTAATTTTTTTGTTCTTTAGCCGGCACATCGCCGGCTAAAGAACCAAAAAATTCGCGAGACTAAGAATCCTCATGACCGGCATGTTTCGATTCTCGGCTGTAATGCTCATTTTGATTTTTGTTGGTCTTTTCCCCAAACTTGAAGTAAGAGTTGCGTTCTTTTATTGTTTTAAATGGAATCTTGCATATAAATTGCAGAATGTGTGTGGCTCTAGAGGATTTCTAAATATAGTCCAAAATTGCATTCCATGTTGTGAACGAATCTTACCCACCCACCCTCACTTTCATAGTACATAATTTAAAGTTAAAATGTTTACAATGTGCTTGATTCCTGTCTTTGCTATTAATTTGATTTCTAGTGAGCAAGCAGCGACATCATTGGTAACCATGTCGGAGTTAACGGATCTAGACTCTGTCTACATCACCACGGTGCTGGAGGATACCGTGGACCAGCTAGCCATCCTGGGCAAGATTATGCCCCAGACTTTTGAGGGGAGACCGGATGCAAATGAGGCGAGTGGAGGAGTCATCTTTGGAATTTGAGTTCTCTGTTTAAATGAGATCATAAACTTGACTTAGTTTCTTTCTCTGCTAACCACAAATGTCTGTCACAGAAAAGTGTACATACTAACGACTAACCCTGTAAGCGCTGAATTCTTCATCATGAGATATTTTATACCAACACCCTCCCCCCACTCAACACAAAAGAAAGGAAATGAAATCATGATATGTTGCGAACTCTTTAAGTACCTCTACCCTATCAACTGTAAGGTAAAAATTAGGTCTGGGGCAGTTTCCTGAATATGTGTCTGCGTCCAAACTTGTTCACTGCAAGTGAAAGTTATCTTAAAAAAAGGCCACCCCTCCACCTATTCCCCATCATAAAAAAAGGAGAAAAGAAATGAAATCAAATAAAGAAATCAGGAAAACCCTTATGAGGTCAACTTTTGTTTGTCACAGATGGTGGGAGATGAGATCGGTAAGATCATAGACAGCCAGAAGCAACTGGAGTCCAAGTATGAGGGGCTGATCTCCAAGAGGGCGGAGCTCCGCGCGGGGGGCAGGAAGGGGGATGCCAACCACCTGAGGGCGACAGAGGAAGAGATAAGCAGCGTGGTGGGCGGGATACGCCACGCCACGCAGACGTTCAGTAAGAGTCTCAAGCAGAGCCCGCTGACCTCAGACAACTTGGGCAAGATGCAGGGCGATAGGTGAAGGCTGGAAACTTAAAGGGATTCACTGGTCTTTGACGATCAAAAAGAAATCAACAGATAAAACAATGTATTGCATTGTTCCATAAGTTCACATCTTTGTCACACAGGTTTGAAAATAATTTCATTTAAATAATTGTCTTATTTCTGTGTTTTTTTTTTTTTAATTCAGGCAATTTCTCCAAGACGTCTTGTCTGAGGCCATGGACGAGATCACCTTAGAGAAGACATTTATGAGTCTCATCCAGTCGGTCACGGCAGAGCGCGATAAAAAGGCCGAACTGCAAAACACCATCCTCAAGTGAGTGTAAAGAGTCAAATAAGACAGTGTCTCCAGAAGCCTCAATATTGCGGAAAAATACGGTCTTAGTTTCATTTGACTAAAAATAGTTGTGGTCTTTTGAATGGTTTGGAGTTGAGCTTAACACAATCTGGTCAACTAGTTGGCAATAATAGGTTAATTCATTAAGCTTATTGACCAATCATGACTATGACTGCAAAACAAAAGGTCTGACAAAAGTCTGACATGCGTGCGCTGACACATGAGGTGCGAGGCTTCAACATCTATAAGGGAGATGCATTTGTTATAAAAGCAAGAGGTCCTAAGTGGTATGTTTATCAGAGTTTTTAAGAATTAAACACTGACTACTCCCTTCTTTTCGCCAATTTTTTTATCGCATTGTTTTTTTCCTAGGGAGGAGGAAGGGCGCAAGCGCATCCGCAGCCTCCAACGCCAGATTCAGAACGTCAAGGTAGAGCTTGAAGAAGAGATCCAGCAACGCAACGAGATGATCGCCCATCTGAAGGACCAGCTGCAGGAGATGAAAGCCAAGACTAGCATGGAAGGGAAGTACGTCCAGAAGGATGCAGAGGTGGCCGTCAACCAGGTCCAGAAGAGGTGCATGCTGAGCGAGAAGCAGCTCAAGGATGAGATTGAGGTGAGTTTGAGCCTCTTGAGAGTCCGGGTCCAAGTCCTGAGTCTGTAACTCGAGTCAAGTCCTTGGCCAAGCGAATTCAAGTTCTTAGACATTGAGTGCCATGCTCAAAGAAGCTGTGGGGTGAGATTTCGACTGTGGAGACCTCAAACACAAAGTCCAAAGTCTAGCAGCTGGAGTCCAGGAATTCAAGGCCTTGAATATTGAGTATTACTCCCTTTAAGCTCTGATGCATGCTGAGTTTGAAACGGCTTGAAGATGATGAAGTTAGAGTAATCTTGTAGATCAGCCAGTTTAAGTCGTTGGGCAATGGACATTGTGTCTTAGTTCCAAATGAGACACTGAAGCATGCTGAAGTGCCATGCTTATTTTGAATTCAGTTATTTTGATATGGACTCTTTCTTTGATTTGCAGCTGATTAAGAAGAAGATTGATGAAGAGATTCGTGTCAACCAGGAGATTGAGCAGTACCTCAAGGCACATCAGTCGGTGAGTATAAAGACACACAAGGTGGTTAGTGAAAGAAGTGTGCTTGAAAATGCTTCATAGTTCACGAAACATTTACAAAAATTTGTAGCATTGAATTTACCAGATTGGTAGATTGGATTTACCAGCTCATTTGGTAGGGTACCACTACGATGATTCAGATTTCAGAGCCTGAAATCCCACACTTGAGTTAACATTTACTAGAGATTGGTGATAACCTCAAACATTCTCGTGCGATCCATTTCAATATTTATTCACTTTTACCTTCCCAGATCCTCCAAAATCTAAGAGGATGTTCTGGAGATTTTTGTGTGTGCAAGATTGAGAAAAGTAGAGCCAAGCGCTTAAGGAAGGGTTAAGAAAGGTTCTTTACAAAATGCCTTAGGCTAATTCAGTACAAAAAATACCTTGACATTTTCCATTTGTTTTCTAGGAGTTGGAAGAGAAGGTTGATTACTGGATGGAGAAGTACGACAAGGACGTGGATCAGAAAACACATCAACTGGAAGTATTGAAGGCGTCCAAAGCAAGCGACCTGGCCAGACTGCAAGAACTGACTAAACTGGTAAGGCTACAACTTCCTTAAACTAAAATTAAAAAATTTAAAAACTTGAAAACTTGCAGGCAGTGTAGATTTTTATTTTTATTTTTATTTTTTTAAAATACCTGCACATTGTTCTTTCCTTATTATTTGTTTGATGTAGTTCTTGTGAAACAGTTGATGTTCTGCCCATATTACATGTATGAAGAACCAGTTTTAAGAATTTTATACCGTCTAGCTTTAACTTTGAAGCTGTCACTGTCTAGTAGATAAAAACACATGCTTGAAATTATTTCTTTTAGTATGCCGAGTATGAGCAAGTGGTTGTGGAAGACAGAATTGACAAGGAGAAGATTCGAAGATTACAGGAACAAGAACTTGAAGAACTCAAGTCAACAGTCAAGGTAAGACACTATAAATGTGTCCAAGGGCAAATTTCTATCTTTGTTATTAATTTATTTCCGGTAATAAGCAAGGTTTCCTCAAAAGCAACTTGGCCGGACAGTTTTAGAAGCTGGGAAGATAATAGACAGATAAACCACCAGAGTGATAATCTGAGGGGAAAAAAACTTTGACACACTTATATGAAGACGGGGAATGATATGAAGATAGAAATTGAGAAAGTATTACTATAAGGAAGTTTTGATGTTGCATTGCTGCAAATATCATACCAGATTTAATTGATGGAACTAGATCCTTTGTGTGGTGATTTCTGTCAGTATTATTCTTTTTTTTAACTTTAAAGTTCATTAAACAAACGAGCAAGCTTAAAAAAATTCAAAAGTACATGTATTACTTTGAAATTGTAGTTTTGACCATCTCAGATTTTTTTCTGAAAAGAGTCCCATTGTTTTCTGAGTAACTGTTTTTGTTCATAATTATTCATTTTGGTGATGGTAATTTTTGTTTATGGTTGCTTTAGTTACAATCTTGGTGGCGTGGCATCATGGTCCGCAGGCAACTTGGCCCCTACAGCAAGAAGAAGAAGAAGAAGGGAAAGAAAGGAAAGAAGGGATCCGGCAAAAAGAAAGGAAAGAAAAAGAAGTAGAGCCAGTCTGTTCTGCGGTAAAAGTTTGCTCTGTAAATAGAACAATTTGGATTGGTTTGTCTTGGCAAGGGGAGAGGTTTACTGTTAAAAGAATGCTATGTATAGAGTTCCCGAGAAAATTATGCGGCATGGCGCATTGACCTTAAGTTTTGGGGACATTTGGAATCAACTTGGAATGTAGATGTGAACAAACTTCCAAAAGAATTTTTTCCAAACTCTTGTTTTTGATATTAATTCCAAATCTTAAATATTTAAGCCGTCCAGTGTTTTTGCAAGATGATTCTTTTAAGTCTTCTGTGTGAAAACATGAACCCATGTGCCTTGAATTTTGTAAAATCAAATTGTTCCGAAAATTGATTTTTAATATTTTTTTTATAATGATTTTTATAATAAAATTATTATGACTTTGATTTTTTTTATACCAACTGACATAAATTGAAATTAATTTTGATAATCACACAGTATCTTTATCCGTCCATAAGGTGTTTTATTTTTACAGCTGTACATCCAACTACAAATGTACTAAAATTGTAATGAAATTAAATCTTTTGTTAAATTCAATTTCTCACACATCTTATTATACATCTTATTATTCACTAGATGATGGTAAAATAAAGGGGTTCCCTAGCTTTGGCCCATGTTTAAAAACATTTGCTTGTATTGCGTAATTATGTGCTGGTCGGAAAAATGTAGCGGTGGTGGGCAGAATTATGCAGTGTTAATATTAAAAATTATGCAAGTTTTATTCAAAACTAATGTATGCTCTTGAAGGTTGGATGAGTGAAATAAGCCCAAAAAGGAATGGTTCCAAAATCGTTATCAATGGTAGTGATTGTGTGTTAAAAGGCGCTGTAACGCCTTTTTAGTTTTAGAACCGTTGTTAATTAGAGGGCGCTATATCACTTTTACGGTAAATGACTGTTTTAGTAGAGGGCGCTATAACGATTACATTATGAAAAAGGCGCTGTATAGAGGGCGCTATCACATTTGCGCACAAACTACTTAAAATAGAGGGCGCTATTTGTTATTGAAATCTCAAGACAAATGGCGCCCTCTTGAATATTCATACTGTTAAAAAGCGCCCTCTGCTGTTAACGTTTTGTCTGGAAAAGTGTTGTTATACCGCCCTCTTGCGTTGCAGAATTTCGATCAAAAAAGCAGTAATAGCGCCCTCTAACTTAGAAAAGTTTTGATCGCAAAATTAGTATGGCGCCCTCTGCTGCCAAGCCCTTCCGGGTTGGTTTTTTCCAGACGAAATTTTCTTGATACCGCTGAGTAAAATGGCGCTCCCCGCTGCACACCACCTAGGAGGGGCCCAATTGCGGTCCCTAGAAAAGGTCCTAGAGGATGCCCATATGACTGGAATATTGAATATAAGCGGGCGGAATATGAGGGATTATCCTAAGAGTGCAGACAACTTTGATTTGATGGATACAGTGGACGTAGGTAAGTTCAAAATGTGATCGGCGTTTGAAATTGAATTGTACGGTTAAGCAATGTAGACAGTGCAGTGAGACATGTCAATGAATGTCAATCACAGCTTAGGTCGTGATCATATTAATGTTCAACCGTGATCAGGTGGTCCCATACTAGTGGAACCAATCAAACATTTTTGATATTAAATATTTAATTTAACATAGAAAAGAGCAGGTTATCTGAGATTTGTGCACATGAACTCCATGAACGCAGGTAGGCCTACAGCTCAAAAACATTGTTTTGTATCATTGGTAAGATCAAAAACGTTGTTGGTAAAACTAAAAGTAAAACTAAGTGAAGCGATTGATAAGAATTAAGATTATTATAATAATGTTGGGTCGATGTGCACCATCAGTCGTTGGGTTGCGTTATCGGTCGAACCTCCTGCCACCAGTCAAACACCTTTTCTTTCTAATTCACAACTCTGGACGATTTTTTTTATAAAGGTTACTGAAGTCAGAGATATCCTACAGAATCGACCCATCGCACAACGCAATCGCGCAAATTGACCGATTGCGCCCAATATTAATATTAATTATTAAGAACTAGGGGAGCCTAGCTAAGGCCTGAACTGAAAATATAACTGAATTGAGTGTTTGTAAATTGTAGGGTAATTTGTGCATGTTGTTAAGTGATGTGTTTCAGTGCTTGTTTATGAAATTACGTAGATAATAGCAAAATTAGACGAGAAGGAAAAGCCAGGGAAAATTTGTCCAGCTGAACATAATGGTTGTATGTTTTAAAGGGTTGATATGAAACATTAGCAATTGCATGTTTAGAACGCTATATTTTGCATTGTGGAACTTTGTGTTGGGAATATAAATTTTAATGTTTTACTGTTAAGATGTGGACTGCCAATGAAAGTACATGTGTATTCTGATCACTTCTGGTTAGAAGATTGAGCTAGCAATTTTAATTCTTTTCATTCAGTTACATTTGATTTGCAATGTTTTTTGTACAGTGTTTTTTTTTTAATAAACATCTGAAATTACAATGCATTAATTTATTACTGAATAAAAAAAAACTACAGCCCTGAGAGGAATTTTGGCTTTTTGAAAGGTGTTTTGGTGCGTTTACTTCCAAACTATATTGAGAACCCCCAATCAATTCATTTTACTTTACGGAATAGTATTATTGTATTAAAACACAAAGCATGGCATGTTTAAAATTCCCTTTATTCCAACACTACATACATAAATCCAAATGACTGTATTTATTTTCTGCTAAAGAAATCTTCCTTTCAGTCAAACGTGGTGAGTGTTGGAAAAGCCAATCATTCAAAACCTCCCCCCTCGAAAACAAAACAAAGAAATCCATACCATGACATCCCTTTTGAATTGTTTTTTTTGTCACAGACACATTCTCCATTGTTAAATGGACAAATGGCGTAGGAAGTCTAGCATTGTTGTCCGCAGTTCAACCAAAAAGCTTTTGTAATTTCTCCCTCTCCAAGTTCTAAGGAGTGCTTATAAATTCATAGTTTACCTGTGTGTATTGGAGAGTCGTTTTATGTTTTTTGGGGGCGGAGTATGCGATCCCTGCAGATTTGTTGAAGGGTTTTTCTGACCTTAGGTTAACTAACCCACATTCCTGAGTGTTATAAATACATTACATTCAGTGGAGTGTCTGTTTATTTTATGTTGGTTTCGGTGTTGTGGCAAGGGGAAATTAATGTTGACAGACTCGCCTTGAACATCTGTCTTGGGAACATTTTTTTTTATGATGATGATCATGTTCAAACTTCACCAGTTGTTTGAAGTTCTAACCACTTTATCAAAATAAGTCAGGAGTTACAAAATAGAACTTGAAAAAAATCTTTTGGGAATGATGGGATGTGCACCCGGTACATAATTTATATTTGCCTTAAAGTGATTGTACATTCATTGCATTGATCATGCTTAATAACTTAATTTAAGCACATACATGTAGGCCTACATGCACATGTTTCCCAGCAACATGTGTCTGATGTTCATATTGATGTCACTTCGTTCGTAAATGTACCTCATGATGTCTGAATTCCAATTAAACAAGCTCCCTCCTAGAAAACAAATGAAATAAATAAGCCTGCCTTGGCTTCATTATCAGTTGGCATGTTGACTTTTGTAGCCCTAATACAAGACCACTACACCATGCTGTTTAAATAAATATCGCAGGCCCGCATTATTTAGTTGTCAGTATGCAGTGAACTTTGGATCTTACATACCGTGCAAGCCTTGTGTATTGTTAGTCTAGATATTATGAGTAATGATATTGCATTGCTAGAAAAATGAAAGGAAAATGGTTGCAGGTCAAACTGTCAAAATATATGTATACACATCAAACAACTACTACATGTACATGCTTTGTGTGTTTATTTACTTTTACTTGTCAACTCATGTAGTGGACATTTATTGTTTCAACTCCTTAATTACACAAATTTTTACTGCATAATTGTGTAAGTAAACATTAGAAATTGTCAAGAAGCGTACTATGTGCAGTAGACATTTCTACAAGCATCTAGTCGGCACTTAAATACTTGAAATCGCACAAATTTCTTTTTATTTGACATGGACATCAAAATGCGACACATTATATGAATTGTGTACACAGTATGTACATGTTGGGTGGGTGTAATGTTGTATTGTAAGTTGGCCTAAAATTAAAAAAAAAAAAAAAATATTAAAAAACCAAAAAAAAACCAGACATCTAATTTCAGCAAGGCCCCCCCAAACACCAAAATTGTTTAATAAAAAAATAAACAAATATGTTTGTTTCTGGTAATCTGAGCGAACTCCTAGATTTAGGGTTTTCAGTTGTTTTCCAAACAATGTACATAGTGCCCTAAACGCTAATAACATACAACTACCAACCATTTTGTTTTTGGAAACACACCGTTCAATTTTTGGGCCTTATTCAAATCGTTGTTAAACAAAACCAGCCAACTTGTCAGTTTTGTATTTAATATGATGTCATCACGTTCCAATGATGACATACAGACAGATGGGTGTCTACAGTATATTTAAGTGACGAGACTCGTAATATGTGACTGGTACTCGTTATGAGCGGTGTCCCACCCACAGCTGCGCCACGCGTATTTCTGTTGTATGTCACGGCAGGGTGTTTCCCCATCGTCAGTGAGTAATACGTGAGGCATTCGTCGAGCAAACAGAAATATTCATGTGCTAGTGCCATGTGTTGTGCATTGGTAATGCGGTGTTTGTGGTCAGCACATTGTTATTTTGACTAGACAAGCTGTGATGTCAAATTGGAGTAACATTTTACTTTCCATTTATGTTTTGTTCTGAGCGTTTCAAATGTTGGTTGTTTTCCCTTCAGTAGAACAGTGGAATGTTGAAATTGTACAGACACAGAATAACGTGTCAAGTTAGGAAATTATTTTTTTCTGAGCTGTTGAGTTCCAGTTTCACAATATTAATTTATCCACACTACAAAATGTACCTTAAAAAATTAAAATGAAAAAACAAAACTAGTATTAAAACTGTCCAGTGACACATCATCAAAAGCCTTACAATAGTGACACAAGCAACAATTGTTCATATTCAATACATTGTTCTAAATGTCAAATTGTAATTTTGGGAAGCTTTTAAACAAAAACAATTCAAGAACTACAGTACCTCATTTGCTGTATTTATTAAATTGTAAGGAAATTTTACCCTTATAATTCAATCACAATGATTATATCAGCATCGTCAGCCATGAGAAATTACTGGAAAATTGTAAGCGCTGCCGCTCGTTTATTCTGAAATTTCATTTTATGTTATGACAGCTTTGCGCAGTCTTTGTTCCCATGGCAACCCATTGAGAAGCAGTTGCTCATTAGGCAACTCCTCGTCAATTTACTCGGAGGCAATCAAATTAATATGGCTGGCAATTGAATTACACATCTTTTTGAGGGAAGCTGTTGTCTGAGATTTGGTTACATTGTCTTTCAATTTGGGGATCCAATAATAACAAATTTTTGATTGGGCAAAACACATACACGTAGATGTAACATGTAAATTATTCATGTGCACAGTTGAACCTGTACACAAAGTGTACAGTGTACATTTTCAATGTTTTAATCATGCTTGTCATACCTTTATAGTAAGGCCATGTCACACGCAGCATTACAGGTATATTCAAGCATTAATTCAAGGCAATCTTAAAGAAGAAAATGACAGACAAACTTTAATTTTGTCAAACATTTTCTGAAGGATTTCAACAAACCGTTAAGAAAGACGGATACTTGTTGTTTTTGTTTTCCTTGCGAGTTCCTTTAACACGATTTGCATTTGGTTGCTTCGAAGTTGCCTTTGAAAACTACGTCATGTATATGTACAAGGACATGTACATGTACATGTACATGTACCCCCCTCCTACATTTGTACTCCCTCCCCCTCCCCACCCCCTCCGATTGGTGAAAATACAAAACATTGCTATTAAATGTACAGTGTAGGAAGCTTGTTAAATATGCAGTGATTATTTGGATTAAAATTCCTTCATGCGCAAAACTTACAAACCAAAATCTGGAGTACTTCACATTCAGCATATAGCAATAATTTTCTTAGATCAATGTACGTGTAGTTACGCTTAAAAAGACGACTATGGCAGTTGAGAGAATTTAGCAGATCAATCCCTCCCCCCCCCCTCTGTCTGTCATTGTTGGGCTGACAAATCTCCCCTGAAAGAGGTTTTGTCAGAGCAATGTGGGAAAGAGTTTAGTTATTGATTTTACAAATTTGGAAAAAAATGTGAAGCAGGTTTTGAGTGAAATCTCGTGGGAGTTTTTGAGGAATCAATGACATGTCCATGTGTTCTGCAAATTCAGGGGATTTGGGGGATGGTATAATTGGTGTGTTGTACACTACTCTATCTGTAGAACCGCCGAGAACGTACTGGTAGGCACACTTTTAAACTTAAATTGTTTGTTTGAGAAATTGAAGAAAATGGTTGTAAGCATGCAGTTCATAAAATAAAATGTTCATTTTCAT